GCATCTTTACGCAAGATGATCAGGCCTGGAAGCACTCCCGCGATTTGCTGCGCGGGAACTTCGCTCGAATGCGTTATCAAAATCTAGAGGGCTTCAGAGAGCATGTCGAAAACTTGGTCTTCACGCCTAAGCCGAGAGCTCCAGGTATAATCGATCTGCAACCACTCCTCTTTCGTCTGACCCTAAATACAACGATTGCCGTGGTGTTGGGTCAACCGATTGACAGCTTCAACCACGAAGTTGACGATGGGTTCTCGGAAGCGTTCGATAAAGCTTCATTGGTCACAGCTACCCGCGTGAAATTGGGAGACTTGTGGTTCTTGTATGCGCCGAGAGGGTTCTTCCAGGCGTGTAAGACGGTAAAAGACTATACTGAGCAATTCGTGCAAGCCGCGCTCAGGTCCGACACATCTCAGCAAGACAAAGACTCGGACACTTTGCTCAGCGTCATGAAAAGAGAGTACAGCAATATCGAGCTTGTCCGAGACCAGGTCACGAACGTCCTTATTGCCGGTCGTGATACTACAGCGACTACCATGTCGTACGCGTTGTGAGTAGCATGGGTTTCTTCCATCGACGCGGCTGACTTGTCCACAGTCGTCTTCTGATCAGGCACCCGGAAAAGCTGCAGAAACTTCGCGCAGAGGTTGAAGAAATCCTTGGTGACGACACGACCAGCACGAGGGCCAGGACCCAACGCATGCCGTATTTTCACAACGTCATCCAAGAAAGTAAGTCGACACCTTCCTCCGCTCCTGTGTTCACCGAACTCACGACTCTCAGCCCTTCGACTCTATCCACCCGTCCCAATCAACACCCGATTCTGTCGACGAACTACGCACCTCCCGCGTGGAGGAGGTCCGGATGGCCAATCGCCCTTACTCGTACGCGAAAACATGCCAGTCGTATACTCGGTCTACCATATGCAGCGTCGAACAGACATATATGGCGAAGATGCATTGTGCTTTCGGCCCGAGCGATGGGAAGGGCCCGAGCTTGCAAATATCAAATGGGCGTATTTGCCTTTCAATGGAGGACCGAGGGTGTGTTTAGGAAGTAAGTTGTGGCCTCGATGCTTCTTCCATGCAGTGACTGATGTTTGTTGACAGAAGACTTCGGACTCATGTTGGCTTCTTATGTGATTGCGAGAGTTGTACAGGCCGTCCTGATGATTGAATTGCCGCCGGGAGAAGTAGTGGAGCCCATTGGAACGGAGAAGCAGCACCTCACACTCATCTTGTCGAATGCGGATGGCTGTAAGGTAAAGCTGGGTTAAGAGCCACAGCATGCCAATTTTGCCCTCGTACCAAGCTCTGTTGGAAGCATGTAATCAGCATTTTCGCCTCTGCATGGCGTGAGTCTTGTGCGAGATCTTAGACGATGGTGATACTGTGCATTTCTTCTTCCCCAATGTCGCAAAACGACTCCCACTGCCCTTCTCGAACATAGCCTTTGATCTGGAAAACCATAGGCTGCTCAACACAACGTCTGAACACCAAAATCATGTTTTCAGGGCTTTCAATTATACTCCGGTACTCCGGCGGTAGCCCGTAGCCACAGTCATCGCTCGTGAGCTGGTTTTGCTCGTCGGCGTACCCGCCTACTCGGCCACGATACAGAAGATCAATTTCCATCTTATGATCGTCACAAGTCACTGCGAGATTGCGGCCAGCTGCGCGACACTGTTGCTCAGATGATACAGCATCGGTACGACTGATGCCACTGGAGTAGAATTGAAGACTGTAGGCCCAACTAGGCACCCAGCTAGGCACCCAATCGGGCAGTCGAACGTCTTCCGGCCAAGGGTCGCATCGCTTTTGGGCCAATTTGAGAATGTTCCACGCTGCAGTGTATCCATTTAGCATGACGTAGTCTCGGGCGAAATGAGTACACACCGTTGGCCAATCCAGTCCATAGTCTATCACAAACGGTGGACAGTCCTCGCAAAGCTGGAGCAGTTTGGCGATGGCGTAAATGCGATCACGATCGTCTGCGCATTGATGGCCCGAGAACCTGATGAGTAGAGAGGCTGCGTCCTTGGAAAAGTCCGTAAGCTCGGTGAGTGCTGAGAGCGTGGTATAGCGAAGTCTGTTGACCCCGCCAGCAACAGCGCTGAATGTTGGCCAAGGAAGCTCCAACGCACCGCATTGCACTGTGGCATTTGTGGCGAAAGCCACCTCCTGCACACACCATCGGCGGGTAAAATAACGTCTCGACATGAATAAGTCGAGCAGCTCATTCTGATATTTGGGCCTCCACGACAACAACGGCGCCCTGTGATCTTGATTGATACCGAATGTGACCACAGAATCCAGCAAATGAGGCATGTTCTCATGGAAGTTGTGATTAATCACTTTCCAGGTCGTCGATGTAACCCTCAAAGCAGATTTTCGCCAAGTTCTACTCCATCTTGATTTCATGATCATCTCATATTTGCGACAGCATCGGAAGAAGGCTTGTCCATCACGGTATATAGAGTCCTCGCCGATCCAGACGACGACTCGGCTTGCGCGTGTGAAGATCTCCGCCATCTGTACCACCTGAGCTGAACGCTCGGAGAGATCGTCTTGATTGATACATATAGCATCGATCCAAAGGACTCGAACCTCGTCGGGCTGCCGTAATCGTCTGAGTGCGAGTCCCAAATTGGCAGTTGTAGAAATAGTGAGTCCATGCAAGCCTATCTTGCCGGGCTCAGAAGGCTGTGTCAAGAAGGCGCGGTCATGCTTTGCCTTATGCCTAGCCGTTGAGTCCTCGACAGTCTCGCCGAATGTCGTGCCCCAAGTATAAGAAAGAGCTTCGTATTGGACTTCGCCTGCAAGTTGGACGACCTCGAGAGTACCAACAAGAGCGGCCGTTAATGAGCGAGCTGGCTGCAGCCGCAGAACGCGAATGTGGCCTGGGGGCAACGAGGCGTAGAGCGAGGAATTCGGAGTCTTTGTGTGAGTACATGAAGACGAGTCATCTATACTTCCGCTTGGCCGGTTGTCTTCTCTGTCTGTGCTTTGTTCAAGGCAGTCGTTCGGCAGCGCATACTGTATCGTGGAGTGCTGATTCTGTGGGTTTCCCATTTGGAATATGACGAGGGACGCTGAAATGCTAGTCCAAAGAGGGGAAAGGACAGACTTACCTTTGATTTCAGCTGGACAGACGTAGCTGATGTTGTGTAACGCGGCAAAGCTTCGGCCTCTATATCAACACCTTGGCGCTTTCGGCAGTGCATACGACGTGGGTTTGAGGTGTATCATCACACATTCGTCCTCTGTAGTATCTCGCATGTGACATCAAGACCGTCAACGAGCACCTGAGATTCTGTTTCAGCTTACTGCCGTGATTCGTCTGTGTCGGCAGCATACGGAGCCGGATAGTGCTCTAGACGATGATCGTACGCTGCAGGTAATTCGTGTGGCTGTGCTCAAAATCAGAAGTTTGTAAGAGGTTATTCGATCATTGTCGCCCGTGTCTTCGTAGGCGCAATGTCAGAGGCCTCTTCGCTCGCGCTCAATCTAGGACGGGTTGTAAGGTGCGGTCAGCATTTCGGAAGCTGAGGCACTTGTAGTCCGTCCGCAATTGCACTTCCCTAGTCGGCATGCTCGCCGCTTCCATTCGGCAACTCAGACCAGAAAGAAATCAAGGCGTATGGTGATCACGGGTTGAAGTCGCCATTGCCATTTCATGTGGCCTAACTCATTGGTTTGCTCATATTTCTAGCTCTTGATTCGCGCGGCTCCGATGATTCCGGAGCTTCGCAAATATGCCATTCATCTCATGCTGCCATTTCCGTAGAACGCCAATGCCTCCTTCAATTCCCGCTCATGCTCGAAACATCTACGAAGACTTGGCGACACGCTTGCCACGGGCGTTCTTCTTTGGCGTCTCGGAGATGGAGAGCCCTGTGCCAAGTCGTCAGTTCACACGCTCGTCGTGAAGTATGAGCATCTTTGCACTCACCCGGAGGAAGCGACTGCTTCAGCTTCTCGGCCTTGTCGTTGTCCTTGAGCACGAGAGTGTAGAGGTGTCTCTGGCAGCGGACCTTGAACTTGGTCTGGTTGATACCGGCGCTGCGGTTCTTCTTTATCCGCGCAGCTGTTCCATACATCGTCAGCATATCATCCCATCATGTCATATTTTGCCCTCGATCCCGCTCTCCCCACATCCTCCAAACATCTCGGTGTAGGACCTCACATACAGGAAGCATCCTTGCGACGGCAGATCTCGATGAAGCTCTTGATGTCGGTGACTTCGCGAGGCATGGTTGCGGCGGTGTGAATGGCGACGTGAGGGTGAATTGGTGATGTCTTGACGTTGCTGTCCTCTCAAACCCTCCACACTCGTCGCATTGGTTCCAAAATCGAAGAGTGCGGGCCGGAAGCTGTCGGCGTTTCCTCGGCTTGAAATCTTGGCATTGTCGCGACCCGTCCTTGCTTCACTTCACCTCGCATCAACATTCACATGCACAGCGGGATTCCCCTCGTCCGGTCTCTACCTCGCACAACACACACCCAGACACTTTCACCATCACAGCAGAATCATCCACAGCAAAGGCGTGCAACAGCAGAACCACGCTCATCATGTCTGGACTCTCCCAAACAGACCTCACAAAGGTCGCAACCGAGACAGCAGAAACCTTCATCGACAACTACTACACGACTCTGTCCACCACCTCATCCCGCAACAACATCGCCAGCTACTACATTCCACCCATAGCAGGCTCCACTCCTTCCCGCAACCTTCCCATCATCAACTACAACGGCGATGTCACCAATGACCCTCAAGCCTTCCAAGCCAAGTACTCTGAAATGCCATGGGCGTATTACGACGTGCAGAGTCTCAACAGCCAAATCATCAACCCTGCACTCGATCCTGAAATCGCAAAGTCGGGCAGGAAGAGAGAGATGGAGAAGAACGTGAGCATTGGTGTGCAGGTCAGCGGGTATGTGAGGTTGAATGAGAGGAAGGATGGAGAGATGAGAGGCTTCAGTGAGGAGTTTGTGCTTGTGCCGAATAAGGAGAAGGGAAGAGACTGGTTGATTCAGATGCAAAACTTTCGGTTTGTGGTCTGAAAGTGCGGTTCGAGGAGTGAGGGATGAATGACTCGATGTAATGTGACCACGAGAGCATGAATCATGGGAATGTACTCGAGGCCTGCTGTTACTGCACGTGGCTGCGAGGTCGGATGACTCTATGGGAATGTACTTGGGGAAAGATGCTTTTGCTGAATAGGACGCGAGGCCTTCTTTGACACGAGTTAAGCTGGTGATGGTAATTTCGAGACCGTGGACGATAGCTGGACGAACGAGATCATGACGATAGCTACGACCGAACTGGATACCACTGAACTGGATACCACTGCCATGACTTTAGGAGCGGCTTGAAGTGAGTTCGTGTGGAAGACACCACTCACCAGATCGCCCGACTCCATGGACCCTCTTGTCGCGATGCGTTCTGTCGCCAGTGTTCTGGCTCAGACGCGTGGCGTAGGGCTACGCTCGGCTCTCACGATGTTGAGGCATCACTGTAGTCAAGCGTGCAAGTAAGAATTGTGCCTCACATGAATGGGACGTGCTCGTGCAGCGCCCCGTTGGAATCGAACTAAATCGCGAACCTCAAGATGCAAAGAACCGCCGACTGAACGCGCCTGTGAACATGGACCTGGACGAAGAACAATGCGCTTTACCAGCACGACACCCGCACCTCACTGCCGTCCCGCATCGGCGCCCGGAAAATCCTCTCGCCGCCCGCAGCAGCACACACGCCGCTGCCCCGCCACGCCCTCGCCACAACTGAAGCGCGCCGATTCCGCTGAACCCTCATATAATAAGAATTTACCCCTCTCCACCAATCAGCGAGAATGTGGAGTAGTCCGTCGCTGGGCCTCAAAAATGCAATGACGGGCGAACGTCGGTTGGGACGCCAACGCGATCAGTACCTAGTTGGAGATCGAGTCTACGGACTCGATCGACAGCCATACAGCAGAGGTCTAAGGAATGGGCAAGAATATTGGTAATCGGACGTTGGTTCTGATCTTCGTCTTTTGCACTTTCTCAGTGCATTGGCGGTGACCTTTTTTTTTGCCCAAGGCAAAGTGCGCCGACTCCGCTGAACCCTTATATTCATTATGAATTTACCCCTCTCCACCAATCATCGAAAACGTGGATGCAGTCCGTCGGTGAACCTCAAAACTTGCAACGACGGGTAAAAGCGACTTTACCGACCACCGAGTCGGTACGGTGACGGTTAATAGCCCAACTGAATATTCGTCTTAGACGTGACAGTTACAGAAACAGCAAGAGGTCTCAGGAATGGGTTAGAACTTGGTTATCGGACGGTGGTTTCGGTCTTCGTCTTTTGCACTTTCAGTGCATTGGCGGCGACATTTTTTTTTTGCCCAAGGCAAAGCGCGGCGATTCCGCTGAGGAGTTGTATTGAGTCGGTATTATTATCTCTACCAATCATCCGAAACGTGGAGAGTAGTCCGTGGATGAACCTGGTACCTTGCAGTCGATGGCTGAGGGGTAAGGCGGGACGCCGCCTTGCTCAGCTCAGCCGGACTGCTCGCAGCGCCGGGTCCTTGTGGGATGGCTTTGATATGGCTGTGGGTGAAGATCTCTCTGATCTTCATCTTCTTTTTGCATTTCCTCCTTTCGCACTGGCGCTGACACTTTTTTGCTCCTGTCATTTGCCAAAGCTGGATCTTGAAGCGGCATTGCTCAACGCCGTCAGTCAGGATTTCCATTTCATCGGGGGTGCTGGCAGCGATTTGCGCACGTGAAGCGTGTGCTTCGCCAAAAATGCACTCTGGCTTCGTCGGAGAAACAGCGCAAGCTCGCTCTCCTCGCCGCTGCCAGGCCGACGACCGTTCTTTCCTCCAGCGACGATCGTTCTCCGTCACCTACCCGTTCGCCAACTGCAGACGGCGTTGAGCAACGACAACCACGCCAAAAACGAGTGCGCATCTGTTCACGGCTGGCGGCAAAGTCTTCGTGCAAGCATTCTGCGAGCAAGCTGTCGACAGAACCGCAGTTCTGTTGTCGCACCGCGCGAGACTGGAAGACGCAATGGATCCCAGAGCCTGGTTAGTCTGAGCCTTGGAGTTGTGGGCGCGGCGTCAGAAGTTGTGCAAGGCCATTCAGATGCGCAAAGTCAGCTTCTCGTGCCCGGCTTCTCAGGCCTGCCCAAGGGAAGCGCGCTAATTCCGCTGAGCATCCATAAAGGTTCGGCATTATTTGTTTCCATGAATCACCCTGAACGTGGCGTAAACCTAGGGTGAACCTCTCCGGCCAGTGTTTCGGACGCGACGTGTTGGCTTAGTGGTCCTGAATCGACGGATTCGGTCGACCAGCAGAGAGTGTCTTTCAGGTATGGTATGAGACATGGAATATTACTTTTTTTTGCATTTCCGCTGACCATTTGACTTTCTTTGCTGAAGCCGACGACGTCGATGCGCGTGTTTGTGCAGGCGGCGGAGGCGGTGTGTTGTTGATGTTTTGCTTTTGGTGTTTCTCACTTTTGCTGGTGTGGTGATGATAATATGTGAGGGCGCGCCAAGGCTGGAGATACGTTTTGCTTTTTGTCGCGGCAGCTGCGACTTCGAGGCGGCAGAGCAGCGCAGGCAGGTGCTTTGGAGGCCAACTCGCGACGGCGCATCTCTGCATCCTCTTGCAGCGTGTCACGAATGTTAGTGCACCGTTCAGGACATTAAACTCGTGCAACCCCTGAACTTGACGGATGTGCATCGCATGGGGCTCAACTATGCTCGCACAAGACCATTGGCGAGCGATGAGAAAGTTCTACCATGACTGGCGACTTCTCGAACGGCTCAAAAGACTCCACGGCCAGCAGCCTCACGACCTGAAGTGTCTGCATCGGGTGTCACATGCAGAGAAACATCGGAAGCGAGACTGAGACCGGTAGCTCCTTTCACTAGCACGTTCAAGCCACGAGCGGTCTCCAATTTGATACCTCGCACCTCTCGCGTTGTAGTGCAGGCGCGGAAGACGCAGTGGTGTGCTCTCTACTTGAGCTGCTGGCTTCTGCTTTCAATTCTGCGAGGAGGCTGTTACAGGGGACAACTTTGTTGGCAAGCGTCGAGCATGAATCTAACCACATTGCTCGGAAACCAACATTGCCCAAGAGAACAAGCGCCGGGGCTGAAGACACGGGCAGGAGCGGACAGCTGCATCTCTCTGAGACCAAGCATGAGCGAGGACTGACGTGACTCCGAACCCTTTGGCGTAGGCCTGGCTGTGATATTTGAGTGCGTGGTGAAAGTGCAAGCAGAATCTTCTCGAGCACTCGAACTACAGACCTCGTACGAGCCGTAATCTCCTTCAATCTGGATGACGGTGACGTTGTTCGTGTGGAAGTTCCTTGGCATTGTCAGATACCCCTTGACGGAGAGCACGCCCGACCCTGGATTCGAACACTTTCAGATCACGCACCCAATGCACCTGAGCAGAGGCAAAATCTTCACCTCGGCACTGGTCCGATCACAGTCGGTGTCGCGCGCAACATTGACATTGTAGTGCCTGAAGAGCTGTTGAAGCTGAGATCCAAGCCTCGAGGACACTCTCATCAGTACGCTTCGACCTGTTCGAGTCACGGAGGCTTCCAACGTGCACTTTTCCGCGGCGCTAGCCGCCATCGCATCGGCAGCACGAACCTCTCGCGTCTCTGCATCCACCCAGCCTCCAAGTCGACCGCCACCGGAGCACCATGAAGGCCGAACGCGCTGGGACTGACCAGCAGCTGGAGCTCACGGTTTGGGCTGACGAGGACAAATTGCCGGAGTACATCCTCCCTGGCGCCGGAAGGCACCCGAATATTGTCGAGCGCTTCATCCCAGTCGAAGCAGGCCAGCAGATAACAATCAGAGGGAAGTTCGAAGGCACCACATTGGAAGCCTCCTTTGATCTCGTGATTGATGGCTCATTTCTGGTTGATTTGAGGATCGGAGACAAGCGCGCCCGACATTACGCAATACGGACCTTGAACTTCGAGCGAGTCTATGACTGTCCGAGTTTCAAGGAGGGCTGGACTTCGAAGCTTCAGCCCCCTCTAGACGTTTACGAAGCAAACCTGTTCACAGAGCGTATCGACGAGAAGAAAGTTGTCTTGGCGAAGATCGAGGATGAGGACAGAATGATAGAGCGGCCAGGTGTAGGCAGTATTCAGGTGGTGGCGAACCTCAAAGATACTGAGCTTGACCAGCGCATGGATGATGCAGAATGGGACATGGAGGGAGAGGGTTGGATCTATCGATCCCAGAAGTCCGTTCGGCGAAGCGGCATCAAACCTGACTATGCCATGGAGGTTCGGCACATCAGTTCCCACAAAGTTCCACAGAAGCGCAGCAAGACACACCGAAATCACTGGAATGTCCACCCTCGATTTGGATCGAAGCCATGGGGCCGCTTTATCTTCTATTACAGGAGCCAAGAAGCCATCAACAAAGCCGGCTGCATCTTGCGTGAGGATACAGCACAGCAACTGGACGACTTCACAGAGACGCACGATCTGTCTCTCGCTGCGGCTGGTGCATATAAACCTGACGATGAAGACATGACTGGCCTGAGTCCACCTGGTTTTGCGGCACCCCGCTCAGAGCGTTCTCTGCCTCACGCGCGCAGGTTCAAGCGACTGGGAGGCAATCTCGGCTTGCAGGAGAGTCCAAACGCCACTGAGAACAATGCAGACGGGTCTCTCTTCGTTGATTCTGACACCAACCTCGCCAATGACTTGGGCAGCGAATGGACTGGCGGCATGATTTTCAGCAGAGACACTGGGAAAGGAAAGCGCACTTCACCACCTGCAATTGCCACGACCCGAGGCACGGAAGTTATAGGTGACCACGGAAACGACTCTGCAAGACACGAGGCGCGCAACAAGACTTCAGCCGCTCAACGTCGCCGTAGAAGTAGGTTTCTGGACAGGCTCACTTCAGATGAGGACCCGCTTTCACATGCACATTCTACCAGAGACCCGTTCACCCCAGAAACCGACACACTTGGCAAACATCCAGCCGCCGCTTTGTCCTCACCACCTTCCACAAACATGGCGAAGCATGACTACCAGCGCCAACTCGTCAAAGTTCCAGAGCTTCCAGAAATCATTGAACTAGTCGGACCCGAAGGCATTTCTCAGCTAGAACTGAACGCGTACTTCAACAACATCGCCAAAGTAGAAGCTTGGTCGCAATCGCTTTACGCCAAACTGCGCACCGACTTCAACGAACGCGTCAAAGAAGTCGCCGACATTTCAAAGCTCAAAGTCACGCTCAAGGAACAACACCTTTCCTCGCTCAAGGCCGCCGACACTCCTCAGCCCGACTCAGCCGCAGCCGCCAACATGGTCAATCCATTCACCGATCGCGACGCGCGCACGCCCAAAGCTCCCTCCGTATCCGCTGATCGTACGAACGCGCTCAAGCGCGCCGCGTCCAAATCGTCTACTCCTGACGCTGGCGCCACCACCAAGAAAGTCAAGATCGAGAAGGCCGAGAAAGCCGAGAAGGCCGAGAGCAGTCATGCCGCCGACATGGAAGCGCGCCGTCGCAATCTCGAAGCGATCCGAGAGAAGACTGCGGCTTTGCTAGAGCAGGCAGCAAAAGTCAAGGCTGAGAAGGCAGAGAAGAAGGCGAGAAAGGAGCGTGAGAAGGCTGAGCGAAGGGAGAGGGAGAGACAAGAGCTTGAGCGTGCTGAGAAGGAGAGAGAGGAAGCGGAGTTGCTGGCCCAGGAGGAAGAGGTCTTGAAGTTGCAGCAGCAGGCCGCGGAGGCTTTCGCGCAGGCTGAGCTGGAGGGTAGTGACTCTGACTCTGATGACGAGAGTACGCTTGGTGATGCTTCTGGCTTGCAGGACGAACGTCAAGGCAAGGCTGGAGGGGAGAGTGACGAGGATTGAGGGGTTGCGACGAGAACCGGGCGGAGATTTGTTGTTGTCGAGAGCGGAGCGATGCGATACTGTACAATACTGCCGAAGATGCGGATTGGTCCTGAAGTAGAGTCGAGGAGATTGCACTTTGCAGTCTCCTGCAAGAGAGCTTCAGCAAATGCTAGGCTGCCAGCGTCCAGCCGACAGACGCGTGTGGCCAGGCTTGCAAGCACCAATCCAGCAGATTTCAAATTAATGCCAAGAAAACCATCAAACTTCTCATTCCAAAACATACTTAGGGTATCGCAACACGTAACATCATGCAATGTCTCCTCGCCCATATTCGCTCACTCATCGCTTGCTTCTTCCAGTCCTCCGTCACAACAGAGGACCACGGGATAGCAGCTTCTCATCACAAGCGTCGTATGGGCAGATAAGCTAGTCTCTCGCTGGTCGAATGTTCGATAGGATATTCTGCACACGAGCCAACATGTCTTCGCGTGTCTCAGTGCTGAGAGTGGGGAGGTTGCGCTAATTTATGTATCAGCATCAGGATTTCATAGCATTTCTCAGCAATGATTGGAAAGAAAGCAGGGGGATAATGGCATACTCTTTCCAACCAACTTCTCAATTCAGACTCTGTCCATGTTTCTGGTTTGCCGGATGGTTCTGAGGAGGAGGGGAAGAGGTCTTGGCCCCAGATTGACCTAATAGTAAGGAAACAGATCAGCAATAGACAATAGAGGAGGCAAGTGCAAGGGTTTGCGCTTGCATACCAAGCTGTGGCTGCTGTGACGAGAGCTGTGAAGCCTACGAACAGGTTCTTGGAATTGAGTGCTTTGTCGAGGGCGGTTGGCATTGTGGCGCGTGGCGTTATTGAGACCTCCGTGGATCAGTGGAAAAGTTGAAGGACGAAGAACACAGGCTTTGGCGGTCGAAGACGGTATCGAGATCAGGCAGCAAATTGCAATGTGTTGTTCGTTGTCGTACAAATGCAACCCTAATGTAGCTGCCACCTGCGCCGTGTCATCGTCACGCACGTGAAAGTGGCGCCTGGCGCTAAATTTGGCGCTAACGCTCGCCTAAGGTTTAGGGGATCATATCCCTGTCGATGCTGTTCGAACAGCTGTCGGACTGCAAACACGCGTCTGTAAGATAGCAACCAGCACACACTCTTTGGCTGTCATCTGGCATGAACACCAACCGCGATCCCTTCAATCTCCGACGAAAATCTCCTGCTTCACAGCTCTTCCGCTCGACTTCCAATAGCAGTTTGAATAGCAACAACAGCAACAGAGACAGCAATCCACCCCATCACGATCGTCACCTATCGCCGAACTATAGCCCCAATGCTTCGCAGAATCACGGCAGCTCAATAGCGTCGTCCAGCATGTCCGGCTACGGCATCCCGGCTAGCGGAGGCGCTGCTGCGGCTTCACACAGCGTCGACAACTGGCAAAGTTCTGGGAGGTCACGATTTCAGCACACCAACAACCACGACGCGCAGCAGACTCTGAGCGAGAAGGTTGGAGATACAATTGGTGGTATGTTCGGTGATGGGAGGAAGGAGAGTTTGCCCATGTACAAAGATAAACCGAGCAATTTCTATGGACCTGGCGGCAGGAATGCGAGGCAGTGGATGAGGAGGAAGAGGACGTTGGGTGCCGGGCTGGGAGTTCTGGCTGTGCTGAGTTGGTGGTTTGGGATACTAAGCCCATTGAGCTGGATTGGTGGAGGGTCATCAGACAAGGGTTCGGCTTCACCAGCGACACCTGTGTCCGGTGGGCAGAAACAACAGAGTGGGAGTGGATGGGGATTGTGGAGTGGGAAAGAAAAGGTGGATTGGAATGAGAGAGCGCTGAGTGTGAAAGATGCGTTTCAAATCAGCTGGGCAGGATATGAAAAGTATGGTTGGGGTATGTATCGGCATATAGTATGTCCTCCTGTCTGGGAGGTGTATCACACGCAAGGAGCTGGCGCTGACGATACTCTACAGGCTTCGACGAATACCAACCTGTTTCTCACAACGGCAAGCTCATGACGCCGAAAGGCATGGGATGGATCATTGTCGATGCGCTTGACACGATGATGATTATGAATTTGACGACAGAATTGGAACATGCACGACAGTGGATACATTCGAATCTAACATATGACCAGGACCACGATGTGAATACTTTTGAGACGACGATTCGAATGCTCGGCGGATTGCTCAGCGCACATTACTTGAGCACGCAGTTTGAGGGCAAGTATGCGCCGACGACAGATGGGCTCAGCGACGACCTGTACATTGAGAAGGCTGTTGATCTGGCAGATCGACTGTTGGGAGCATATGAGAGCAAGTCTGGAGTTCCCTTTGCGAGTGTCAACCTGGCAAAGATGCAGGGACTACCTTCACACGCTGACGGAGGCGCATCATCAACCGCGGAAGCTACCACTTTGCAATTGGAGATGAAGTATTTGTCCAAGCTGACTGGCGAAACGCATTACTGGGAGCACGCCGAGCAAGTCATGCGAGTCGTTGACGACAATCAAGCTGAAGACGGCTTGGTGCCCATTTTCATCTATGCTGACCAAGGCACGTTTCGAAGCGAAAACATTCGTTTAGGAAGCCGAGGCGACAGCTACTACGAGTATCTCATCAAGCAATATCTGCAGACTTCCCACCAAGAACCGGTCTATCGAGAGATGTGGGACGAGAGCTTGGCAGGTGTCAAGAAGCATCTGATCACGTACAGTTATCCAAACAATTACACGCTGATCGCGGAGAGGCCAGCTGGACTGCACTCGCGCCTGGAGCCGAAAGAGGACCACCTCGTCTGTTTCATGGGAGGCACCATTGCGCTAGCCACGACTGGTGGCGTGTCACTTGCGCAGGCCAGGAAACAACCAGACTGGTCCGAGAAGCATGAAGAAGATATGCGCCTCGCTCACGAGCTGACAAAGACTTGCATCGGCATGTACCAGACGAAAACAGGCCTCGCCCCCGAAATCGCCCACTTTCACATCCACGACCCGCCGCTCATGTACAACGACTTCTCGCCCAAAGAGCTCCCACAAAGCCCGGCCGAGTTCAACAAATGCCTCGATGCGAAATGCACCACGACCGAAGATACCGTCGCGAAAGACTTCATTTTCAAAGCCGCAGACGTGCACAACCTCCAACGTCCAGAGACTGTCGAAAGCTTATTCTACATGTGGCGCATTACAGGCGACGAACAGTATCGCCACTGGGGCTGGGAAATGTTCCAAGCTTTTGTCAAACATACTCTTGTTCCTGACGGAGAAGGCTTCTCCAGCGTCGCCAGTGTCCTGGAAAGCCAGGTGCACTTGAGAGATAATATGGAATCTTTCTGGCTGGCGGAGACGTTGAAGTACTTTTACTTACTTTTCACTGATGAAGAGATTCTTCCGCTGAACGAGGTTGTCTTCAATACGGAAGCGCATCCTTTCCCGAGATTTGAGCTTGGTAAATTGTTCAAGACGGGTTGGAAGAGGAAAAAGAATCGAACAGAGCAGGAGACGAGGGAATTGGAGCAGAAGTTGAAGAAGGGTGATGTTTTGCATGATGGGGAAGAAGCGGATGTGGTTGTTGTCAAGGTTACCAAGACGATGGAGAGGAAAGTGGAGAAGGAGACGGCAGTTGAAGCGAGTGAGAAGATTGGAAGGGGACAGAGAGGCAAGATTCTGGCTGGCAAGCCGCTTGCTGGGGATGAGAAGGCGAAGAGAGGTAGTGTGATGGTGGACGGGTCTGAGGAGCCGAGTGATGTATGATGGGTGGCAGGTGTATGTGGGTAGTGCATTGTACGAATTATTTCATCTGAGTGGGAAAGGTTTGTGGATCGGGTTGAACGTTTGCTGACGGTGGTTTGACGCTGCTTGCTGTCAAGCTCTCGTCTTTTTTTTTTCTTCTCTTGACTTTCTGGACATGCTCTTGCGAGATTTGGATGTCTTCTTCACTGATTTTTCTATATGCTAATTCGCGTCTAGTATACACCGAGATTGACCAGGTCACGTCACTGGCAGTATCTGCGAGACAGCATGTTGAGTGCTCGAGATCTCCGCCGATTATGCCTCCGCTATTGGTCTTCCCTCACGAGGAGCAGACGGCTGCGTTGCGTTGCGTACTGCGGACTTTCATGCTCATGCCTAATCACATGATGTAGCGAACAGGTGAATGATGGAGTCCGTGACCCACAGATCTTTCACAGTGTCTGTATTCAATCCGGATTCACCAAACCTTCATTTACCCAAGCTGGACCCACTCCTGAGGCATAAAATGCCAGCTTCCACTTAAGCTTGGACCCACAACTCGGCCTCGACCACTCTTTCTCGACACCAGTCGCTCGCAACACCACCACTTTGCATAGCAACCGTTCGCTCAAGCTACCGCCCGACCCCCATTTTATTACCCGTCCTTCGCCTCGCGGTGAACCTGCTTTCACCACTGAGCTTTTTTTTTTGGATACTGGCAGACTCGACCCTCGAATTTATCGACATGGCGCCTGTGTTAATGTACGAGTCGGAACCTCAGCAACCGGAGAATTCTTGGAAACGCGAGCTTTGCTACGAGGAAGGCGACCGTATCATCGCACTCGATGATGTGCCACAGAACCATCTAGTGCTTAACAGCGAGATTCTGGGCCGTGCCTCAATGTTCTTCCTAGGAAGTGAGAAGAATGACTGGGCCGGGTCGGCGACCACGACTCGACACGAGCCAACAGGCAGAGATCGAAAAGTACTCAAGTACTATCTTGTGCAGAACAAAGAGACTGACACTATTACACTGAACAAGACGGTATGTACAGCTGTCCATGCAATGCGAGATTTGACTAACGTCATCTCAGCCTGATACCGAACAGCACTCTCTGGACGATCGTCTAGCATTGCCCAAAAGCAGAGTCACCGTCTTCTACCTCTCTGAAGATGCCCATGGCTTCACCCATCGTAGGCACCATCACAGTAAGTACAGAAACTGTACGTATCAGTACTTGGAAGGTGACGGTTTCCGGGTTATCGACACTGCTCTCCAGTATCTTCGCACCATTCGCAAGAGCCACAGAGTCATTTTCAAGTTGTTGTACAAGGAGGACGTCGACGATTGGCTGGAGTACGAGGACTTTGCCGACATTGCAGCCTACGCGGAGCTGTATGATGTTCTGGCCGAGATTGCTCCAGGTCTAAGGCAGCTCTTGCTGAACAAGGATGATATCTGGGAGGATGTGAAGAAAAACTATCACTTCCATCTTGCTCTCGGACGCAAGCTGGAATGTGAGGAGACTTTCATCGATGCAATGCGCCACTACATCGGCAGTGGCAGCCCTTTGAACGACCTCACGATGAAGTTGGGGTTAGATGCGGAATATACATTCGAGATCGCCGACTTCCGCGAAAGCCAGAAGAATCGCATCGACCAGCTGATGCGGGACATCCAGGCCCTGGCATTGGCAACTCATGTCCCAGATACTGCTCCCAAGTACGCAGCTATTGGTCATGGGAAGCCCGTCAAGACCGCTTTCTTCTCGAGCGCACACAACCCGACCCATCTGGAGCGCGTGCAAGATCTCGGTCGGAAGATTTTCGTCGACTGGTTCACGCATCAACAACTCGGCGAGAAACACCAGATCCATAGACGCGACCATCCCGATTACTGGGCGGAAAATCCTCCATACGAAGTAGACACCGACAGCGACGACGAGTCTATCCCACCCCGGCCTTCGACACAGGGCGTCTATCTGCCAAGCTCGTTCAGAAATGCCTGTACTTATGCAGTCGAAGCATCACAAACGGGCAAAGAGCTGCAAGTCTTCGATGAGAATGCTCCTGAAGCCTTCATCCGCCAATCCTCGCTCGCAGCATCTCCATACGTCACGCTTGCAGTACAGAGCGAGCTCAAGAAGTTGATCAATCAGATGGCTAATTTGGCTCTCCCACTGGTTGCGCCCCGTGAGTACAAGGTCATGAAGGCGGAGAGATATCCTGAGCATCCTGGGTATGGTGCCTTTGGTATGCATGCTCCGCGATCCGTCTACGAGAGCTACAACGCCATCAACAACAAGGCATACCGCAAAGCGAATGCCCCTGAAAGCGGCTTCGGTCGGGGTCAGGCCAAGCCTCCTATGGTTCGAGGCGAAGGTACTGTCGAACCAGGCACTCTGGGGTTCACCCACACACATCTCAACGACACAGATCGGGGCAAATTCTACGATGAGTTCTGGAGCACAGGTGGCGAGCTCTACGACGACTGGGAGATTCGGTACGGCATGACGGCGCACGATGAATCACACATTCACTACTTCACAGCAACGGAGTTCAGCGAAGAAAATGTCCCATGGGATCGTGAAAATGTTCTGGGTGCGGAATACAAGATCTTGGACGTGAAGCCGGCCTCGAAGAAATGGCTCAAAGCGTTGGGTTTGTTGGGCGAGGATGAGGATGGGGAAGGAAATGATGGTACTGGTGCGACAGCTGCGGATTGGGGAAACTGAGCTGGGCGGGGCGTGACACATTGGAGATCGGAGATCGAAGGGGGATGAGACTGATAGAATGACTTGCATGGGGGTACGCATACATTTCGCACAAACAAACGCTAATTGAACATATTCTCGCACACCATTTGACCAAACTTCTACTCCACACTCACACAGCGCGAGAATCTCAAACAACAAAGTGTCCATTCATATTGCTCCTCTTCAAAGCCCGAAAGTCCTTAACGCTGCGCCTAGAAGCATCTCGACGATGAACAGATCGATCGACCTCAGACCCGCGTGCGAAGCTTTTCATGACATTTGCGCGAGCATTGCGCTTCATAGTCTCTGGAGTGTTGAACGGATTACCTATGTCGACGGATTCGCGCTTCTTCTTCGAGGCTTGTTTGGCGAGAGCATCACGCTTCTTGTTATTTGCTTGCTTAGCCAAAGCATCACGCTTCATGTTATCTTCTCGGCTGCGGAAAGCATTACGTTTGACGACTTCTTTGGTGACTGATCGTTGTCCGAAACTCTTCGAGTAGCGACCTCGTTTTTCTATGGTGCAAGATCCGAATTTGTTTTCCTCTGTCAATGGATGAGGGTTCTTGCATGAGTCCAGATCGTCGTTTTTGCGGGTTTCGAGGAGGGCAATTGGAGCTGGCTCATCTCGTTGATTGAGCACGATGTCGAAGCCTCCACGCTCTATTGTAGCGACACTGTTAGTCTTCCCGCAGCTTGACAATCAATGAGCGCTCGTACTGTAGACTGGTCGGCCGATAGGAGCAGCTATGGCGCATGCCGCCAGAAGGAAGGTGATGATGCAAGAGAGCTGCATTGTTCCTGTCGTAGGAAACTACTGGTGAGGTCGCGACTCGTTCTGCGTCTGAGTTTGCTGTGATCTGACGAGTATTGGGCATCGTGTTGACTTGTAATTATATAGACATTTGTCTTATCACATCTTGCAGCGCCGTTAAGGCTGCACCGGACATCTCGTTTTCCGAAGGCTTGATGAGTAAGGCGCAACCATTTCTTCCATTCTCGATTGAATGCCATGAGGGCACTTCCTAAAGAAGTGCCGAATTCCTTCCACTACCTGCGATTGCCTATTCGGGCGCGGTGAGTCTCCAAGGTCTTTGGAGCACGTGTAGGCTCACTGGTGAGGGTTGGACGCTTTACTGCATTACAGATAGTATCACTGGCTGGCTCCGTTCTTCTTCGTGGCGCCAGAAAATCTGCTGAACTTCTTGACTTTCCGTAAACATTCCTGTCTGGTTGTTTCGCGGCCAGTCGCTTTCCACGTAACGCCACTCTACATGGGTTGACTGACCTCATCCACCCTCTGTGGGCTGGCCACATTGGGTCAGGGGACGGCCGGGCTTGTAGCAAAGCCGGACCACACCTGAGATAACTGATCTGCCGACGATGGCTTTCCGTTTAGACCGCCGAAGGCACGCGACGAAGTTACCCTCACCCATGGTGTGGTCGTAATTGCCGATAGCCCAGCACTGTGAATGCCAAGCAGGTGGAACACGTGGGTGTGAACAACGATTGGTGTTCCTGGAAGCCCTTGCAAGACTGGCCCATGCTATCTCTGCCTCTTGCGAATGGTTCGTCGGCGTCCGTGGTGGTCTGAGGACGAAGTCAAAATGCGTGGTCGTGCCGATATTCATAACCGCGGCTGGCTCTCTCAAGCAGCACGAAAGGATCACTTCGTAGGGCACAAACTCCAAGGGCGGTTCGATGGCGAAGACTGGAGTCACCTAGATCAGTATTGTTGTAGATGATGAAGTCGAACTAGTTGAGAACCGGTGTACGCCGGTGCTGTTGTGTGACAGGGAACACGGATGCTTGGCCACGACTTCACCTGGTCGTTTCCGACATCTGACATCCCGCACACAAGAATCTTACCGACATCTTTCGGACAGCGGGAAAGCTTTTGGTGAAGAGGATATCCGCTCCCATGTCCTTGATATGCTCCTCCCAATCGATGCCGATGCGTGCAAGAAGTGGCATTCCGCAAGGCCTTTCTAGATGCAGATTGTCAGCTTTTGAATCGAGCCATTCCTCCGGGGGACAGCGACAGTCGCGATGACACGAGCCTCTCGATACCATGGCCCGAGAGACTCTAGATTGCGAGGAGTTGGCTAGTCCAAACACGGTTGTCGCATTCGCGTCGGCAAAGACTTCCAAGATGCCAACAAGCACGGGCAGTTCGCTCTGCGTGAAGTGATAATTTTGGAAACCATACAAGTGGGATTACATCGCAAATTCTGCCAATGCATCTCTTGATGACCTGTTCGCAGTCCACTGGTCCAGCCGGAAGGATGAAGTGGTCTTGGACTGCTTTGGGCAGCTACACCTTTCTTTTTCTTGCCAGCCGCCAAGACAATCGACATCATTTTCGTGACTAACCTGCATAAGCACATGCGAACTACAAAAATATTGCATCACTTCACAGGAGCGGCTTCGGCGGCATCTAGTAGATATGTTGAGTACATCAGAGCGACTGTTCTGCGTCGGCGGAGATCATGCAGACGACAAAGGAAATTGGATAAAGGCGCTGATGACGAAGGTAGGCATTCGGTACAGATTGCTGTGAGATGGGGCTCTGACTGCCAGATAGGAATCCATTGCCCACTTGCCCTCGAAGTCCAAATTCGAGGTATTGAAAAGTCGATTCCACTTCCCAATTCGAATTTTTGGGTAGCCCAAGATGTCATACACAGTCCAGTCTGGCGACACTTTCTGGTCTATCAGCCAGAAACTGGGTCTCTCTGTCGACGCACTCCAAGCAGCGAATCCAGGTGTTGCTGCTGGAAGCCTTCGAGTTGGACAAGTTCTCAATCTCCCAGGGTCTGGAACGATAAAGTACACAATCGTCGCCGGCGACACTCTCTGGACAATCTCTCAAAAGAATGGAGTTTCTCTAGAAGCTTTACAAGCAGCCAATCCCGGCATCAATCCCAACACTCTCCAAGTCGGCCAGGTCATTAACATTCCCAGAGGAGGCAGTGCACCAGCACCAGCACCCGCTCCTGCGCCTGCTCCACCGCCACCAACCAATGGCACTATCCCTGGCGCAAGGTCCTTCGTTCCATACAGTGGTCCAGCATCTAATTACCCGAACCCCAACCAATGGGCAAATTGGGATACACTCTGGAATCAAAACTTACGACTCATGAGACTCCATGATACAGAAGCAGAAATCGCTCTCATTCGAAGTTCCATCCTCACCGTATCCCAGGAATCCGGCGTAGACAGAAGAGTCATTCTCTGCATCATCATGCAAGAAACTGGCGGAAATGTTCGCGCTCCTACTGTACGTCCTCTTCTTATCCATGCCACTTCCCCCACTCTACTGCTCATACTAATCCCACCACCACAGACGAACAACGGCGTCCGCAACCCAGGTCTCATGCAATCTCACAATGGCGTAACTTTCAATCCCGCGGACCCAGCAGGCAGTATTCTTCAAATGATCCGCGATGGAACATCAGGCACTGCTTTTGGCGATGGATTGAAGCAATGTTACGCAAAGCAGGGAAACTGGTATGCGGCATTCAGACAGTATAATTCTGGAAGTGTAGATCCTGGCAATTTGAACAATGGGCTGGGAGCGACGGCAGATTATGTGACGAAGACCGCGAATCGATTGATGGGGGCGATTTGGGTGAATATGTGAAGGGCCTTTGGAGAAGGGGAAGAGGTGAATGTACGAGGCTTGGGTTATGGCGAGGTTCGTGGGATAGATCCGGGTACTGACGCATGAGAAGGACCTGCGAGCGCGCTCGCCTGATGCGAATTGTTAATTTTCCGTTGACAAGCTTATGCTCTTCTAAAGTTCCGTAGCACCAATCGTGCTATCAAATGTTTGCGATGAAATCAATGCGCTTCCATGAGTTTCAATCACGTTCATCGATCTTAGCTTCCGCATCTCTTCACCAAGACCCCAAGCTTCAGTGCAGTCATCAAGCTCAGACCAGCACCAGCGGAGCTTGCCACAATATTCTCCAGGTAACGTCAAGAGCCGAGACACCTCTCACAGGCTTAGCTCATCCACATCGTCCAGTGCGACGTGAACCTTCTCGACTTCGTCTTCCCACGTGCGCCAAGCCCCAGGATTCGGATGCGTCCTCGGCATTCCCTCATAGCCCTTCTGGATCTGGCCAATGACGAGACTGCCTGCAGAAGCCGAAGCGCACGAGATACTCCGGAGTTCTGTGGTGCTCGTGGTCGGCCAGGCAGAGACGGGATCATAAACCTCGCCGTTACTCATCCTGAACGGACACAAGATTCCGTAAGCAGAGAGCAGCGCAGTAAATTCAGGACCAACCTTGGCTGAGGCGAATAGCCCTCTTCCAGCAATCCTGTCGGCAACAGATGCCTTCTCCGCCTCCCGCGCGGCATCATCTTCTTCTGCATTTCGTTTTTGAGCCTTTGGGGAGCGCCGACTCGAAGCGTTGGAATCGACAGAATCGACGTGACTCTGAGGCGTTGGTGATCTGCGTGCGGCGCGTTCAGCCTTGACTGCTGCGTAGACACTTGGACCGAGCGCGATTTCTTCCTCTCGCGCTTTGTTCTTGGGCCGCCACATCGAGCTCGAATTGCCCTGCGAATTTGGTGACATCCATTCAGACATGTCCACAAGTTCCTCGGAACAGTCCTGCTTCGTCTTTCGTGCTCTTTGCTTTCCTTCGGTGGGCATCTTGGGCTGTGGCGAGACTCGAGCACGCTTCCGCGGTGCTAGCGAAGGCTGTGCGCTTGCGACTTCGAGTTTGGAGTCCTTGCTGTCGCTGTGCGTGGACGCATCAGAGATGCTGCCTGCTCTTTTCCGCTTGCGGACGTCGGAAGTGTTGCCAGCAGAACCCAGCTTCTTTGCCGCACTCCTCTCTTTGTTGGCGCTTGTCTTTGGCATCTTGAATTTCTCTCTCTTTGTCGCGCCTTTGTGTCCCACTGCCTGTCGTCAAAATCAGCACTCAGCCAATCTGATAATATTCAAACTGTCAAGGCAGTGCTTCGAGTAGCTGTGTTTTTTTCGATTCTGTCGCTGCGTGAAATTTAGAGTTGAGCGATGTTGCCCGAACCACAATTGTTGCTTCGTGAATAGGGTCCGTGCCCCACTTTTTACCATTTTCAGCTGTCCAAGGTGTCTTTGTGAATGGTTGATGGAGCACATACTATTTTGCGACCTCATGCCTTGTCATACGGGCGGTCGCTTCATTGTCAATCGTTTGAGAAGATCCAGTCTGTCGACATGGCTGCCAAGAAGTAGCCTCAGCTCAGGATCTCCTGACTGGGTCAGTAGCAATCGAATAGCGGTCTCGTATTGGTCACCATTGCGCCAGAAGCCCATACCATCCCACTGGTTCTGCTGCTGTGCATGTGTCTTCAGGTGCTTCCAGCATTTGTGCCATGTGTCCAGCGCATATCGAATATCAGTAGTGAAAGCCTCCGACTCACTCGAAAAAGCTCTGCAAAGCGACAGGGATAAGACGTCACTCGTGTACCGATACAGCACTATAGTGAGCAACAGTCAGAGAGAAGATAGCTGCACAGGCGTTGAGGGTCTTACTGTGTATCAGAATGAAAGTGTCTAGCACTGTCAGATCCAATATGCGGGTGTCATTAGATCCTTGCCGAAAGAACAGCCGCTGGAATGCTTCTTGTGAATTGAATGCTCTGCAGAACGAAAACTGTGGTAAGGCAAAAGGGTGTTCTGCTTCGAATACTGTCTCGACACAAGGCAGGCCGTACATGATCTCGGATGTCAGGATTCGGGTTGGTATGCCACGAAAGAACAAGAAGGCGCAATCAAGCAGGCTGAGCCACGCCGCTGTCCTACAGCTCTTGCATTAAATGTGTTGTTATTTCCTCCGAAGACGATCGAACTCACCTTACTTTGGCCTCTTTCAGGAGCCACTTCCGCTCGCTAATACGGTCGTCGAGCTGATGCGCTGCCTTGAACATATCGATGCAGTGGGCTGCCTGGGCACAAATCAATACCAACCCTCTGTACTGCAGGGCTGACTCCAAATCTCACCTCGATGACCTGTAAAAAACGTGTGGTCATAGCCCGTTGCTTTGCTTCTGCGTCTCCGGTCCAAAATTGAACGACAGCCATGCAGAATCCAGCCTGCACAATTTGGAAATCTTCATTGACACCGTTCGCCCCAAGATTCTGAAGTTTCCCTTTTGCGACTGATGACACAGCACGAAAAATGAATTCCTCGCCATACGCCATAATCATACTTGCCATGCTGCGCTCCTTCTGACTTGTTGAATACATGGCTCCGAGCAGGATCACCCCGACCAGAAGTACGTCATCAACCTCGCTGATCCTGAACGAAGGCCTGTGAATTACGGGGCAGTTGCGATGCCAGCCTCGGAAATAGTCCTCGATGTGCTTCACCACTCTGGCTTGACTGAAGACTTGCTGCAAGTTTGTCAAAGTGTCAGAAGTCGACAATGCAGATCCATCTGGACTGGTATACTCTGATAGCGCGAAAGTGATACTTGAAAGACGATCAAGATGGTCAGCTACGCCGTACACGTCGAGGTGCGGAGTCGGTGTGGTTCCACGTTCGCTGCCAGACACAAGCACATCCGCAGTGGGCCAGATCTCAGATTCGAAGAATGCAGGCCCAAAGATGCTTGCGTTGAAGTCGAATTCGAATTCCATTGAGTCTGCAATATCTCCAGACTGACTCTCGGCAGTATCTCTGGAAGGCGGACGGGGAAAGTTGAACCTGGACGAGAAGACTTCTTCTTCGCCGTCACGAAGAAGAAAGGAAGTCGAAAACTGGCTTTGCACTCTTGATTCACGATCACGAGAGGCGCTTCTTGAGGTCGCTGCGCTGTCAGTCACTGCATTCGAGCAGCTCACGTGTTTGCCAGCGCAAGTGCCGCATGGCGAGCCGCCATCACAATACAGCTTCTTCTTGGCACACTGCAAAGATCAGACAATCATTTGGAGGAACAGGTTGTATACATACGTTCTCACACGAATGACGATTCCTGCCTCGTGATCGAACGCCTTTCGTCAAAGGTTGGTTTCCCCGCTTGGGACAGGTTGTTTGGTGCCGTTGTAGTGCGTCTCTGGAATTTGTAAGTCTAGTTGTGACGCTTGAGGTCGAATGACTTACCGACGGGAGTATTTTCGATTGCAGAAACTACACCAATTCATCGACGAGGTGGGAGCTGCTAGCATTAGGGCGCTTTGAAGGAAGTGTCGGGTCAGTGATTGCGTACGGCGTCGACTGGAGGCGCGTATGTCCGCCATGAGGTGGGCATACTGTCCTTTTCCATCCGATCGCTGTCTGTCCGGTATGCGTAGACCGTTGGGACTGCAAGCAGCGAACGGCGATGGTGTGAGGATAGAAGCGAGATGACGGGTGCGACTTTGAGGTCTGGGAAGTCGCGCTTGCTGAGTCAGCTGCCGCCTTTGGCAAGAGCCGTGGCTGCACTTCAATCTCCAACTCTTGTCCTAGGCACTAGCAAACACGACCAGGGCGAAAGAGGCAGAGGTACATGCTCACAAAACCTTATTGCAACGGCAATTGGAGATACCTGACCAGGTTTGTGGTCAATGTGAGCGTTTTCCGGGGCGTTGTGGATTTCTCCGGAGGATGTGGTGTTTGTCCGAGTATACCTCCTCTCAGGCACATGGGTAAGCCGAACATCACGAAGCTCCTGATTCGACGTCCAGAATGTAGACTTGAAGTACACCTGGCGAACGATGCGGGGCAAGGAGATTGCCGGCGCAGATCAACGATGCTGTGCGACACATAAAAGTTGCCTGTTCGCAGGCGGCATGGAGGTACTTTGACGAACTGTTCCATTTCCTCACCAGATTAAAGCGACACTGAGTATTCAAGATGGCTACAAGCACTCAGACTACCACAGTCGAGCCTCAGACTCAGCCCCCTCAGGTTCAGCAAGCAGCCGCAGAGCTGCGAGCACCAGACGTACCTCCTATTTCCACTGCAGCGCCCGAAGCAACGGACGGGAACTATGGTCTGAAATCGAACTGGCCAGTCGCTATCGATCTTGCTGGAGGAAGCTCACCTTGCCGGCTGGAGGGTGAAGTCGAGGACTTGGTCGTCCTTGGCGAGGTGCCGAAGGCCATCGATGGCAACTTCTATCGTGTCATGTGCGATCCATTCGTTCCCCCGCATCCAGACAACGTTCCCATCGATGGAGACGGTAACATCTCGGTCTTCCAGTTCCACAATGGCCGGGTCGACATGAAAACCAGATATATCGAAACAGAGAGGTACAAACTCGAGCGAAAGGCCAACAAAGCGCTTTTCGGGTTGTATAGGAACCCGCACTCCCATCATCCATGCGTGAGGTTTGTATCCACTGAACCGTCGTCAGCATCCCCAAATAGTAATGCTTTGCAGAGCCGCTGTCGATTCGACAGCCAATACCAACCTTGTGTACTGGGCCGAGCATTTGCTGGCACTGAAGGAAGTCGCCTTACCATATGGTGTGGACCCCATTACTCTGGAAACGAGATGTTACGACCCTTTCAAGCAGATCAAAGCCAAGACTTTCACGGCACACCCAAAGTACGATCCATACAAGGACGAACTTGTAGTATTCGGTTATGAAGCCAAGGGCCTCGGAACCAGAGATATTGTGACTTATTCCATCGACCGGGCCGGCAAGATTAAGAACGAATTCTGGCTTCAGGATCCACACGAGACGCCGGGATTCATCCACGACTGCGCCATTACTCCCAACTGGCTCATTCTGTTCGTTTGGCCGTTCGAGGCAAACGTTGCCCGGATGCAGAAAGGCGGCCATCATTGGGCCTACGACTATAGTAGAGGTCTCACGCTGATCGCAGTCCCTCGCGATGCCGCAACTCCCAAAGCTTCCGGCTGGCAGTCGAAGGAGGTGCGCTCATACGACTGGAAGAACTGCATGCCGATTCACACAGCCGCAGCATGGGAAGAGGATGGCCTCATCTTCATTGAAAGCTGCCGTGTCCACGACAACGCCTTCCCGTTCTTCCCTCCTGACGAGGAGAACCCTCGCATGCCAGCCGCAGACACTAAAGCCGACTACGTTCGTTGGAAGATCGACCCCACGCAGCCCGATCGCGCCGCTCTCGAGGATCCTCAAATCATTCTCGACGTCCCATCTGAGTTTCCGCGCATTGATGAGCGATTCATGAGCTCCAAGTACGATATCGTCTGGATGAACGCCTTCATTCCCAAGAAGTCGGATGGCGGAAAGAACGTCTTCCATGGGCTCAACGGCATTGCAATGCACAGCAACAAAACTGGCGAAACTCGCTGGTTCTATGCAGGAGACGATTCGCTTGTGCAAGAACCAATCTTCGTTCCGCGAACAGACGACGCACCAGAGGGTGATGGATGGGTAATCGCATTGGTGGAGAGGCGAAAGGCTAATCGCTGTGATGTGGTGGTGTTGGACACTAAGACTTTCGAGACTCCCGTGGCGATCGTGCAGTTGCCATTGCATGTCAAGGCTCAGATTCATGGTAATTGGGTTCCTGCGAAGTCGCTGGGCGGGTATAAGCCCATCATCAAGCCTGTAGAAGTTTGGGGCATTTCTGGGCAGGGCGCGTTGGAGGCATTCTAGTAGCAGAGCAATAAGTAACAGCTCAGCTTCAATCGCAGACAGCTGGTTTCTTTCGCTCCGTTCTTTCCATTTCGACAGGCGTGATGCCTTATGTTGCAGCAGTCACGGAGGAGAAGGCAGAGTTCTCGGTCGAATCTGCTTCGGTAAAACATTCATCCGAGCCGACAGCTTCCAGCAACTTTCGTCTCAAAAATTGTAGAACTGCTCGCTCACTGGCCGCTCGTCTGTCCACACCCACCATGTCGTCCTTCTTCACCCTGCCCGCTTCGCAAAAGAAGCGAAAAAGAGCTCAAGACTCCGCTCCCGCAAAATCCTCGAAAGCGCCCTCTTCCAAACCACGAAAAATCCGCGACGAATCCATCTCCGGCTCCGATGATGAAGACGACGACGAACACCAGTCTTCTCGCAATCGCGCGCTAGACGTGCACAGCGCCGATGAAGAATCTAGCGATGACGAAAATGAGGATGTCGCTTCTAAGCGGATCCGCCTGGCGGAGCAATACCTTGCCAACACGCAGAAGGAAATTCTCGATGAGGCGGGTTTTGATGCTGCGGACATTGATAAGGAGAATCTGGCGAGACGGATGGGAGAGAGGTTGAAAGAGGACACAGCGGAGTCAAAAGGGAGGATATATCGCTGGATTAGTGGCGATTTTGAGTGGTCGCGTGCCGAGAGGACGCAGTGGAGGTTTCACCAGAAGAGTGTGACAAGCGTGGCGGTTTGTGAAAAGGATGGCGTGGCGTATACGGTTGGCAAAGATTGTGTATTGGCGAAGTGGAAGCTGCCGGAGGTGGTTGAGGAGGAAGAGGAGGGAGAGAAGAAGAGGAGTAGGAAGCCAAAATTACTTGCTGTGAACAAGAGGTTTGGCGAGAAGACCAAGGGGATGGAGCAGCATAACAAAGCCATTCGTTGTGTGGCAGCGAGTCAGGATGGCAAGTTCGTGGCGACGGGTGGGCTGGACAAGAAGTTGATTGTGTGGGATGCGGCGACGCTCAAGCCGCTGAAGACATTCTATTACCAGAATTGCCATCGCGACTCAATTGACAGCTTGTCGTTTCGGCGGGGCACAAATCAGCTCTTCAGCGCGAGTCGCGATCGGACGGTTAAGATCTGGAGTCTGGACGAATTGACGTACGTCGAGACGTTGTTTGGGCATCAAGAAGAGGTGGCAGATGTGTCAGCACTGGCACAGGAGAAGTGTGTTACCGTGGGAGCAAGAGACAGGACAGCGCGATTATGGAAAGTGGTCGAGGAAAGTCAATTGGTGTTCAGAGGAGGCGGAGCGCCCAAGCAGTCGCAACAAAAAGCAAAGGACAACGACAGCGGGATTGATGTTGGCGAGGACTACGAAATGCCACACGAAGGCTCAATGGACCGCGTGGCGTGTCTGGATAATGATACATTTGTGACAGGCTCGGACAATGGCTCACTAGCACTATGGAATGTCCACAAGAAGAAGCCTGTTCACGTGTACCCGCTTGCACACGGAATGGACCCGCCCCTGCCCCTGTCAGAAGTGAGCGCAGAAGAGGTGCCATCAGAAGAAGCAACGACGAAACCCCAACCACGATGGATCACGGCATTACGAGCGATACCCTTCTCCGATGTATTTGTATCTGGATCCTGGGATGGTTATGTACGAGTATGGCGGCTCAGTCAAGATAAGAGACGGATCGAACCTTTGGGAAGAGTGGCCTGCGTGGAGAGTTCTGTCGAAAACTTGCTTGACGAATTCGGATTAAGCTCAGCTGCGCTTTCGAAAAGTGCTCTACAAGCTGTGACCGATGGAACGGAAAAGAATGGCGTGGTTTCTGGCATCGTCAATGACTTGGCGATTGCGGACCGCGGCGAGAGAGCCAAGAATGGTGTTCTGGTCATCGCGGCTGTGGGTAAGGAGCATAGACTGGGCAGCTGGAAGGTCCAAGAGGATGGCAAGAACTACTGTGTGCTCTTTGAAGTGCCCAGGAAAGTGCTGAACAGCGAAGAGTCTGCGGATAGTGCAGAGGCCGGTGGCGAGGAGGATGGAGGCGACTTTGGTGGATTTGACTGAAAGAGAGCATCAAACGTCAAGACTCAATGCATTCACGCCTACCAGGACTTCTTCGGGCCAAAACCAACGAGGCTATTGGCTGCGCAAGGCGGGCTCTGCATCATCGCGGCAACACGCTTATTGCTCGACCTGGGCTTCACACATTGCTCACTCTACGCGAACTCATGATCTCCAGAACATCTTCGCGGGTCGGGCGTAGTCGAGAACTTATACTCGTGTAGATAATATTATACAGCCCACCAACCAAAAGGCCGTTTCATGTGCCGCTCTTATCAGCACGCTCACCAGATCCTCAGATCCTCTTTCGATGCGACAATGTTGGTCAGCACGGAAACTGCTTCCAAGCGATGGAGAACGCCCTTTGGCAAGTGGGGTCGAGTATTGAGAGCCGACGCTAACGTCCTGAAGCTATTTGGAGCTCACCTTTTAGCCGACTTCATTTCGACCCTCTCAACTGCTTCGATTTTCTACTTCGAATGTCATTTATACCGCGTACTCAAGAAACACCTTGGCCAAGCGGAGAACAGTAACGCTTGCAAGCAAAGTTTTCTCTGGAGCGAGCGGCATCCTCAGACCTACTCAGTCCACCTACTACAAACATTTAGTCGACAAGCGACATTCAAGCACGTTCCAAGATCAAGAACTGAGTCATCTCGTTGCTGTACCAGTCAGCAGAGGACCGTCGAGCAATCCCATCAATCATTTTGACGCAAAATCCAGACAGCTACAATGTCTTCCCCCAACCTCTTCCTCTGGGACCACCCCATGTCCTCCTACGCCCAAAAGATCCGTATGGCACTGCGCTTCAAAGATCTTCCCTTTGAAAAGGAAACCCCACCGAACCTAGGCTCCGGCGAGCCCAATTCCTCCTTCCTCTCCGCAGGCCCACGCATGGAAGTTCCCGCTCTCGTTGTCAAGAGTGGAAGCGGAGGTGAAGAGTTCAAGCTCTTCGATTCCACGGCCATCATGATGTACCTCGAAGAAGCTTTCCCAGAATCTCCCAGTATGCTTCCCCGTGATCCGAAAGCTCGCGCCGAAGCGAGGATGATCGAAGAACTTTGCGATACGCATTATGAAGCGATTAATTGGGCTATGGGGGAGATCAATTGGTTCAAGAGGGCCGAGGGCTCTGAAGCTGAGCGCCTTGTCGCTGCTGCGAAAGAGCAGACGGGTCAAATTCTAGCTTGGCTCGAAAGTAAAATTGGGGAGAAGAAGTTCTTTAATGGTGGTGAAGGGATTGGTTATGCGGACTTTTGTGTTGCGCCGATTTTGAATCGGAGTGTTATTAATGGGTTGGGGCCTGTGAAAGGGTCGAAGTTACAGCTTTGGCATGAGAGAATTAGTGGGATTGAGTGTGTGAAGAAGACTTATGCGGAAGTGGAAGCTGCGGCGCCGTTGATGAAGAAGATGGGCCCTGATGCGTGGAAGAAGGGAAGTGGGAGGAGGAGAGAGTATAGAGATCATCGGTTGGAGTGGTTGGTCAAGAATGGGGCTATCGGGATTGTCTTAAAAGGTCTCGAGGATGAGAATATCAGGTTTTCGTGGCCGCATCCGGCGTCTGGTGGAGAAGGAGGGGGCAAGTTGTAGGCTGCCTTCTTCGAGGTACTTCTCCCCGGTTTCTGAATGTTCGGCGGCTCTTGTAGTTGGCTTGCTTGACTTGGCAGTTGCTTAGAATTCTGCTTATGTTCAACGTCATGCATCACTGTTCAATTGCAAAGATGCCGTGGCACTTCGACTCTTGCGTTTGGCTCGTTGAGCTTACCGAAGAATCGAGATCAACCTCTAGACCGCTGAGTTGGAAGTTAGAGTTGGCGGGTCTTCGGTGAGATGCACGATTACTCGCGTTGGTTGACCTTTTGTGGTGCCTCAAGTTGGACCTAATCGGCTACATCCAAGTGCAATTCCCTCGTTCGGCTCGCCTACCAACACGAATAGTCGAACTATCTCGCAAATGTCACACAAAATGCCAGAGATCCCTGCTATTGGCCAAAGCCTCAAACCTGAAACCTTGGCATATGGTTCCTTCCGCTCGTGTCACTTCGTGCTCGAGGTCGGCGATCCCAGACTTATCGCTTCATGTACAGTGGCCATCCTTGCGATTGCGCCGCAAATGTTCGGCTCCCCATGAAGTAAGATCAGATCGTTCGAGAACTTGGAAAATCTGGACATGAAACGGCTTTGGACGACCTCACCTTTCTTTTGCACTGTCTTTGAAATTTCCATCTCGCAGGTGTGGGCACGATGGGCAGGCCAGAGGAAGAGCAGTATCAGCGGACGATAGACATCCTGTGTCAGGAGAGCCAGACTCCTCAGGAAGAACTCACCGATGACATGGCTATGGCGGATCTGCTGACGGATCCTTTGCTTTCGGTGGCCATTAGCGCGCGATTGAAGAAAGAGCTGCAGCTCGATTTCAGCGCTGATGACTTGGTCAATTTGAGAGCTATTGGCGATCTGAAGACGACCTTGTTGGGGAGTGGAAGACAAGAAGTACCTCCTTTGTCATTGACAACGTCACCATCGGATTACTCCGATTCAAGACTTCCCTCGACACCAGAGGATCTGGCCATTCCAATGCGATCCACCTCGATGGCAAATGGAGGAATGAAGTCAACAGAGTCGCTCCACTCGCCAATGATCGGCACGCCTGTGGAGAGAATAGCACGATTAGGAACGCCTTCGTCTACTTCCATGGCCACACCTTTAGAAGAGCTCGAGCCGTGGGCGGTGACACCGCCTCCGATATCACGCGAGCCATCGCCTTCGATTCGATACACCACGTCACGCGATGCATCACCTGCGATGCCGACAGCGACTTCCGTAGTCATGCAGGGCCGGCCGGGGACGGCGTCCTGGGCAGTCTTTTTATTCCCCGATGGATCAGGGAGCGAGCGGTCGTACGTCAACCTCCCTCGTATTGCCCTCGATGTGGTTGTTTATGGATTACAGTGTCCCTTCCTCAAACGACCAGCTGATATGATGTGTTCATGGGATGGCCTGGTCGAAACTTACATCACGGAGATCCAAAGACGTCAGCCTCAGGGTCCATACGATTTCGCTGGATATGCCGCGGGAGGCGCTCTCGCCTTTCGTGCAGCGCAGCTTCTGGTTGCTCGAGGGGAGAAAGTCAATAGTATGACACTCATCAATAGTCCGGTGCCCGAGACCTTAGGCCATTTATCAGATGAGCTGTACGAGTACATCCGCTCAGTGCGCGACTGGAGGTACGGAGGGCATATTCCAGAATGGGTGCTGCCACATCTCAAGGCTTTCACCAAGGTCCTGAATTCGTATCGGCAAAGTAGGTGTGGCATTGGCGCAGTGAAGAACGTGCGGATCCTGTGGGCTGGACGCGGAGTTCCCGACGAAGCTCCGCCACCACCTCATGCGCTTTCTGACGGGGAGAAAAGCGTCATCAGGTTTCTGACAGAGGCGAGGCGTGACTTTGGGCCTGGTGGATGGGAGGTGTTGTTGCCCGGCAGTGAAATCTGGTGCGGAAAGCTCGATGCAGACCATTTCGAGATGATGGTAAGTTCGTTAGCACGACCTCCGTTGCTCCTCTCGGCCGTGATTTGGACTGAAAGAGAATATCGCTAACCCATTTCGTGCCTTCCCAGAGCTCCGAATATGCGCCGCAGATTTCTATTTGCATTGCAGAGGCCCTGCAGTAGTCAAACTGCTGGAGAGCTAGAGTAGCCCTGCCGTCACGAGACCTGGTAGATCCGGAGCTAGTCGTGTGTATGCAAGGTCACTCGACTTACTGCCTGGGAAAACGATCGAGGCAGGGGGGCCATTGCTGCCGCGACTCGGACTCTTACGCTCCTTGCACGGAACCATAGCAGACCGAGTACACCAGTGTACCTAGTGCGTCCCGCAGAGCTTGGGCTATTTGCTTTTGTTCTGCAGAGTCCTTGTCCATCGTGAAAGGAAGTGCCCGTCCCGTCAAGGGAGCATTTTCCTGAAAGGTGAGATGCCTGGCTCCTTCTCTGGTTGTATCTGAGATTTCTGAGAGTGAAATCCGCCATAGATGCAGCAAGAAGTGCACAGAGTTAGATTTCAGTGTGGAAGAAGGAATGTATGAGAGTATCGATACGCTTGTTGGAAGGCGTTGATGGAGGAGTGCTTGTGGCCGGAGGAGCCGCCGATCGTCACAGAAACGGTGGGCGGGATGAGCCGGCGCCGTACAACCTTCTTCTTTCCTTCTTTGACCACCAAGTCCAAGTTTCCGTGAACTTACTTCGTTCCCCCAGTCTCGAGATCTCTGGGATCGTGGGATCACACGCTCGCCGCTCTGCTGACATTTCGACCCGTAACTTACCAGCAACCACTACGGAGACGTCATGCTCTCCGAGAAACGCTCATTCGGCTCCGTCACGCACGCGCAAGACGGGCAGGCAAGGACTTCATCAAAGTAAAACATCCCCAGGGCCCGGAACTGGCTGAAATGCTTGGCCTTTGGAGTTCGCCGTCAACTTCTTCACAGTGGGAGCTTTGTGCTCGTCACCCGATTGACAGTCACTTTTGTCGCCATTGGCATTCGAAAACTTCTGGCCGTCGGCCACCCTCAGGCACCTGGACAAGCTGGCGCGACAAAGCGCTCCGCTGGATACGCCGCTAGCAGGGTGAAGCGCTTCTCGATATCCGGCGAGCGCCCCTCCGTCATTGCATTAATGTGCATCGGGGAAAATTCCTGACCAGCTCAACCAACTTCAAAGATTGTGTTAAGGTTGTGAGCAGATCTAGGGAGTATAGCCGGTTCAAAGTCAAAGCTCCTCTCTCAAGCAACGCGCCGCGCGTGCCGCAGTTGTAACGTGGTAAGGGACGCTCTGTCATTGCACGAAGGCTCGAAAGACTTTGCAGGCATTTCAACATGTCGACATTGTTCATTTCAGAGGGACGTCAGCGGACCCCTCTGCCGGCTTGTGTATGCTCCAGAACTCCCACGAGACACGCTACGAGATATCCCACGCCGAGAAAACTGGACCCCATGTAGTGTGTGGTCCCTATGATCCTTCACCGCTGCAGATACGCCGCACAGGACCGCCTTCCATGACTCGAAAACGCCAATGGCATTGGCGCAAGGCCACACACAGCTGCTATTCCCGACATACAAGCGCATTTCGAAGCGATGACAGATTGATCAGTCTGCAGGGAGCTCTCTGGTAGTTATGTAGCTCGAGGTAACATGTATATCTTGTTCCACACTGCTGGTTCCGTTGTTGTCGCTCTTGTGAACCTCTTCACTCCTAGTTGCAGATCCCCTAATTCGAGCGCCCTAGGGTATCATGTCTACTCCAACTATCAAGTACCGAGCTGCATGCGATCACTGCTCAGCTACCAAGATCAAATGCACCCAAGAACGGCCCTCTTGTGCGAGATGTCGTACCTTGGGGCGTGACTGCAATTACAGCCGTTCGCTAAGAGCTGGCAAGCCTCCCAGATCAAGTCAAGGTCTCAACAAAAGAATCGCGAATGCTCCAGTTCTACCACGAAGGGGACCCGCTGCGGATTCACCACAGCCTGTGAACGGCGGGCCTCTGGGCCACGGACTGCCGGCGCAGATTGCGTACCCGATCTCCGGCCACACACCTAAGACCGAACCGGCATGGTCTGCAACATCCTCACCATATCCATCACCTCCAGACATGCGTGCATATGGCAGCGCAGAGCCGACTTTCTTTCAAGATATTCATACAGCAGACAACAGCTCCGTCAACACGCCCATGGAGCCAGAATGGTTTTTCGATTTCACCAACGCTTCATTACCCAGTGAAAGCCCTCTGGTCAGAGTGGACTCCCGCGAACCAACACAACAACCGAGTCCCATGTCAGACACCAGGCACCCCGTCTGCTTGCCCCAATCAGCGGACGCGAAGATATACCCAAACGAGCTCAACAATATGTCCCAAGAATTCATCCCGAACTCACCCACTCCACCCGGTGTAGACCAGTGTCTACGGACCGCGACCGAAACTCTCAACAGGCTCTACGAAATCCCATACGCACAGATTGACCACGAGACAAAACAATACTCTGTCGATCAAGTCCTGAGCAGCACCTCACGCGCTGTACAGATCTGCCACGATCTCATATCTTGCCCTTGCGTCAAAGACTTCCACCTACCCATCGCGATTGCAACACTGGCGTCCAAGGTTCTCACATGGTACCAAACAGTCGCTTGTATCCGAGACCCCAACACGGAAATGCCTAATACCAATGGCAAGGTGCATTGCAGAGAAGTTGTTGTGGATGAACAGCTGGCGTTGGGAGCATATAAGCTCGATGGAAGTATGGGATGGGTACTTAAGAACCATATTATTCTTGGTCAAATTCAGAGACTGAAGGAAGTTGCCGATCGATTTGATGCGCAGTTCTGTACTGAGAGTTCGACGAAGCAAATGGTTGGGGGAGGCAAATTGTATTCGAGTATGGGAAACCTGTTGAAGTCGAGGTTACAGTTCACTCTGCGGGAATTAGAGACGAGGCTGAAGGGGAGTTCGAGTTGACGTCAGGAGACCTTGGGAAAATGGGGTTTGCAGTTACTGTACAAATAAGGCATTTTGTGCTTCTACATTGATCGGGAACCAAGTGTTAAAGATCATAGCTTCGCATAATGCATGCATTTGCTTTCAGTCGCCGACATGTGCTGAAGGACGCATCTGGTGCCTTTCTCCAGCATCGATGTGCTTCTTGGCAGAGAAAACGAGAGTTACAGTTCTGGAAGAAACGTCAGTCATCTTACAGCTTCAGGTTTTCCCTGCGCCTGGAGAGATCCGAACCGAACTGGTGAGTACATACATCGATACTGATCTTACATGAAGATTTGCTGCACGCACTATCGCCCGCTAGGAGCAGGCTCTGGGGCCGACCACCTTGGAAAATAGTTCTTGTAGTAGTGTCACCATTTGCGAGTGCCACCGCTGTTATAATTTGCGTCGTCCTCGCGGTTCTTCTGGATGATGGTTTTCGTGTTGTCATCGCTCTGCTGGACATACAATAGAATGTCGGGGATCTGGATCCCGTCTTGTGTCTTAGCGCCAGAGTTCCAGACTGTGACGATGATATTACACACGGGCCGAAGCGGTACCTATGCTGGGCGAGGAAAACGACAGCGCCACCGACCATAGGTGATGTAATCAGAAGGTCGTAAGCTCGTGTACCGATTGGCAATGTGAGGCCCGGCTTCGGTCTCAGACCCAGCTCGAATTGAGAATTGAGGCTGGATTGGAGAGCTTGTAGGGTTCGGTCAGATGCCTGAGCTTGCGGGAAATATATCCATTGAGGAGGCGAATAGAAGAATCCAGGATGTCCACTCCTGTCGGTTGGCTCGAATTTGCTGTACTTGGCGTACGTGAGATACGCGACATCCGACCAATGTAAGGTCTCAGCGTCTTGCCCAGGGGTGTAGACATCTGGATCTACACGTGGTCCCTGGCCCCCATCCCACCTTCGTGGTCCATATCCTGAAAGACCGACTGCGGATGTCTCGTCAGTATGCAATAGACAGTGATACCAAGCGCGACCTACCCAGAATGTCTTTCGACGGGTTCGCAAGAATCTGGTAATTGAATGGCGTGCCTTGTTTCCGCCAGTCTTCACCGAACCATCCAGCCGGCCCTTTTGAGTGAAACCCAAAGGCCCGTCCCTCTTCGGGCATCTGCAAGCCAGCAAGCCTAGATAGCTGCGTATCCATGAACTTTGCATCAAGCTCAGTCCGATGCCAATTAGCCGTGCGAGCATCGTGCGGTCTGATATGGGCCTGCGGCATAGCTCTTCCAGCATCAGCCATGCATTGAACAAGCGCATGGGCAGCCTTCTCGTTCGCGGTCTCAGTTTGAGGGTCCAAAGGAGTTAAACTAACACGCTTGATCGCCTTCGATGTGGCATTGTAGCCGGGCGATGCAGCACTCATAAAGTTGACAAGACATGCTTCTCCACTCGTCGACTTTCCTTGTTCGATCGTCGTGTGGGAGGCGTTGCCTTGCGGAGTGGGTGCACCGAGGAGAACCAAGGCGGAGAAGAGCAGCCCAAAAGCGTGGCGCAACTTTGGGAAGTTCTTCGGTGCCATGAATGTGTGGCGGATTGACCTGCGCAATGTGGAGTATTGAATACTTCAGCAAAATGTTTTCGGGGTCAGTGCAGCATTGATTGCAATGGCAGCTGTACTTGTAGACTCGAGCTCTAGATATGCCACCTGGCTACAAAGGTCGCCGGAGTACACCTCGTGCCATCGGATCACTCCTGGTGCTTGCCATGTGAGCGTTCTGAATCAGATGTGACAGTACGGAAATGACGATATCATGCTGTTGATTCGCTCTGGTGACATGTAGCGCTCGAAAACACCGCTGTCACGTACCAGACGTATCTCAAGTGGCTAGAGCGTAGCGGCCCAAAAGCCTTTGATGATAAGTGTACAGCTCACCTTATTCATCCCAAGGCACACGATAGACACACGTTGCGTGACTATGTGTCTGCAGCAGAGTCCGGAGGCTGGCAGTCTCAGTCGGCCGCATACCCGAGGGCTTGTTCAGCCAGGTAAGATTTACGAGAGGTCCATGGTGTATCTCTTGCGCGCCCGCATTCGAATAGTGAAAGCCCGGGTAGCCTTGGTGAGTGACAGGCTGCTGTGTGATGTTATGTGCGGACGATTCTCAACCTTATTGTGCCGAGACTGGGGCATACGTGTTGATATCCAGAGATGCTACACAGAATCTGTGCAAGCGTCCACGTCAGGATATGAAGATTGTGGCAGCAACGCATATCAAACCCGCTGCCGCTCACAGAATACCTTCTGCGTACTTCTGCTCGCCCGCGATGAGGGCAGTCGACAGGCGCTTTGCCAGGTTCTCATGGGCCAATAACCTGCAGAGCATCTCGCAAGCAGATTGCGTGTTCTTTCCCTAGAGACATTGGCCATATTGATGACTTTGTGGAGTAAAGAAGCCTTACGCATCCATCCCGCGTATTGCGTGATGGCTGTGCAGCTTGCCACGTGATCGGTACATAAGCGGACTCAGCTGCGAAGGTACGTATCTTTCGAGTTGCCAGGTACGCAAACAACTCTACTGGACAAAGCTGTGGTGGCTTCTGAGGGGCAGAAAGTCCATTTCTTGTTGAGCTTGCCGAGTTGCCGGATAACGTTACCAGACATTAGGCTGCATATTTCCTGCGTTGAACTCCGTTGTATCGACACAGGACTTGTCAACTCTTTCGTCGCACTAACATTGTCAGCATCAACGATGGCTACTGCAACACAAACCGTTCAGGATGTGCCTCGAAGGGTGCTGCCGAGATATGAGCAAGCAAAGGAGTCGAAGTTCGACCTCGACTGGGCTGATTTGATCACGCTCGATTTGTCCCAGTTCGACCAGCCAGGAGGGAAACAGAAGCTTGCGAACCAGCTTCGAGATGCTGTCCACAAAGTCGGCTTCTTCTACGTGAGGTCCTTCCAAACTCTTCCACCAGCGAAGCTAATTCTCTGTAGATCACAAACTTTGGCCTGAGTCAAGAAGAAGTCGATCGCCAATTCGCCATTGGCAAAGAGATCTTTGCGCTGCCAGAAGAAGAGAAGCTCAGGCATCGGGCGCGACTTGAAGAAGGCCATTACTCCGGGTACCGTCCGAAAGGCACCATTGAGCTGTTTCCAGGACTTCGCGACAATGTGGAGATGTACAACATCTTCAAACACCTCCCAGAGCTTGAACGCAGTCATCCAGAAGTCATTCACGAGAACCGAGCCGAGATTGAGAAGTTCCAGCGCCATATTGCGGAAGATGTGATTCAGAAATTACTTGTGCTGATATCGATTGTCTTGGAGCTTCCTGAGGACTATCTGTCGAATGGCCATCGGTATAATGACCTCTCGGATTGTCATTTGAGGTACATGATCTACCGAGCAAGAACGCCGGAAGAGAATGCCAAGTATCAAAACATATATTCGAGAGGACATACCGATTTTGGATCTCTGACGTTACTCTTTCGGCAGCCGGTTGCGGCGCTGCAAGTGCTGATGCCTGATGGGTCGTGGAAATGGGTGAAGCCCTATCCTGGAAGTATCACAGTCAACATCGCCGATGTGCTGCAGTTCTGGACGAATGCGTACTTGAAGTCGTCCATTCATCGGGTGCATGCTTCACCGGAGGATCAAGCTCATCTGGATCGGCTTGGCCTGCTTTACTTCCTGAGGTGAGTCAATTCAGACATGATCGAGCTCACAAAGGCTAACATTCTCTGCAGACCTGCGCACGATCTTGATTTGAAGACAGTTGACAGCCCATTGCTGCGACGTCTGGGTCTCAAAGATGATTCGGACGGCCAAGCGGCAGATATCAAAGCTAGAGATTGGGTTCGGACTAGAGTTAGGCAGAATCAGGACAAGCCAAAGCAGGGCGAGTCAAAAGAGAAGGAGAAGGAGGTCATTGGCGGCGTGAAGGTCAAGTACTATGATTGAGGCGCGCTCCTCGCTCCAGATAGCCTCTTGTCGCGTCACAGCGTGAATCCCGAAGGGCGTCGTCATTCGCCAACGTGCAAAAGTCGCGTTCGTGATGATGCCAGACCAAGAGGAGTCTCAGGCGAAGAGCCCGCCGGCCAAATCAACAGCAAGCAACACGAGGGGCCGGCGGCCAGCCGAGGAAGCCTTGGTGTTTCGAGTTCTTGTCCTGGGTATGCCGTAGTTGTACCGTTGTAGGATCGGGCGCCACGTGCAGCCTCGTGGCGTCGGAAAGTTGCATCGTCCTCTTCATAATGCCCAGCTACACGTCTGGCGCGTCTGCTGGCGTTCGACATGAAGTCTGCGCTTCGATAGCGTGAAGTTGAGTCGGAAAACAGGAGAATAGCAAGAAGGCAGCTGGCGAGCCGGAAGACCCGAAGCGGTTTCCCGAAGTGCTCGCGAAACCTTAACGGCACAACATCGCCCGACCTTGCATCATGTTGGTCTGCAACAACAACCGCGACGTGCAGTGGAAGACCGTTCCTGGCAATCCGAGGCTCGCAGCTCCGCATTTCACCAGCGACGCGATGCGGGTGGGCATCTGGGGAAGTCTGGGGATACCGCAGATCCAATGACGAGCCTGCGAATTGCCTTTCGTGCTACCATACGATGCGAGAAGGCACGAAAATACTGGGAACAGGCGGGGAACCACTATATTGACTCGGGATAGGGCAAGCAGGCATGGAATTCTCTCCGCAATCCTTGACTTATAAGTCCAGGCGTGCCTCGTGGCATTCACGTTGATTTATCCTGGACTATCTTCACACTCATCAGGAGCAGCGGACGAAATCGGCATCATGGGGATCGAACTTCGAGGTTCAAAGCTGATAGCAGTCATCCTGCTAGCTTCAGGATTGGACTTCTTACTCTTTGGGTCAGTACATCATCACGTTGTATCAATCGCGCACAAGCTGATGGAATTCCAGCTATGATCAAGGTCTCTTCGGCGGCATCTTGGGCGGCGATGGCTTTAAAACAATGCTCGGTCACCCAGGTCCTACCATGACTGGCTTCGTCACCGCTATTTACGACATTGGCTGTGCATTCGGTGCCGTTGCCGCATTCTTCTTCGGCGAGTATCTTGGGCGCAAGAAGTCCATCATCTATGCCAACATCATTGTCATCGTGGGTGCTACAATCCAAACAGCATGCTACTCCTACACTCAAATGGCCGTGGCGCGAGTGATCGCAGGAGTAGGAGTCGGTCTGAGTACAGTTGCTGTTCCAATCCTGCAATCTGAGACTCTTCCTTCTCACAACCGAGGTGCTCTTCTGGTAGTGCAGTCCGCGCTTATCATCATTGGAGTCGCCATCGCATCCTGGCTTTGCTTTGCAACTTTGTTCGCCAACAACAGTCTTCAATGGCGATTCCCAATTGCCTGTCAGATTTTGTTCTCATCCCTGGTTTTGCTTTGCTGTCCGTTTCTCCCAGAAACTCCACGTTGGCTTGCGAAACAAGGCCGGATCCCTGAGGCCCGACATACGATTGCTCGACTCTTGGACAAGACTGAAGATGACGCGGAAGTTTCTGGGCAGCTGCAAGAGATCTTGGCTGCAATCCAAGCTGAGAATGAAGATGGAGAGCCGTCTTGGAGTGAAGTCTTCTCTAATGCGACAAAGACTCGGAATTTGCAACGCGTCTTGCTTGGTATGGGTCCGTACATGATGAACCAATGGGTGAGTGAAGCCGCCAAAAGGCGTATCAATCCGACATCCGTGCCGTATGCTAACCTGTTACCAGTCCGGAATCAATGCCCTCTGCTATTACCTCGCCTACATTCTGGAGCAGTACTTGGGCTTCAGCCAAAATATGTCTCTGATCCTGGCTTCTGTGGCTTTCACGCAGTACGCTGTCTTCAGCTGGCCTCCATACTTCTACATCGACAAGATCGGACGACGATGGTCAGTCATGCTCTCAAGCATTGGCTGTGCTGTCTGCATGGCGCTGATCGCAGGCTGTCTAATTAAGCAAAGCTACAGCTCCGCTGCAGCGGCTGTTGCTTTCATGTTTCTGTATCTTGATTGCTTCACGCTGGGCATTTTGCCTGTAAGCTGGAGCTACAGTGCCGAGATCCAGCCGCTGAGAGTCAGAAACAAGGCGACGGCGGTGGGAGTGTTCTCGCACTGGATGTCCAATTTTGTTGTTGTGATGGGTGAGTCGATGTACTCAATCTGACACGAGCGCTTGCTAACTTCTGTTCAGTGACTCCAATCGGCCTCAACCACATCAAAGGCAACTACTTCTGGATCTGGGCGATCGTCTGCGCAAGCTTCGTCCCGTTGACCTACTTTTTCGGCGTCGAGACTTCTGGTCGCTCACTCGAGCAGATTGATGAGATGTTCTTCGAGAACCCGAGAGTGCTTATGGGCCTGGACAAGAAGAACACTGTCGTCATCAAAGCGAGCAGGCAGGATGAGGAGGATCGGTATAGAGCGTTTGCCAAGGCTGATGAGAAAGAAGTCGCGAGGATCAGTGTCGAACAGATGGAGAAGAATTAGCCAGTACAGTTCGTTATATGCATTTAAGTATCGGACAGCAGCGCATATCTCACTCTCTGGGCATTTGCAACCTTAGCAGCCGGTTTAGGGCAGTGCATTGGTAGGAGAGCCTCGAAAGGTCCTCGAGCTTGTGCTACTTGAATCCGCGCATGCAGATGACAGACTGTAGTATGTGGGCGTGGACAAAATTAATCTCACAGTGTTGTTGCATGGATGAGCGTCTCTCGATAAGGTGACAAACGCACGAGTCGTTCGTTTCTTCTACAAAGTGGCACGAAAGTCGCAATTTCCAAAATATCACGTGTTTGCGCATCGAAAGCGCGTCTCCGGATCGCCGTTACCCTTGCACGTCCCCCTGCCCATGTGGGCGACGCGTGCCTCCTCTCCCCATTTCTCGCGACGGCTTCCACGTTTCTGCCTGTTCATGATCCACCACACTCGTTGATGATCTGACGCAAGGCCCACAAAATGTCGGACGACTACGCCACGCTCAAGGTCGCTCAGTTGAAAGCCCTCACCGCCCGGCGCGGTCTCCCGCTTGATGGCTTGCGCTTGAAACAACATTTTATTGACGCCCTGCGCGATGCCGACGCCAAGGCCAGCTCTTCATCTCAAGCAAGCAAGACCAACAGCGCACTGTCTCAGAAGGAGGCGTCCAAAGCACAGAGTCCAAACGAACAACTGAAAAGCACAAACTCTTCCGCACCACTGCAAAATCGGGACCCAAATACGACCAACGCCAACATGGCAGGAGGCAAGCGCAAACGCGACGAGCTCGTGGACCTGACTGGCAGCGATGACGAAGACCGCAATGCTTCGTCACGCAAAACAGTGAAAGTCACCGATCAAACCCGTGCTCCTGCCATTGCTCCATCATCCTCCAGTCATGCCGCTGCAAGATATTCAAGCGGTTCTGCTTCTGCATCGGCTTTTCCTCTTCCCACAGCTTTCGGCAACAGCCAGCACGATGAGGGTGAACGCGATGATTGGCTTGCCGATGATGCCGCCTTCAACGACATAGTGGGCTCATCACAAGACGACGCCATCGGCAGCGAGGACATGCATTTGTATGGAGATCTCGACACCAAAATCGTTGGATGCCAGTAAGTATATCCGAAATGTCCATTCAATGCCCCTTCGATGACAATCTCTGACTCTCTCCAATCTAGATACTACAGAGGCTACAGCAATCGAGGCGAACATGTACTCCTGAAACGCGAACCCGGCAATCCGTACGACAGCAATGCAATCCGCGTTGACAGCGTGGCGCACACGCAGATCGGCCACATTCCCAGACGAATCGCAGAGAAGTTGGCAAAGTACATGGACAACCGGTCGCTGCGTGCTGAAGCTCAGCTGACCGGAAACATTGGTTCGTACTGTGGTTGGTCGCTTGCAAACTATGACTGACTGTGACTAGGTACCTACGACTGTCCCATCGTTGTAAGTTCAGCCAACAGACAACTTAGCTGCGGCACCTTCGGCCAACTTCTATCCCCTGTGCCCAAATTGTATATCCCTTGTCAAGTATGGCGACAGTGTGGGTGAGCTGACATTGCTCGCATCAACAGATTCACATGTATGGCCCAGCGCCAACCTCGACAGAGGGACAGAGACTTCAGTCTCAAATGGTCGCCGACAAGCTGCCTCCCAAAGCCTTGAAAGAGGCTGAACGTGCTGCAAAACAACGTGAGAAGGAGCGCAAACAAGCCGAAGCGGCACGACTGGCAGAAGCTCGACGTGCTGCGGCTGCTGGCAAACGAGCGCAAGTGAACTCGCAAGGAGAATTCACGAATCCAGGAAGCAGTGGTTTTGGTGATCCAAGTCAGCCGGACATGTCTGCTATCCAGGAGGCCTCGCAGCGCATTGACCCTCGCAGAATGGCCAACGAAGCTGAGAAGCTGGGAATGTCCGAGGAGCAGCTACAGCAGATGCCCATGGCGGAGCAGCCAGACAGGGTCAAGACCACGATGCTACCATACCAATTGCAAGCTCTGCAGTGGTTGCTTGACCAAGAGAACCCCCAAACACCCACTGCGACCGGTCAGAGCACTCAGCTCTGGACGCGTGTGGACAATAGTCGCTACACCAATATTGCAACAAACTTCTCCACTCAATCGGCACCCAAGCTGGCGTCTGGCGGTATTCTGGCAGACGACATGGGACTTGGAAAGACTATACAGATGCTGGCTCTGGTCGCCGCCGATGCCGAAATGCATGGAAAAGGCACCACGCTCATTGTAGCGCCTCTTTCAGTGCTCTCCAACTGGTCTGGTCAAGCAAGCTTCCATTTCAAGGACGGACACCAGCTGGCCACGTACATCTATCACGGTGCAGGTCGTGTCAAGATGTCGACAAAGGACTTTGCGCAGTACGACCTAGTCATCACTACATATGTAAGTGGGCAACGAACGCATGCGTGCTGACGCAGCTGAAGAGTGAGACAAACTCGAAATTGTGCTAACAACCTCCTCAGGGTACCTTGGCAAGTGATTTTGCCTCTGGTCCAACGAAGACTTCAGAACGAAAGCTACGTGCAACCGGTCTTTATAGCCACGAATGGCGCCGTGTGGTCCTCGACGAAGGCCATAACATTCGCAATCCACAAACAAAGGCAGCTGCAGCTGCAAATGCTCTGACCGCCCGTTCACGATGGGTTCTCACAGGCACACCAATCGTAAATTCGTTGAAGGATCTCTACTCCCTCTTGCGCTTCGTGGGAATCACTGGAGGATTAGGTACTGTCTCCAAACCAACATGCACTGTGCATTGTGCTAACTTTTCAACAGAGCAACTCGATATCTTCATTTCCGTCCTCGTACGACCACTCAAGCTTGGCACACGAGACTCGTCCCTTCTCCTCCAGGCAATAATGCGCGCCTTCACCCTTCGTCGAAGAAAGGACATGCGCTTCATCGACCTCAAGCTTCCCGAACTAAAGGAGTTCGTCCATCGCCTCCAATTCTCGAAGGAGGAACAGCAGAAGTACGATGCGCTTGACGGAGAGGCTCGAGGCGTGCTCAAAGCCTACCAGAAGAAAGATGGTTCCGGACAGGTCACATACAACCACCTTCTCGAGATCTTGCTGCGTATGCGCCAGGTCTGCAATCACTGGAAGCTGGCTTCACAGAGAGTGGCAGACTTGATGGCTCAGCTGGAGAAGCAGAAGACTGTTACTTTGACACCGGAAACAATCTCAACCCTTCAACAGGTGTTGCAAGTCCAGATTGATTCGTCTGAAGACTGTGCCATTTGCCTGGAAACGCTGCATTCGCCTGTTATCACCAATTGCGGTCACGCTTTTGGGCGCGACTGCATCGTGAAAGTGATCGAGGGACAGCACAAGTGTCCATTCTGTCGAGCGGAGCTCAAAGACGAGCAATGTCTCGTCGAGCCAAGCAACGAGTTCGGCGATGGCTCTGACAATGAGAACAGATCTGGCGATGAGGGCAACAGCAGCAAGGTGGATGGCCTACTGCGAATCCTAGGTGCTGTCGCGAATGGCGAGAAGACGATCATCTTCAGTCAGTGGAAGTCATTCTTGGATCTGTTGGAAGAACCTCTGAAGCAGGCTGGATTGAAGTTCTGCCGTATCGATGGCACGATGTCAGCACAACGCCGCGACCAAGCCCTCGAAGCCTTGAACAACGATGGCGAGACCACGATCCTGCTGGCCACCCTTGGCGTTTGCGCTGTTGGCCTCAATCTGACTGCAGCAAACAATGTCATCCTTTGCGACACTTGGTGGGCACCAGCTATCGAAGATCAAGCAGTAGACAGAGTCCACCGCCTTGGTCAGACCAGAGAGTGCTCAGTCTTCCGCCTGGTCATGGACAAGACGATCGAGGAGAAGACTCTCAGCATTCAGGAAGACAAGCGCAAACTCATGATGCTTGCCTTCTCTGAGCAGAAGAACAAGCGTATGGCGGCGAGGACTAACAGGCTGGCTGACATACAGAGACTGCTCTCGTAGGCTGACTGCTTGGCGGGCTACGAGATCGTGCTGGAGCAATCGATCAGCTTACGACGCATCTAATACTAAAAGCTAGAGGTTGTACCTGGTGTGGGTAAAGACTGCTAATGAGGATGGGCTTGATGCTGTGGGCGATATTATATTATTGACGCATCTGGATGCTTGGTCGGGCGCTTGGCCACACAAGCGTCACCTCTCCGGTTGAAAGTCCAGATTAGCCTGTACATATTTGTACCGCCACTCGAGTTCGCGCTTTCAGCCTAGTTTGCCTCAAACCGCAAAACCCTGCATGGCTGCACAGTAGCTTGCGAAGCTTAGGAAGCTTGTCACTTGCTCTGATTTGTGCTGACGTCTCTTGACCAGGCAGACCGACCTGGCACGGTATCAAAGAGTGGCTCCTAGACGCCTCGATCAGTGCCCTCCGAGTGAAAGCCAGACCTAGAAGCCACTCTACCATAACAGTCGGCGGGATTGCATTCGTGGCTCACGATGGAGAGCGACCGATGCCGACTTCCGCTGGCGTGCGTTTATGAACGCAGGGCACGAGAAACGCGTACACAACATCATGTCGGCTAAAGACTCCAACATACGTCAATCGGCGATTCTGCCAGCTCGTCGGAGGCAGTGGCTATCAATGTGAACATTGAAACCTACTTAAAAGACTGGGTCTGTGTAAAACATCACTGATCGTGTACCTACATTTTTCTTTCACAACATGAAGCTCCTCGTCAGCTTGGTTGGAGCTGCCGCCGCCGTCTCTGCGCAGACTGGCTATGACAATAGCTCTTATGGGAATACATCGCCGAACTCAAGAGATCTGACATTCCAGGCCAAGATATCTATCGATGTTGCCACTCGTTACCAGACCATGGTTGGAGGTGGATGCAGTGGAGCGTTTGGAGCTGCTGTAGGCAACTTGGTCGACACACTGAAGTCAAGGAGATCATTTCACTGACATATTGCGCGTCAGTGTACGACGAATACGCTCTCAGCTGCCGACCAGCAAGCCGTGGTCGAGACTCTCTTCTCCGAAAACATTGGTGCACTTTCCATTCTACGAAACCTCATCGGATCATCACAAGCTGCCACGATTTTACCTTCGTGTCCTGCGACACCTGATGGGCCTTTCAATTATACGTTCCCTGCGAACAACGACTCTTGCCAATTGACTCTTGCCCAGACGGCGGTCAAATACAACCCAGACCTTTTCCTGTATGCGGATGCGTGGTCTGCTCCCGGTTGCTTTAAGACTACCGGCCTCGAAGCCGGTGGCGGGTATTTGTGTGGTGTGAGAAGATCCAATTGTACTCATGACTGGAGGGAGGCTTATGCCAATTATTTGATTGAGTACGTGAAGCTTTATCAGCAGCGTGGGATCAATGTTTCGTTATTGGGAGCTTACAATGAGTATGTCAAAAGTCTCCCTTTACTGCAGCATTATGGATACTAACAACGTCTAGACCCGACTTCAACCCTTTCACATACTCGGCAATGCTTTCCGATGGCTACCAAGCCTACGACTTTCTCTCGGTCTTCTATCCTCTTGTCAAAAAGGCTTTCCCGAATCTAGCAGTCTCGTGCTGCGACTCCACCGGCGCCCGCCAACAACGAGATCTCCTCTACGAACTTGGCCGCCTCCCAGGAGGCCTCGATCTCTTCGACTACAACACCTACCACAACTACCAATCCTCCATCAAACGCCCCTTCGGTGACCTCTTGCACGGCCAACCCACAATCGAAACAGAATGGTCCGATGGCGGCAGCACATGGACTTCAACCTGGGACATCAGTGGCAACAACTTCGAAGGTTTCCAATGGGCAATTTATATGCACAACGCTTTTCGGAACAACGTTGCAGGCTGGTCTCATTGGTGGTGTACCTGGACTTCACCTAGCGATGCCTCGCTGATTCTTGTCAATGGGACTTCGTATCAAGTTTCAGCGAGACTTTGGGCTTTTGCGGGTTATTTTCGGTTTGCGAGGCCGGGAGCTGTGAGAGTTGAGGCGCAGTCTGATGTGGAAGAGGTTTATGTTACGGCTTGGGAGAATCGGAATGGGAGTTTGGCGATTCCGATTGTTAATGCGGCCCATTATGCTTATAGTGTTGAGGTGGATTTGAAGGGGTTGGGGATGGGTGTTAATCGTGGAGTGGCGTATTTGACTGACAATGGGCATAATGTGACTCTGGCTGGGGAGTTTGAGGTTGAGGAGGGTGGTTTCAGGGCGGTGGTTGAGCCGAGGAGTATGAAGACGTTCTTTTTGGATAGGAGGTAGAGGTGAGCCGTGAAAGCGCTGCTTCTAGGCTTGTTTGGCGATGGTGACGATTTTCGCCATGGTTGTATTTTTAGGATATGCAGAAATGCTCTACGGAAATGACAGTCTAAGAACAAGAACGCTTCAATACAATTATTCGAGCACAGCGAGCTCATCTGTCAATCACTCATTTTCCCTCGCGCACTCAGCAAGCCTGCTCAAGCCAGAGCTGCAAACTTCGGGTCGCAAACTACCCTGCTGACTTGGCTCTCCTGTGGGTACAGAAAGCTCCAAGGGCCATTTCCTCCATCCGCGAATGTGATATCAATGTTCTCGCCCCTCTGGAGCGTAATTGGCTGATTGTTCTTGTCCAAGATTTGGCATCTCAGTCCTTGATTCTCGACATCATCGTCCAAAGTCAGAGATACGGCATTGAAAGGACTTGACTGGTCAGGAGATGGCTGTTCTTCACGAACGAGGCCGGCTTCTTCGAACTGCAGCTGACGAGCGAGGTTGCCATCGGAGAGTTGAATGCGAATGGATGGAGTTTGCGGTGCTGGTAGTGGCGGTGCTACGCCTTTGACGAATTTTGGGTCGCACACAATGGCATCGACCATTGCTGCGCCATCACGGAAAGTCCAGGGGCCGTTGCCGCCGTCTGCGAATGTGATGTCGACGTTCTCGCCACGAACGACCACGATAGGGTTCTGGTGGGCATCGAGGATTTGGCAGCGTAGAGCTTGGTTGCCTACGATCGGGTCGAGGTTGAGAGCAACAGTCTGGAAAGGTCCGGTAGAGCCGACAGGCCGCGCAGCCTGAGGGAGCTTGTCCTCTGCGAAGTTGGTCGTGGAACCAAGTTCGATAGCTTGATTTTGGAGGACGACGCGAATGCCTCTGTCGGTGATCTCTTTGGCTGTTGGAGCGGCGAGGGAGCCGGATGCTGCGATAGCGGAGAGGAGAAGAGTGCTGTATTGCATTTTGAAGAATTGAGGTTGGTGGAAGCTGCTGTGGTTGTTGGGAGTACTTGCAGGTTCCAAAATGGACACAAAAGAATATCAGAGGACTCAAGAAACTAGGAGCAAGGAAACCAGGACCAAGGAAATAAGGGAAATGGAAATGTTCGTTGTTGTGAGATCGTTAAACGTTAACGGAATGGAGATCTTTCAAAGCCTGCGATGCGGACGAAGATATTATACTTACTCGCATTCCGCCGAGCTCGATCCCGTGAGCCAGCTTCTGCGCAGGTGACGCTGAATGCGCTCGAGGTCTTCGGGCGCAGTGAAAGCACAGCGTCTTGGCAGCTTACGCCCAGCAATGTGTATAGCTGTGCGACACCAATCAGGTCAATAGGGAAGCTGCGAAGGATCGCGGGAAACTCGAAGGATGCCTACTGGAAGCAGTCGAGCTCCCACAATAGTATTGGCTCCGCGTTGCTCGCCATGAGTATACAGCAGCCACGTGTGGCAGGCTGGCAGCCTTACCGCTGGGAATAGAATCGCAGGAGAGGGCTGAGTTGGCAACGGTGGGAGACAGAAGGCTCATTCGGCCAATTACTTCCATCTTGTATCGTACGCAGCATCGGAGCGGATGCGTCTTGAGTGTCGTTTCCAAGGTGCCTCCGATGACACTTCTTCTGTGAGGCTCGCTGCTTGTGATGCCGAAGGATACGGTAGCATGCTGTGTCGTCTCTTCTACTATTGTCTTGTTGGGTTGAATTCAAGGAAGGCACGATGTTAAACTTGGGTTCCTGAAGAGCCAGCTGTGAGCAAGACAATGGCTGAAAGAATCATGGTGTGTCAGCGAAGGACGAGGAAGAGTGATCTGCGAGAAAGGTGCAGTTGACAGAGATCTTGGCATCGCTCACGCTAGCCTGGAGCTCAATCCCGACACGACATCTCCATGCTCTTCGACGCGTCTTTTGCTCATCGTCCTCAATACAAATACACCATTGACCATGTTCCGCCCTACATTACTCCGCACTTTGCGCCCTACACGAAGCTCGGTCCGCTCCTTCTCCATCCGACAGCGTCTCCAACAAGAGCAACCGCAGTATCAAGCTCCAGGCCAGCCCGAAGCTGCGAAGCCGAATCCGCATCGACGAGTCTACAAGCAAGGCGGACCGGGTCGTGCCATCGCATATAACTTCTTGATCGCTATGGTCACGTTTCAAGTTCTATATTGGGGTTGGCTGAAGCTGGAGAGCATCGAGACGAAGCAAGAGAAGGGAGACGAGATCAAGAAGTTGGAGGGCGAGGTGGAGAAATTGACTGGCGCGAAGGCCAAGGACTGAGACGAAGATTTTACATGGAGCGAGGGTGTAATCCCTTCGCCGAAGTGTAGGAGCACGTATCACGTCAAGTACTTCTTGAACCGCAGGCCCAAGCGAGTCGCATTGCGCTTATATTTGCTATACCACGACTGCATCAAACCAGCGACCAGACGTTCGAATGGCTGAGTTGTGTCATCAAGGGAGGAGAGATGATATGCAAAGCTTGAGTGGGCAGTAGCGCCAGCGAAGATGAGCAGACCGCAGGAAGAAGGGTTCCTATCGGAACCAATTGTTCGTTGGGGTGAAAGAGAAGAAGGCAGATAATTCGACGCAAGCCATCTGCAAGACTACGGAAAACGACGACGGTGAGCCAGAACAGACACGACGAGGGTGTCAATGCACGCTTCGGAACATGTACATCATATCTGCATGGGGTTGCCTGAGCTTTTCTGCGGTCGGCGAGACTGCTCGCAACGATGCACACGCGAGAATCCTGTCCCCAGAGGCAAGCTAGCTCCACAGAAAGAGCTCGAACTAGCACAGTCATATTCAAAGGAGAACATTATTTGATGGAAAACCTGCATTTGCTTCATTAACATTGTAGCTGCAATGCCAGCTCGGTCTATTCGGTCTCTCATTGGTGTCACACAACATGTCATAGCCAACGCCTCGATACGCTGTTACTCGTCACATCCACCGTCCTGCACTAGCTGCACGCCTTCAGCAGCCTCTCACTTCTCCGCGCCCAAAGGTTTTTGCCACGCTGGCGAGCGTCTAGATAAAAAAGCCAACGCATCAAGGAAAAGTCAGAAGCACAAAGAAACATGTCGCGCGATCATTGGAGGCATACATTGCACGAGGTACAGGCGGTCCACATCTTGCGCAAACATGAATTAGCTGTACGATAACATCACCCAACCAAGTACACCTCTTCGGCTCCGTATCACAGTCCCACAGTAGCTCTATGCTCTCGATATTTTCTCATATTACTGCATCTCACATCGTCCCAGCTATGCCAACGCTTGTCATCATGAGCCTCGCATGACTAGCACATCTCTCAACCACAGCCTACTGTACCACTTTGTATGTGCTACAGATCTCCGCCTCCGTAACGTGAATGTAAGCTAGTTGTGCAACTGCACCATCCCATCAAGAATGTACAAAACCCCACAAACCGTTCGTGAGCGGAACTCCTATGCAAGACACCAGGCTGGAGGTAACTGCAAGAGGAACGGCGTCGCACACGTAGCACACAAGTGAAGGGTCCTTCCGATGCTATATCATACAACATGCTGCCACCCACTAAAGAGATATGTTTCTAGTAGCAGTGATACGAAATGGCCAAAACAAAGGGGTAGTCGGAAAAAGAAAAGAAAAAGTACATCTTATGCCGTCCATCCATCCCATCGATCCATGCTCGCTTGCTTGCTCCGACCCGAAAAGAGAAAAGCACAGAAGCTAGCTCATCATACAACAGAGCCGCAACAAAAGAAGGGGAAAGGAAACCCACGCTCGCGTCAAATTACACACCACCAACGCCCGCCACCTCTTTTCCCTTCTCTTTTGGCTTTTCCTTCTTCTCGCCTACACCATCCTCGCCCTCCAGGTTAGCATCCGTACTGGATCGTAGACCCTCCATTTCAAGTTTATCCTTCATCGCAACCCTTCGCTTCTCGTCTTCTTCACTCGCCAGCTTCGCCAGCGCTTCAGCAGTGAGCGGCTGCGGACTCCCTCTGCTCTCACTGTCATTATTATCGCCTTCAATCTTCACGCCGAGGCCTGCGCCCAGAGTCTTGTCATCCAAGTCGTCGCCCGGAAGAGGACTCAGCGGACTTATCGGTTCCAGGAACTCGCCCACATTCGTATTTGTGTCTCCAGGATTCGTTGTCGTGGCCGCTCCATCGTCTGTAAAGGGCCCTCCACCAACGGCACTGTTGATTTCGGGACCAAATTGCAATCTCAAGGCTCTTTGATCCTCATCTTCTTCGAATTCGCCATCTTCATCAACCTCCTCCTCTTCTTCCTCGTCTTCTTCCGTAAGTCCAGGCATAGCCATCTCCACACTAGGTCGCCCGGTTCCAGAGACGGAGCCACTTCGGCTAGTGCTCACCGGCGTACGCCCTCCTGCAGGTGACGAACCACCATGACCATGCATAGGACCCTTGAAGACAGAGCGTTTCCGTCTGGCGAACTTCGGCAGGCCAGGCGAAGAAGGTGCGGGTATGCTTCCAAAAGCGTTGCGAGCTTCGGGGAAACTGGTCGTGAGAAGTGACATATCCGAGGGAGGCGGTCTCCGAGAGAAGCGCATACCGGATGGAATGCTGGCAGTGGGTGTAGAAGGCAGCACTTTGACAGAGCTATGCGGTGATCTGCCGAGTCGCGAGCCAGATGCTGATGATAGTCCTGAAGGGGATGCAATGGAGGCGCTGGAAGTGCTCGAGGCTTTCGAATGTGAATGTTGGTGTTTCGGCTTGTAAGTGCTGCGTATTGATGACACTGACGAGGACGTCGATTTGCGACCACGAAGACCAGCAGACGATCTGCGGTAGGATGAGTGTGGCGTCAAGGTATGTGGGCTCAAGCTCGTCCTTTTTCCCCTCGCGCTTGCACCACTGCCGGTCGAAGAGGCAGTGTTGATCCTGGGTCGAGTTTGATACGTCTGACTGTTTCGCAATTCTGGTCGTCCATGTCCAATGCTTTTCCTGCGCGCCGTTGCTGGGCCAGTTGCCACACGATGCAATTCACGGAGATCGCCTTTCTCCTGAGTGGTCTTACCAATCGGTGCGATCTTTCCATTAGCCTGATTGTTCTTATCTCCTTCGTTTGGGGATTTGCCTCGTTTGAATGCTTCTCCTTTAAATAGGTGCTTGACCCACGCAAGTTGTTGTCGGAGGGGCGCAGCGTATATTTTGTTCTTCCGTTCTGTCGGCGGCACGTATGAAGGACTGAGCAAGTCTGGATTGTTAGTCACGACTCGCAACATACTCTGACTCCCTCTCGATGCTGTGCGATGTGTCCGAAGTGATGCTCCATAGTCCTTGGGTGGCGGTCGCGGTCTACTACGTGATCGGCTGTTATCCGAGGCTGTATGCGGTCTCGAGTTGGGGCCGGATCCCGGTGTGGGTGATTTCGTCTCGGTCACTTTGGGCAAATCAGGTGCCTGCAAGGCATTACCATTGGTGCGCTCCTTTCGCCGGCCTCGTGAACGTGGAGAGTCCAGCAGAGCATTTTCTTCGCCTTCGTGTATCTCCCCAAGGAGAGCACTCTGTGCGAGAAGTCTGCCACTAGCAGCGCTCAGCCTTCGTATTGATTTTGCTTCAGCTTCGCGTTCCTTCCGTTTGCGTTCTCTCCTCTTCTCCTTTCGCTGCTCCTTCTCTAGCAGCAGAGCCCACCAGCCAGCCAACGAATCGCAGCGCTGAGAAAGAACATTCTCAATCACCATATCGATATCCACACCAGCGCTTCTCATGCGCTGCAGCACGTCTTTCTCCAACTGTGTTGAGAACGGCGGCGGTTGCTGCAGTTTCAAGATCTCTTGCTGTTGCGGAGCGTGTTCGGCAAGCCATGGATCGCGCAGGATGTCGCCCAGGCTTGGCCTCAAAAGCGGTCGCTTCGATAGCAGCTTCTTGATCAAGTCCTTGGCCCCTTCAGGCATGTGTTCCGGGTACTCGGGATCCTCCTTCAAGATTCTCCCTTTCGTCACATTATCATTATCGTCATCAAACGGCAATTCCCCGCACAGCAGGGCGTAGAGAATTATTCCCAAACTCCAGACATCGACTTTCTCCCCAGCATATTTCTCCCCCTTGAGCATTTCCGGCGCACTGTAGCAGACTGTCCCGCACCACGTCTGCAGGTAACTTGTCGATCCTTGGTATTCTCGTGTGAAGCCGAAATCGACCAGCTTAACATTTTGATGTTTGTCCAGGAGGATGTTTTCCAGCTTCAGGTCTCGGTGGACGCAACCCTTCATGTGCACATAGTTCACCGCACCAACGAGCTGCGTGAATATCTTCTGCACCTTCGCCGGCTCCATGCGTCCATGATTGAGCAGGTAGTTGTACAGCTCGTCGCCGGGACAATACTCCAGGACGAGCCATACTAATGTCTCGGTCACGATGACCTCGTACAGTCGAGCAATGTGCGGGTGGAGGAACTGTCGGTGATGGTGGATCTCGCGCGCGAGGTTGGCGTCATCCTTCTTCGCGCTCTTGAGCACGACTTTGGAGCCATTGGTGAGCTTGTGCTGGGCGAGGTAGACTTTGCCGAAGCTGCCCTTGCCGATCAGGCGTCCGAGGGTGTAGTTGCCTACGCTGTGGAGGTCGGAGGCGGAGAACTCGCTCAGAAGCGACTGGTAGGAGTTGGCGAGCTGTAGGAGAAGCAAACACAGTCAGCGGATGCGGGAGAGGTGGATATGCATGTATGCAGGCAGGCAGGCAGCATGGGAAAGGTGGAGGCCTGCAGGCAGCGGAGCGGAGAGGGAGGAGATGGAGGGCGGGGCGGGCGTGCCTTGTCTCTGCGTTCCTGGACGGCCTTGTCGGTCCTGGCCGGTGGCATCGATGGTGGTGTGTCGCCGCTCGTATCGGGTCGTCTGTGGTTGCTCGTGCCAATGCCGCGCCCAAAGTCTATCCGCGCCGAATGGGGCAAGTGAAGGAGGAGGTGTGTCGGTCGGTCAGCCCTACAGCGGCGGTGGTACGGCGTCAAGGACAGGCAACGTGCGTGGCGTGAGGGGCAGCATCCGGCAGAGCGAGCGCATCGAGGCAGCAGCGGTGCACGAGGAACGTTGCGGCAGCGTGAAACAATCCTGGCTCGCCGGTCTGCTGTTGTTCATCTCGAGCACCGCGTCGTCATTCCGCGCGGCCATTGGCTGGAGCTACCTCCGTCTCCTCCATCTATTCTGGGATCATGCCTCTGCTACGGAACCCTTGGCCTCCACCACCAACCACAACCTGCCACTGCAGACAATGTCTTCCACCAGTGGCCCAGACTTGGCACAGGTGTACAGAGACTACATCGCCGCGATCACTGAGTTTGGTCTCCCCACTTCACCAGACTGGCTATCCGACTTTGTCCATGTTGATGTCATTCACAACTCACACCCTCTCGGTATCCAGCAGTACAGAGCTCTCATTACTGCCAACATATCGGCGCCTCGCACAGAAATCACTGTTGAGAAGCTGATTGTGCAAGATGACCACGTTTCGGCTAGATTGCGATTCACGGTGCCTCACACCTGCAACTCATATCTGGGCCACTCTCTTGTGCCTGCAGCTGGAAGAGTGCACATAGCGCCAGACGGAAGTGTTGGCAAGAGAGACGACCACTCTTTTGACGTGTTTGAGCACGTCACATACCAGTTTGGCATCGATGAGGCTGATGGCAAGTGGAAGATCAAGGAAGTCTGGAGTATCGCCGACATCGAGCCGGTGAAGAAGAATTGCATTTGATGAAAGGCACAACCAGACGGAAATCTACAAGTACCCGCTTTGTGATCTCTCGTTGCGACTTCGATCATTGGCTCGGCTCGCTTCGACAGACAGACCGCCTTGGACACGCTCGACGAGGCAGAGTCACGAGAGGCGGAGAGAGACTTGACACTGAGGGAGCAGAAGTCAGCGGGTCCGATTGGATTTCATTTTCCACAGATAGCGACCTCGTGTCAGTCAAACCCCCGCTCTGGCCATCTGCTGATTGATTTCAAATAATTCACAGGATATATGATCGTACAAGGTCTGATCTCTCGAAGCCTCTCTACTGCTGCTTCTTCTGTGCAGCTGGTCCCATCTCTTTGCTGAAGGACATGTATGAGACCTCAAGGCCAGAGATGGCGTTGAGCCCGACGTAGAGGATGGAGAGTAGCAGGAAGGCAACCACGAGACCCATGAAAATACCTGCATTCAGGTCAGCGTTGCGGACTTGGACATCTGAATGCCATGACTTACCAGGCGACAAGAACTGGTACTTTTCAAATAGCGGCAGCTTGTCTTGCGGGTTGTCACTCTTTGATTGCCTCTTCAACCCGTGCTGCACATCTCGCTTCAAGTCCGTGTGCAGACCGTTGTGTCCTGGAGGAGTATTCTCCGCTTCATAGTCGATTTCTGCGCCCTGTTCGCTTCGTGACGGTGTCCCGATATATATGATCGTGTGTGCGGTGTGGTTGGCGAGCACACTGTGGAGGTGCGAGTCTAGCTCCGCATCCGCCTGTTGCAGGCTCTCCTTCCTTAGATCATGGTCGCCTCGTGGCGCCGCGTGGACCAAAGGTCCAATGACTGCTGCCGTTGGCTTTGATGTCGACGATGTGACTGTCACACCTGTCAGCGTCTCTTAAACTCTCCTCATTGAAGCCGCAGATGTCGCATACACTCTTCAACACTCATTCTCTTTCCACCACACTGTCTGCTCACTGCAGCTGCAACTCTTTCCGCATCAATCTCGCCGATGACCTCTGGAATCTGCACAACACTCTTGTATTCATCCCTTGCTGTCCTCCTTGCCAGCTTGGGCATGTTCTCTTGTCGCAAGTCGGCGGCGTGGATGGCGGGTTGCTCCACAAATACGTATACGCTGGAGCCGCATAGCGATAACGTTGGTTCGAGTCCGCTTTCAATGTGTGCTGATGTGGATATTTGCTCGCTTCGCAGAGACGTCTGGTCCAGTCTGTGATGCCATCAGCAGATGCTCGTTGCCTCCCGTCCACACGCATCATCGTACCGCTCAGTGCTCAGCAGCAAGAACGGGCTCGCATCGCGGAGAGCATATGCGGAGCTTGCCGCCGCGAGCAGCGATATCGAACTTCGCAGCATCATTGTTTGAGTGTGTATGTGTTGGCAAGGTCGCCCGTGCCTGCCGGCCTGGTGATTGCCCGTGAAGCTGTCAACGGAACCGGAGGAAAGTTTGCCGAGTCAAATCCGAACCCGATCGCGCATTTTCCAGACCATCGACGCCCTCACCTTCACTTCGCGATCTACCCACATCGGCTAGACGAAATGGCTCCTCCGGCGAAGAGACGAAAGCTCGACCCACTCAGACGCCAAAAACCTGTCGAAGAGCTCACTTTCAGCATCGATGCACGACAAGAATACCTCACCGGCTTCAGCAAGCGAAAGCAAGCCCGAAAAGAGCAGGCCCGAGAACATGCAATCCAAATGACAAAAGAGGAGAAGGTCAGGGAGAGGAAGGAGGTACGTGTATAAAGAGTCAAAGCAATTTGTAAATGCTGCTCCGAGCATGTCGACCTGACACAATTATCTCCAGCTCCGCGAACAACGCAAAGCGGACCTCGAATCACATGTAGCAGAGGTTAACAAAGTCCTGAAACAACAAAACGCCCTCGCAAATGGCCGAGATGTGGACGATATTTCGAGCTCCGACGATGAATTCTCTGGGTTCGACAACGAAGATTCCGCTGCACCAGCCGTCGCAGAGGTTGAGCTCCCGGATGAAGCAGAATATGTCGACGAAGACAAATATACTACTGTGACAGTTGAGCCTATGGGCGAAACATCTTCAGAAGAAGAGGAAGATGGTGAAGACGGGAAATCTAAAGATGTGTCCAAAACAACAAACTCAGAACCTGAAGTCAAGAAGAAGAAACGACCTTGGGATAAGACAGGCGACGGAGGTGTCAAGAAGAAGAAGCAGAAGTTTCGGTATGAAAGTAAAGCGGAGCGCAGTCTAGCAAGATCGAAACAGAAGTCGAAGAATTCGAAGGCGGCCAAGGAGAGGAAGGAGAGTGGTGGGGGGAGTAGTAGCGGGAAAGGCGGGAAAGGTGGAAGGAAGAAGAAGTGAGAAAGCCATCCAACGAAGGGGAGATCGATACCATACAACTCCAGTCGTCTGTCATTCTCTCGCATCATGGACGCGATCGAAGCCGAATTTGATGTGCTGCTTGTGCAGTGCAGTTTGGAACAGCCAATTTCTTCGGTCACAACAATACCCTGTCCTAATCTGTTCTCTTTCAACTACCCGGCACTGCACGCACCGGAGACCGAGTGCGCTGCGCCGCCTACGCAATGTGTTTTGCAGCGGAGTTCCTCAGTAGCGGACAGCACGCAAAGGAGTAACACCGTTCGGATTAACCACAGAGTTCTCCGAGAATTCTCCAAACATGGCGCCAGCAACTGACTCTCCATATACGGCCGCTTTCGAGGCCAAGCGGGGCCAGCACGTCGATCCGATCGGTGAATCCTCGATTCAGAAAGGCCCTTCCTCAAAAATGTTTCTTTCCACAACGCCATCCTTTGACAATCGACTTCAGCGTTTACCCATTTCTTACGAGCCTATGGTGAGCACTGCGACGCTGTTCATGTGACGAACGAGGATCCACCTTCTTGGACTTCGTCGCCAGCTCCTTGGCCAGCAGCTCATGCTGTGTAACGCGAGAAAGTTCAGCAACGCCCGTTAGCGGCCGCTTGCGTATCGTCCAATGCAATATCAACAGTGTGATCACAAGAACTTGCCTCTTAGCACTATCAGGTTTTACAAGTGCGTTGGTCATAATCTCAGGAAGTCTGCGATCAGCCCCGGATGCAGACTTTGGAGGAGCGGCAGAACGCTTCAATTGTGATATTCCACCGGTAGCAGACACTCGGACATCGAACTGTGCCCGAATGCCTACCAAATACGATTTTCATTGAGCAACAAAGAGGTAGATTGTCCGGAGGTCTGAAGTGAATGGTATGAACTGCATTGAGCAAACATGTCAAGACTGGCATATATGTTCGGTGGGCGTTCTGCTGCCCCAAGCGATCCATGCTGTACTGTCATTCACCGCCATGGAGTTCTGGAATGCGCCTGATCACTTGAACGACCCACGCACTATCGCTATCGGACAACATGCTGAATTACGGAGTGAGATATCGAAGTTGCTCGCACGCATCCAGTACGATCCGACAACAAATACAGAAATACAAGATGGTCTTCGAGCTCTTCTGCACAGGTCAACAGCACTCGATCAAACACTCAAGTTGTTTGTGCCTGGCCCATACTACAATCACGCCTCTTCTCTGAGATCGTACGCCTTGGCGGCAAAGGCTTTCGGTATCGTAGAACTGCTTGAGATGATTCTCGGTCACCTGGACCAGGCTTCTCTCAGTAATGCCCAAGCCGTCTGTCGTGCTTGGGAGGATATCATTGAAGGATCTGCGCCTCTGTCTCAAGATCGATATAGGTTGTTTCATGCACCTCCAAAAATCTTCCGTACAATACCGACGACCCACACGCCAAAAGAGTTCTCGACAAGCATTAGGTTTCACGCTCACAAAATGCACTCCAAGCCAGGGCCAAAATCGTTGCAACTTCAGTGGACTTCCATCATCGCACAGCTGACAGACGAGAATCATCTCGTACCGCGATCTCTCAACGCTGCTTGCCGCGACATTTTGATAAGTGAAAATCCCGTTGTCAAATCAATGCGCATATGGCAAAGCTGCACAAGATCAAGGCATGAGATCATTCCTGCTAACACCTACTTCCCAGAATTCTGTACAGTAGGTGACGAGCCACCTGAGGAGATTACCGCATCGTCTTCAGTGCTCACAACATCGTCTCCTTGGGCTTCATCGACCCTCCAGTGCATCTTACATGGCCCAGGATTGTGGGCACCGCACATGTTGACTTGCGAAGACACCATGAAGCCCATGAAGCTAAGAGGACAACGTCTTGGGTATATTCTGAAGAGGGATACGGTACTGAATGATGGTGGACTTGCACTTGGAGACCTCTACGATGTTGCCAGCAAGATTAGCGCGACGCATGACCATTGCCCCTACCAAGCGGAGCACGAATATGATCCAGCTACTGGAAATGTCATGATGGATTTCCAGTTCATCGGTTTGATCAATCTCGAAAACCGCCTCTGGGTTAGTCAGATGAAGTGGAAGTGGGATGCTGAGAACAAACGCGCATATGGAACGGCTTCCGAGGACAACGGGAAGTAGACAGCTCGGGATGCCAACAAGACTTGGCTGGAGCTAGATCTGTTGCATTGCTCTGACTTCAGGTCGCTTGCGTGAGTTGGAAACCAGCCATAGCGTATCACAACTTGCTACGATCTGCTGGGTGGTACCTCACCATCATGTTTCGTCTCCGACATAGCTGTACGCTCGATCGCGCCAGGGCCAGTCCCTGGTCGCCAAACATGGATTTCAGCGGATGTAACAATACTTGACTGTGGCCTCGCTCTTCTTCTAACTAAGATTGGCGGCTTCTTCTCGGCCGCTAACGGCTGCCTTTGAACTCTCTCGCGTTACACAGCATGTATGCCAAGCATAGCAGGCAACCCGAGACTGATGGCGGGCGAAAATTGGTCGGCACTGATCGGGACGTACTGGTAACATACCTATCGAGAAAAACGAATCACAAGTGCGACCCGTGGAAAACTTAACCGTGACTTCTTCTGTATGCAACTACCCCTGAGTGCATGCGCAGGTAGCCAAGCCAAGCAGCAAAGCTTTCCATGGATCAAGAGCCAGTCCGTTCAGGCGCTTGCATTCAGAAGTAAATGCATTCAGAGGTAGCCACGATTACGAAGTCACTGTACTGCTTCTTGGGATCTGTCAATCTATGACAAAGTGCTTGAATACTGAGACTACTAGCACCTCTGATACTACGCCGTTGCCGGGGACAGCCGCCAAGGTTGTGCTACTGAGCTATGTCCGAGACATGGTGGCTCTTCACAGTGAAATTGCCTGAGGGAGAACGTTCTCCAACATGGCAGCGAGACCTCCGCCTCCAAGCGTGGGCAGAAGAGCGGCTAAGCCAGGAAACTGTCTGAAAGACAAGCACATGTACCTTCCGGGGGAAAACCTGGGAGCTGCTTCATACCGCAAAAACGTCTATCAAACACTTCATTCCACGTTATGAATCGCTGAGCACATCCCTTGACCATGCGTACATCGTAGTCCTTTGAACGACAGAACGCACTTTCATCCTCGTCCTAGGCAGCCTACTCCACAATCTCCTCCGTCTCCTCCAGGATCTCCTCAAAGATCTCCTCCACGACCTTGCTATCTCCTTCACTGTCCTCCACAACCAACGCCTGTTGCTCAGGCGAGATCTCAGGCAGACCCATGTCCTGTCTCTCCTCGAGCAGCTCCTCCTTGGTGCGTTCACGCCATGCGAGCCATTCCTCGAGTTGTCGGCGACGATTCTCAATGACCTCCTTGTCAGCAGAGCTCTTCTTGGCTTGATCTTGCTCTTCGAAGGTCTTGGAGTACTCGCGAAGGTTCTTGCGAATCTCCTTCATCTCCTCCTTGCTGAGCAGGCGCTCAGGGCGTGGTCGCCAAGTGAACTGCTTGAAGCCTTCGACAGGCTCCTCACGAAGAAGTTGACCAGCGAAGGAGTAGAGATGGTAGCCGTTTTCCATGCGGTGTTTCCACACTGATGCGCTGGTCGCGACAAATCGTCCACTGGGGTCCCATTCAATATCTGTGATACCGTAGTGGTCGGCTGTGTTCATGAGTTGGAGGTTGGCAGTAAGATCCTTCTCCTTCTCGTCCTTCTCACCCTCGAAGTCGAAGTCCCAGAAGTCCAGATCGAAGCTCTGCTGGTTCAACACTGTGGCAACAATACAGAATCGGCCATTCGGTGACCAGTGAATGGCATTGTTGTTCTTCTTGTCCACGGTGCGAATGAGCTTGAAGTTGCCAACGGCATTACCCTTGGCCTTCTCAGGAGCGAAGAAGGAGACGGAAGTCTTGGGGGGAATAGCAGCACCGGCGGGCACTTCGCCAGCAGTTATGAGGACGAAGCGATCACCTTTTGGCTCCCACGCGAAGTTGATGACGGTGTCCTTCAAGCTGTCGACAACTTCGACAGGCACACCCTTTTCTTGTACGCGGAAGATTTCGAGGTTCGTAGCGAGCGACTTCTTCGATTTGCTGTGTCGATCCACCTTGCAGCAGAGGAATTTCGAGTCGGATTGCCAGTGGAGCTTCGCGTCGCTAACGTTGAAAAGGTTTCGTGTTCGGACAATCTCTTTTGACGGAATAGACATGATACCGACCTTGGCCGGGTTTGAGCCCATCTCAGGTGTCCAGTATGCGAATAGTTGCTCGTAGTCCTTTTGCTCAATGCGCTTTGGATTCGCCGGGCACCACTCAAAGTCCTGTACTCCTTCGATCTTCACGCTTACCTTGTCCATCAGTCGCATGCTGGGAAGTTCGTAGACGGAGATGCTCTGGTTGGGTGTCATTCGTGCAACGTATTTCGAGTCTGCAGACCACTTGAAAGCTGGCCATTGAATCTTTTGCTTAATCGGGTTGCCTTCGGGGTCGAGGCCAGGGCTAGGAAGGTCGAGCGTAACGAAGGATCGAAGAGGCTTGCCGGTCGCGACGTCCCAGATGATGTAGTTCTTGCCATCCTCCTCGAGCGAGAGGATAGGGTTGCCTTCGTCGACAACCATGGGGCGGTGCGACCACGTTGTGACGTACTTCTCATTGGGCGAAAAGTCGACCAGGTTGACGCCTGGGTGCATGAATCGCTTTTGCCTCGACCACTGCGGGCCTCCCCACAGCTGAACACCTTGCGCATGCATCGATGTCAAGTATGTGCCTTTTGGTGACCACTGCACGAATGACTCTGTCCAGTGTTGACGATCCACAATCTGGTCAGGCGCAGCTTCCCTCTCGTTCCAGAACACGCCCACATTATCACCGCGGTACATGACGAACTGGTCTCTGCCATCTGCATCTCCCAACCACCATCGCAAGTGCTCTTTCTCTTCGAATGGCGCGATCTCTGGTGCCTTGTATGTCTCGTCGATTCTTCCCTCACGACCGAATCGCTCAATATCGGTGAGCTTGTTGACAGCCATGGTGTGCTTCTTGTCGAGCGGCTGCGCGTGAAGTGCCTTGACTGCGGCAGCGGCCTGTGCTGGAGTCTCATACTCGACGAAAGCGAATCCCTCTGTCTGGCCTGTCTCGCCGCTGAGGGGCATGAACACATTCTCCTCCTTCGTCTTCCCGACCTTGGTCAAGCTGCGCAGCAAGAACTTGATGAGCTTGTCCTTGCTGGCTTCGGGAACCTTCGGCAGGCCGTCGATGACAATGAAGGTGTCGAGGCCCTCCTCCATCACTGTCTCAAATTTCTCGCGCAAGTCTGAGAAGTCGATCTCCTCATCGTCAACCTCGTACTCCGTCTCCGGATCGAGGTTCTCGAAAGATGGCGCCATGGTTGCGGTATTGATGTGCGTGCGCTTTCCGATGAAAGCGCTGGACGAGCAGATGGCGGCCGTGTATTGTCGTCGTCCTGTGCTGCTCGCTGCCGCCCGAACTTTGGCGTTTGGAAGTCGCGAATTGAGAAAGTGTTAGCCCCACGTTTGCCAAGAGCTTCCTTATGATGCCTGAGGCTTCGCTTCTGTCACTGTCACGACCACGATGTCAAGGAGTCAATCAAAGTGACTCAAACTTGACTCACTATACATCGCTGTCTACATTCGTGATGTATCTCTCTAGCACACCTATCTTGCTTCGAATTGCTGCATATGACTTCTCAAATCGCATCTGTACACCTTTACAACTGCTTCTTCGTATTGTACTCATTGACCTGCTTTAGCAACACGTCTCCGTCACCCCCATTTGCCACGTACCACTTCGGATCAATGTGGTTCAGGTTCAGATAAGGACTACAGTCCGCCTTCTCCGCACCCAGCCGGTTTTCTGGTGTCCAGCCCATTCCCAGATGTGCCCAAGGATTCTTGTCGTGGTATTTAATCTCGAAATCCTCGTATCGTGGCTTCTCGATGACCTGCTGGTAATGCATTGAAGATCCAGGCCATACTGCGTTGACGCGGCCGGTCTCGTTATTCTTGTACCAGGATCGACAGTCTTCTTTCCACACAGTGTGCTTGATCCATTCTTGCACGTGAGCATTGAAGGAGTCGGTGATGTCTTGTCTGGGGACCCAGGAGTGGATGTTCTCATTCTGCATCTTCTTGATGATGCTGATAGCGTAGTCGGAGACGGAGTGAAGGGGTCCCATAACAGAGCCTATGATTGATCATGTAAGTAAGCGAAGCTGCAGAAACTGCCGAAGTGACTCTCACCATTCTCGACTGGCCAGGTTGGGCCGATGAAGGTGATGAAGTTGGGGAATTCCGCAATACCCAGACCAAGGTAGGACTCAGGGCATACTTTCCATTTTTCCTGTGGTCATTGTCAACGCATTATCGCGCAAGTGAGTGGGCTGGGGCAAGCATACCTTGAGGTCAATTCCGCCCCTCCCGACAATGGGAAAGCGTGGCTTGTAAGAGACATCGAAGCCTTCAAACCAGAGATCAGTACGTCTCTCATGCGCTCTCTGCATCACCACACTTACCTGTAGCACAAACAACAGTATCAACTTTTCTCTCTACACCATCTTCACCCACAACGCCATCTTCCGTACAGCTCTTCACGGCGGTAAAATGCACATCTACATTTTCCTCTTGGATCGCCAACATGTATGGATCGCCAGGCGTGATTCTTCTACACCCCACTCCAAAGTTGGGTGTGAAGCCCTCCAGCAACCTCTTGTCCTTAATGAATTCCGCCATACGTTCACGGAACATTTGCTGTCCTTGCTTTTGCGCTTCTGTATCAGAGTAGAACGCTCCCCAGAGACCATTGACTTGATCTTCAATATCTTTGGCGTGGGCAACGAGGGCTTTGGGGTTGTGCCGGAACTCATCGCGTTCGGCAGGATCGTATTCCTTGTTCTGACCGTAGTTGTTGGCGATCTGGACGAACCAGACACTGGATCAAAGTCAGTCTCAAGTCTAAGATAGCTGGAAGCTGGTCACTCACCCCGTCCGGACGAAAACATCAATGTGCTTCGTATGAGGTTGCATAGTCGGCACTGTCTGGATCGAACTGGCTCCTGATCCAATCACGGCCACTCTATCGTTCTTCCACTCTTCGGTCTGATATTCCTTTGGCCATCGAGCAGTGTGCACGACTCTTCCTTTGAACTTATCCTTGAGACCTGGAATGTCTGGCCACTTGAAGTTGTTCAAGATTCCAGTTCCGTGCAGAAGCAGGTGACAAGTATCCTCGAACTCTCTTGGCTGTTGTCCCGGTGCTGTCTGTCGTAGCTTCACAGTCCACTCGCCCTTCTCCTCATTCCAATACGTTCCAATGACTTCAGTGTTGAATGTCATATATTTGCGCAGATCAAAAGTGTTGCACACCTTGTCCAAATACTTCCAGATATCTGGAGAGTAGGAAAAGAATCGTGGCCAGTCCGGATTCAAGGCGAACTGGTAAGTGTATGCATGAGATGGGATATCACAGGCGCATCCAGGGTATCTGCGCGGAGTTCAGCACCTGCTCATGCCCTAGGAGTCGCTGGCTATACCTGTTCTCGAGCCAAGTGCCACCAATATCTTCATTCTTCTCGTAGATGACATGCTCGACATTTGCCACGTCTTTCTGGATACGATATGCCATCAAGATACCAGTGACACCGGCGCCGATTGTGAGCACCCGCAGTTTGCGGTTGTTGGGGTCATCTTTGCATTGTCAGTGGTTACCGAGATTGCGATTTGCTGGGACTTCGTACTGTATGTGATTTCTTGATTGACATGGTAGCCAGACGATCCAGGCTGTGAGTAGTCGAATGTCTCGCCTGCGGCGACTGCGTTGAGATCGGGTGCCATGTTCAGAGCAAAGAATGTGTGAAAGCCAGGACAATGGGACGCGAGGTTCGAAAGTGGGCTGCTGCTTCACTATAGACTACCTTCTACTGTACCTCCGGCTGTCCTGAGAGCTTCCAGATGAGCGGAGCACTAGCCTCGGACTGTGTAATGGAGACTCGTGCAGGGCGACCCGCCGCGCATGCTGTGCAAGCTCTTGGACGCCTGCGGTAGATGGTGTCTGCCAAAACAGTGACTAGTATTGGCTGGAAGCTGCATGATCGGCATGAGCACGCGCTGCATGCGCGTAGCCCACTTCGCCGCTTGCCCAGCCCGCACTTGAGATCATGGTATCTCGTGCCTTGCATTGTAACAACAGCTTGCCACAGTATCGAGTCGGCGGTTTCGAGTAATGTGGCACGAGTTCGCAACACGGGTCGCCTCTTCAGCCTTAGTGCCATAGCAAAGGTGGCGATTCCAGAGCGGGGAAGTGTCGAGAGGTGGGGACATCCTTCTCAGCTCTCGGCAGCACAAGGCGGCCGACGCTCGCCCATTACACATCTGGACCTGACAAAACACATTGCCCAATGCGGAGCAAGCGAGTCTCTCTTCGTTTGGATCCTGTATATCAGCTAACAGTGAGAGGATCACTAGCGCTTACCAACGGCAGGATTCGATGCTTGAAGGCTTTCAGCACACTGGCGAAGTGCACTGGTGTGGCACTCTCTATCGTGGTTGTGCTATCGCCGAACCCAACCCACTCTATATCTGCGCCCCGAGGAAGTGCATTGGCCGCGATGACTGCCAATGGTGGCACGCACTTGCTGGATTCATCGCGAATGTCTTTCTCGTGCCTCGAGGATGATGAGTGTGTTTGCCACCCGCCTCTACGTGAGCCATGTCGCTGATCCCAGACATCAAAGTCGTCGTCATCTTCGGGCTCACCACCTGACGTAGGTAACGATTGTGGAGTGTGATATTCCTTCCATGTGTTGCGAGCCATGTCAGCACGTGTGGTCAGCACCGCCTGCTCAATACCATCTGAGGCGATGAAAGCGATGCAACAAGCCCATTGCCCGACTTGCATAATTCTTCCAATCCGGTCGAGATGTTGCAGAGCAAATACACTTTGCAGGGTGAAGTCGTGGCTTTCGCCCTCTGATGAGTGATCAGGTAACTGCATACTTGCTGGGATTAGCGGAATCTGTCCCGCAATGTAAGTCTTCTGTCGGCCTGGTGCACTTAGCTTGATGGACTGCGAGTATGGACCAATGTTCGCAGGCGCCCAGTAGGAGCGAGATTGTACATGTAAGCCGTCCCTTTTGCCAGACTCCACTACTACTGATATCGCGAGTAGTGCGTTCTCAGGAAGCACATCTCCACAGGCAACCGTAACTCGCGCAGGTGGGTTAGGCTTGCTGAAATAGCTGCCGTAGACTGGATTGACCGAAGTGAAGTCGTCCATGTTCCGGAGCACTATCGTTACGTTCGCGATGTCTGCGATGGTAAGGCTTTTTCGAGCCAGTGTAGCAACCACTTGATCCATGATGGCTTTCGTCTGTGCCGCTGCAGTGGTGCCTTCGCCAGTGATGTCGGCCAGTACTTCTATGTCAGGATCGGGTCCACCGTTCCATGCTGCGCCAGACGCTGACATCTGACAGAAAACGGGGGTGCCGCCATCGGCTTCGAAGGAGGGCCTATTTCGAACTGCCTGCAGTATGGACTCAAACCTGGCCTCAAGCAAAGCCGGCATGCGTACAGAGGTGTTCGACGAAGGTTCACTCTCTTGGTCAGCGTTCAGCACGACAGCAGCCTCTGTCAATCTGACCGAAGCGCTGCCCGCTTCACCAGGCACATTCCTGATGTTCTCGGGAGCGACCACTATTCTGCCCTTCCACAACGGCGCTGGACCCGATATGGCTAGAGTCTCGAATTCTCCACCTTCTCCCAAGACTGCTCCATCACCCGGTGTACCAAAACGTTCAGCGGCTTTGCTTAGGCGAAGTCTTGTGCGTGCGTCTGCCACGTTTTGCCACAAGAAGCTCTCGTCGAGTCCCCCAGAGGCCACCTTGATGATCCGAGAGTCTTGCCCAACTGCTGCCATGTCTTCCAGCAGAGACGTTTGCGTTTGCGGAGGTAGTGTAGGCCATTGCCAAAGATATGAAAGGGGCGTGAGACCAAGCCTGAGCGCAACGGACTCCACTCGAGTGCGCTGATAATCCGACATGATGGCGCCGGTGCTCACCGCATTGACTTCGGGATGTGCGGCGAGTATTTTCCGCAGTAGAGGTAACAAAGATTCGGTCTCATCTTCGGCACTGCTGTGGTGGTAGTCGCGATCTTGCACTGCGGCAGTTCCGCAGATTTCCTGACGATATAATGGCAGACCGAGAGCTTGCTCGTACAGCGGTATTATGGCGTGACCGATCGTCTGATACATGAAGCTGTCCAAGTCCTCCTCATCCCGAGACTTGGGGTGCAAGTTGGCAAGAGCGACGACTTTGTGGCCGTTCGCTTGGCAGTGCAGAATAGAAAAGAACGAGTCCTTACCGCCAGAGATCAGCGCAACGACATTGAGACGCGACATACTGGCTCTCTTCTTCAGGTCTTACGCGTGCAGATCTCAGAGGCTTGTCCGAACTGTCTTCACGAGTATGGTAGACGGCAAGAATTCCGGGAAAGACGACTACCGCGGGTCAGAAAGCTTTCGAGCTGTTCTGCAACAGGGCATAGATACAGAAAAAGAGGATGTTCAGCGTCCAGCACGCCAACAGGACCACTTGGAAAATGGCTGTCGAGTCGGAGTTGGCTGAAGCGCCGAGTTTGCAATGAATTTGCTCTGTGCACGATCGGACACACGTTCTATCATGGGGATAGACGAACGAGCAACGTTTGGGAAACTGAATTAGATCATGCGCCGCACGAAGAAGAAAAGGTGAAGAGATCGCGTCGCGCAACAGAATTTTGATGCGGCGGACGGAGGCTACGGAGCGGCCCGAACATGTCTCTTGGCATTCCCGTGTCGTGAGAAGTCGAAGTCGAAGTCGAAGCAACTCTTCAAGCTGCTTCAGTTCCTGTATCTCCAAGCCCAACACAAAACGACGACCTATCTCTGCATCATTTCTCACCACCCTATATTAAGACTTCTGTGTTTCAGTTTGCTGCCACACTGACCTGAGTTTTGATGTTAGATGCCAAAATCAGGTGCTGATGTCCGTGGCAGACGCGTACCATGCTCCCACGGACTGTGCGCATGATTCTTGACCAGGCTATCGAGTGTGAGGATTCAAACGATGCAGTTGCATATCTCTCAGTCTCTGTGTGCGGATCAAAGTCGTCTATTGGCACCGCCGAGCATGGCCGACAGCTGAGCATTTGTGCTCACAAGACACACTTGCTCACAACAGACGACCTTCATCGCACGACAGTGGTCTGCCCAGCATGAACTGCTGGAGAGACCGAGCCTCCTGCTGTCTTTGCTGACTGTCTTCGATAGGTAAAGCTTCATCTACTCATGGCTAAATGCTGGCCGCCCGCATGCAATGCACTGATCGTCAGGCACACACACTGAAAGTGGGCTGATCAGCCTGGACACGGCAGCAGTCATCCGGGCACACGCTCGAGGCCGATAGCATCATCATGCACATAATCTAGGATCTTGCTGCAGCGCGAAGTGCGGGGAATGTTCATGCTCAAGCCGGGCGCCCTTATAGAAAATGTCCACGCATTCGGACCAGCCCAGCATCGCCAGCCAATGTATCATTATCAATTATGGCCTTCACGAATATCCTTACCAAGCTTGGTTACGGAATCCTCATCCGAGGAGCACTATTATCGGTCCACGCCAGCGAGCAGGAAAGATCAGTAGTTTTCGTTGCAGAATCAGCGCCCTCCGATGCAGGTGTTCCCTTGGAAAGCTTCGTCACTTACAGTATAGAGTTTTCCTCCTTTCCAGACTTTGCAGGCAACAAATCTGCACCAAATGAATTCTCCGACAACCTCTTGGAAAATCTCGGTAATCTACAGGGCACGAAGCCACATATACGTGTCGGCGGCAATACTCAAGACTATGCAGTCTTCAATGAGTCGCTGGACGTGGCATCAGTGGGCATTGTGAACCCGGATATTTCTCCTGACTATCCGACCACTTTGACTATTGGGCCAAAATATTTTGAGTCGTATCAAACATGGCCAGGTGTGCAGTTTGTGCATGGATTCAACCTCGGACGCAACAGCTCTACAGCAAGGCAAGGACTCCTCGACTCTGTATCGTACGCATGCGAAGCTCTGAGAGACCGACTCCTGTTTTGGGAGCTTGGTAACGAACCAGATCTGTTCAAAACTTCTGCTCAAGGGCCAGTGAGACCTCGAAACTGGACAGAGCACGACTATGTCGAGGAATGGCAACATTGGACAAGGGCCATCCGAGTGGAGATGGGACAGTCCTGTCCCGAGCTTGCAAGCAACGAGAGCTATCAGTACTACGCGCCATCGTTCTCGGGAACGACGAATAGCTTGGAGCCACTGAGAACATGGCAAGCTGGACTGAACGAAGATGGCATCATTGGCATGATCAGTTCTCACAAGTATGAATCGAATCAGGCTCGAGGAAAAGCTGCTAATCGCTCACAGCTACATCTCCGGTGCCGGATCTCCTGGTGTCACTTTGCGAGGCACTCTGATGAATCACACCTCTACCGTGAACTCGGTCAGAAAACACGTCAACTCGTCTCGCCTAATTCACGAACTTGAGCCTGACCTGCCCTACATCCTCGGCGAGACCAATTCTTTATACAATCAAGGTCGGCCAGGCCTCTCCAACACTTTCGGCGCAGCCCTGTGGGGCGTCGACTTCAATTTGTGGTGCGCAGCGAACAACATCCGACGCGTACACATGCACATGGGCACGAATTACCGCTACCAAGCTTGGCAGCCTATCGACACCGATCTCGTAGCCAAAGGAACGAAAGCGCCATATTACGCGAGTATCGCTGTCGCAGCCTTCTTGGGCAATATCACCGATTGCCCACCCAAGATTATCAACATCCCACTTCAAAAGGACACAGAAGCGGCGTATGCGTCTTACCTGGACGGAAACCTGCGCAAAATCATCGTGATTAACATGCAATCGTATAACGCGACGGACTACAATGAGGAGTACCTGACCCCGTATCCTCGACCAACCGAGACGTACACTTTCCAGCTTCCGACTTCTTTTGCAGATTCCAAAGTCGAACTACAGCGTCTTTCTGCGAATGGTAGTGATGCGATCACCGGAATTACGTTCGATGGATACAGCTACAATTTTGAATTGGATGAAGGTCGACCGGTGGCACTAAGCAATGTCACGAGAGGAGAGGTGGCAACTGTGAATGATGAAGGCAGGATTGAGGTGGATGTTCTGAGGAGCGGAGCTGTGATCCTGAACTTTTGAGCGAACATTGGGATCTGGTATCAAAGGTAAGTTACATTACTGTTGCAGAAGAGTGAAGTATTCAAGTATTAATGTGTCCTGGTCAATATAGCCTCCCTCTCGAATTTCAAGTCATTTCGTGTCCCGTTTCGTTAGCCTGTCATCCAGCGCCAATGCTATGCGTTACGACAAGTTCAGACCTCCCAAGAACGCCGCGTGGAGTCGTCAATCTGTGCTTGTTTTGTTCCAGTACTGTTGCGCCTGGTCTCTACGACTTCATTCACACTCTTCTTTCACGCAAAAGACACATGACCCTTCTGCAGCTTCGCCTTCAATGCGTCTACTTCTTGATGCAACTTTGCGATCTCATCCAGGTCTTCTTGTGCATGTGCTTGTGCGGGAAGAGCTAACGCTATTGAGAACAGCAGTCAGCATATGTGCATCGCAATGCGATAGACGAGGAGGGAGGCTAACCTTTGGGTTGTGTCGCACTCTTTGGCTTCTCAAACTCGGGAGTATGTGGTGCGGAATTCTGGTGTTCTTCGGTCTCGAAATGCACGATCGCGGGACCATCGAGACCAATGCAGAAGTGGGAGAGTGGATTGCTGGCTAGATCGTCGTCGTAGAAGCGTGCACCGCAGATTTGGCAGAGGCTGGACATGGTTTGATTGTTGTTAATGGTGGTTTTGATTCAAGTAAGGTGGTGGAGTGTTTTGTTGTGTACCGTGAACTTGGTGATAGAGAAATGTTTGGCTACCTACTGTTTCGCTCTTCTATATATCGACATTTGAGTATCGTGGCGAGACACAACCTATGTCACAGGTCGTGATGATGTTACATATCTCACCACCATGCCGTACGGGATTGCTTGGCGGCGTGATCAAGCGGTGAGGTCCGCCCTGGTCTTTCCGATTGCCATCCCTGTCGCGCGAGGAATTATCGTTCCACTTCACCTGCTGCGTCAACAATGCAACACTGTAACCAAGCTACGGTGTCACAAACTCATGAGCCGCCATTCGCATCCTTCTCATTCTTTGAGCCGACAAATCATATGCCATGCCACAGTGTTCGACAAGATACCCCAGTGCTCTCACCCGTGCCGACGGCCATCAAATTCAGCAGTAGCAGCTCTGATTACGAACATTCACGGCAAGTCCAATTGAGACCTTCGACGATGTTTCCTGCATGTCGAAGAAGAGTTTGCATTCGATCGCGTTTGGTTCCACCGTCTACTGCCCATCCCGGAGTTTGCACGCTCTCTGCAGTCCCTCACAGCTCTCAAAGATATCCTGCGCCTTCTTCAAGCCACGTCCGTCGCTTCGCTCGTCGAGGGTCCGAACATGTCTTCAAGTTGGGCAGACGTCAGAAGCTTAGATGGCTCTCCAATGCCGGTAACGCGCGAGCCAGGATAGAGCGGTGCCGGTCCGGTGTACGTCGAAGAGATCTGGTACGGACTGCTGGTCTTTGCCTGGGTCATGAACCGTCTCAGGTAGTCTGCTAGTCCAGCAACATTTTGCTCCCACAGTATCCGCTCCTTTTCCCGATCGACCGCCCAAAACATGTTATCTGAGTTGTATGAGAAGGTGATGATGCCTCGAAACTGTTTCAGAATTTTCGTGACGGGCAGACGCTCATAGTCTTCCTCAGTCAAGATCTCTTGGTATGGGCACCTGGAGCGTATCAAGCCTTCTTCCCTGAGATGCATGAATGTGGCATCGATGGTCAGTGTTCGCAATTGGGCGAAGTGTTGCAATTGCTGCATGATATCGACGGAGGAGGAGCGCGCTGCGGTACAGAAGAGTTTGAAGAGATGTAGGCCGTGGACATTGCGGATCTCTCCTGACTGCTCCCAGACATCACACAAAGTCTGGCACTGCATGAAGACCGGGACGGCATTGGTGAAGAATCGTTTGGATACCTGAAAAAATTTTCTTGTCAGCACGCAGTCTTTCGGCTGACCTGCCAACGTGGACTTACAAGGAGTTTCTCGATTGCGTACTCAAAGGGTGGCAGCTTCTGCTCGTCGGCGAGTCTGCCCGCTTTGTATGACTCCCCCTCCAGCCATTTCACACTCGGGGTGACAAAGCTCAAACCAGCCTACCCGCTGCTCGCCAAAGGCATAGTCAAAGATTTGGCAGACAAGCTCCCGAGGCAGAGTCCAGAGCAGACAGCCGTCAGCATCAGGGCGAGCTGGAGAAAGATTTGGCATGGCTTGCGATGACGGGCAATTCCGAGTCGACTGGAAAATCAAATCGACTCGCAAGATCAAGCCAGCACGAAAGTGTTGCTTGGAGCAGCGATGTCGAAATTAAAAGTTCGCCTTTGAAAAGAGGCAGCGACGAACACAGCGAAGTTGGAGCCTTCTGTTGAGTATTATCGAGCGCTCAGGTGGGAAGTTCGAGGCCAGAGGTGCTGAGCTGTCGAATGAGAAACTTGATGGAGCCAACAACGAGCGAAATACATAACGTCGGCAGATCGGCAGGATCTTAGTAAGCTTGCACGTGAGGTGGGTGAATGAATACACGAACGACAAACAAATTCATGCTAATAATGAGAGGGCAGTGTGGAGTACAACAGAGCTGTACTCAATACTGATCAGTACCCAATGACTACAGACATCTACGCTGTTACATCTGTCGGTGTCAGCGGCGGTCTATCATCGTCACCCCAAGGCACGCCCCTTTTGTTAAGCACTATGATCGTGCGACAAAGGTTGGAATGGGAACATCTCTATTGTGTAAGTCACGGCTGATCAACCTTAGAAAACCTCCACGTTCTCAGCAGATCTTAGAACTGACCATCGCTGTGATAGCTCTTTGACCACAATGCTTCATACAATTGAGCGTGGAAGTGTAGATCCTACTTCCCTTGACTTTGGACAAGGGGTGGAGCTTGGCGCCGTATGTATATGCTCCGCTGAGTCCATGAGTAACACATTGCAGATCGAAGCTTGATGCGCCCACGTTGACGACTGTAATAGTAAGGAGCAGAAGCAGGCTCGAATTAGGCTGTGAATGTTTCAGTCGGTGACAGAAGGCAGGCCTGTCAGGTTAGAATAGCGCAGCTGCCAACTAGCCTAGTCCAATGGTCGAGCAAGGTCTGGATGCTCCCGAAGAGCACGTTTTACCCATCGACGCATGATGTCTAGGTCCATTGTAAGAACCTGAGTGGTTTGCTTCGGCAGCCAATCAAACTGGTCAGACTCAGTCGTAAGCAGAGAAGAGCCGCAGTTGATGCCACTGACGTGGGATCCGCGATATAACGGCTGCCGTCCACTGTCGTTGAACGAATGTACAGGAGCTACGCCTGTCTTCTTGGTCGTTACGATTGGTAGCAGATACTTGCAGATAGCGAAGACGTTGTCTTCCCATATCTGGAGCTTCACCGGCGTCTCGGCGTAGTAGCAAACATCGGCTTTACAGTTGAAAGTCTTCAATCCTCGGACATTGCTCAATCTTCTAACGAATGGGAGTTCTGCAATGTCGCCATCTTGAAGGGCGTAGAGCCATGGGAATTTGTCCGCAGCCCACTCATCCTTTCCAAAGTGGTCGCAATCGACTTGTATAGTCAGGTGTCTCAATGTGGAGAAGTCTTGGAGGTAATCGAGCGAAAGGCTTGACAGTGTAGCAGATCGAGTGAAAAGTGCGAACACCTTCTGTTCAGCAATGTAAGCCATGATGAATTCAGAGCCGTCGGAAAGGTCGAGATGCTGAGCCTTCACGAACGCCTCGATAGCGCTGACAAAGAAGCGCTTGGACACCATGTATTGATCGACCTGTGGTTTGAAGGGTCGGATGCTTGTCGACCAGCCTCGCTTTATTTGATACAGCTGCCAGTCTGTTTGTTGTTCTTTAGTGGTGAAGCCAGATTCAGCGGGGTGGCCATATGCAAAGTCGCAGATCCTATATAGTAGTTCCTGCGGCAGTCTGTCAAAATGGCAGACCCCATTCCCCGATGCGGGAGATCCAGCTTGTGATGAGGTTTTGGGAGCCAACGACATGTTGGAAATTTCTGGAAGAGTGACTGGCATAGATGCTGTTGTTGTGTGTAGCTATCTTTGTCGGTGTCTGGGTGTTGGTGAAAAGGAAAGGGGAAGGTTTTGAATCGTGGACGAACGCAAGCGCCATTCACTAGCGCAGCTTCTGATCGAGAAGTTAATTTTCACCGCAACAGTGAACCGATGAACACAGTGAATGACTATAATTCCTGTGTTGCTCCAGTACCCTTTATTCTGCTTCGAAAGAGCCAATTCATAGCTTGATCGAACGTACGTCTCATTGTGTCAGATCTTCAAAATCAGAGAAAACTAGCAGGGCATCCGTGGGATAGAGAACATCGTAGAAGCTCAGACACGTACTATTCAAGATTTTCAGAGCGTCAGAAACGCCTGTGGTATCTGTGGGCTCGTGATCAATCACCTTTTTCAAGCCCAGGCCATGAATTTTTATCAATCCGCGATTGCTAAACGGCTACGCAACGAAGTCGGTTTTTTTTTTTATCTCGAATAGGCCTGCGATAGGAGACTACGCTGTGTAGCAAAGGCCCACCAGTGCACGACCTTAAACGTGATTTCTGGCAACGTTCAGCATGATAGTCGATGTCATTTTGAGCCCAGCTGTCATATTGCAATGACGAGACTTCCTGGCTACATAGCTAACGCTCAGACTCAACACCAAGCTCGTCCATATCTCTCTACAATTGCCCTCGAAGAAACAAGCTCATACTCCATAAGTCCAAAGTTTGGGATGTCACGCACATGGACATGCTCTGCTGGAGACGCAGGGGCGGTGAGTCTTCATCTGATACACGTTGCGGGCAAATCAGCTCCGCCAACTGCAGTGAACCGGTTAGTTAAGCTGTAGACGTTTGAACCTCGAGAGGATCGCTGCCGGCATCATGTCGTGCGGCAGAGTGCCACATTCGAAAACTCGGTCCAGTCATGCCTCTTCCTGAGTTGCGGGAGTGGCTCCAGACCCGATTCTGCAATGCTCGTAAAAAATGTACGAAGGCCAGCGCTCAGTTTCTAGCTTTCAGATCGGAAATCTCGAGAGGTCGCGCAAGTTCTGGATTCTCCTGAAGAGCACGTTCAATCCATTGACGCAATTCATTCGATTTGAGGCCCATGACTTGGGAAGCCAGGACGGGGATTGGACCGGCTAGACGAATTGTTGGTTTGGTGAGAGCGGATTCAGTGCCACTGACGCGCGATCCTGGGTAAAGTGGCTGTGGCTGCTTGACGCAATGCGAATTCGCTGCAGGGATTGTTGGGTTTGCTGCATTGGTACTGAATTTTCGTGCAGTCACAATCAATGTGAGATAAGTCTGTAGCGTGTCAATGTTACATTGCCACATCTGCTTCTTAGCCACTGTATCGGCTTGGTGACATCTGCCAGCCGTGATGGCGAATGTCTGCACACCTCGCAGAGCACCGATGTGTTTGACAATGTTCAGTTGTGCGAAGTCGTCTGGTTGGAAGGCGTGGACCCATGGATAATTCGTCGATGGCGGTGATCCAAACCTGAACTTGTATTCATCGAGGACCAGCTCGATGTTCCTCAGGCTCGAGAAGTTCCGGAGCGTGTATATGTCCTCCAGAGAAGCAACCTTAATGTCTTTCGCGAACAGCTGGAATAGCTTCTTTCCAGATACACGATCGGATGAGAAGTAATATTCCCCCGCTGTATGGTCAAGTCGCTGAGCCTTGACATAAGCTTCCACCGCGCTGAGGAAGAAACGCTTTGACACCTGCGTCCTGATTAGTAACTGCTAGATATCTTCTAGTGAAGTAGGGAGTACTTACAAGAAATCGATCTACGTGATGCTCGAAGGGTGGTATACTGGCCAATTTCCCCACTTCCAAGAGATCCTCACGACTTTCCATGTATTGGCCTTTCGTGATAATAAGACGCTCGGTTTGATATCCATATGCAAAGTCGCATACCATATCGAGCAGCTCCTGCGGCAGCTTATCGAAGTAGCAAATTCCGTCTTGCGGAGCCACTGCAGCTGGGGAGGTTGCGAGCGCGAGCGACATGACGACAACACTGCTGGTACTGCGTCGACGAGAGCGGTGTGTGCTGTGCAGGTGCTGGTGCTGTTCACTGAAGCTCGGTATTGCAATGTCTGCTGCGTTGTTTTGCGATTTTTGGTTAGGTTGAAGGAGTCGATCCAGCAAGTGAGTGCTTTTGAGACGTAGGAGAGGAATGAGTGCTTTTGAAATGTAGGAGAGGAACGCAATGGTATTCACGAGCGTACGTGTTCACTGGAGAGTGAATGAGCAAGTGCAGCAGTGAATGCGAGTCGCCGTACCGAGAACGCAGTGAGTGATTGACACGGTCTGCTGCTTGTTATAGACAATGCAGTGACAGCCTTTGTACAATTCCTGGGTTGCATTGTCACCAATTGCCGAAGGGTGGTCGCTGCCACTCTGCAAAAGCAAGTGGTATTTTTACTACGAAACAAGTTCTGGTCAAAGGCTCTGGTGTATATTCGCGAGAGTGGTCGCTTCGTATATGTCGTATACGCGTGTGTGGAGGAGGAAGGAGGTATTGCATTGCAGAGAGAAGTTGGAGACGTTGTTCAGATGACTACCCTCCGTTCTGCGTAATCGATGTTTGTCAGTGGGATGTCTCAGCAACATGCACTTCACCACATGGTTGAGAAGACTTAGTGTCGTGCTGGGCAAGTTTGCGATGCTATGTAGCTTCCTCCAATTTTGATCAGCATCAGCGTCATCATCTGTCCCATCAGAAGCAAGGCCCTTGATCAGCGAGAAGTGAAAGCTACCAGTCTGTCCGTCGTGCAAATCTCAGCCGAACAGTCCTCTAAACCCCATTGATGCTCAGAAAGTGATCATAATTAGCAAGACTGTGAAAAGTTTTCGCCACAGCGACTCCAGCCACCGAGCGCGCAAATAATAATATCATATCACATGTCTCGCGATAGTAAGACTCAAGTACAGCAGTCTTGATCGACAATGGCGTCCGCACGGCATGCAGACACTTCATGTGCTGCACTTGTGATAGCAGGAGCGAGAATGGATCCGTACCCAGCAAGTCTTGCAGAGCTCGACCAGTTGCTCCGGAAGTTGAGCTCATCTTGAGGTGGCGAAGCCTGGGTCGTCGAGCAGTGAAGTAAGCTCTGGATGTTGGCGAAGGGCGTGGTCGACCCACCGCGAAAGCTGATCCGCTTCTAAGCACATCACTCGGGTGACCATACTTGAGTCAAAGGCAACTTGCTGGGGCTTGAAGGCGAAATGTGGCTGAGACTTGACGCTGATGAGCATAGATTTGCAGCCGATGCCAGTGACGCGCGACCCTGGATATAGCGGCGTCGACTCAGTATTGTTGGCCGAGCTATCCAGGGCAGCCTTTGGCTTTGGTGCCGTGACGAATTTTCTCACGTACTTTTCGAGCGCGAGGACGTTTTGCTGCCACACCTGCCTCTTCCGCTCCGTATCAGCGTAGAAACAAGTGTCGGCAATGCAGGTGAACGTCTTCAGGCCCCGGAGAAGGACCAAATGCTCGACAAACTCAAGGTTCGCGAGATCGTGATCTTCAAAAACATGCAGCCAAGCATACTTTTTGCATGGGAGCCCGCTCTCAAGTTTGAACCCGTCGATAACAACTTCAACATTCCGTAGGCTCGAGAAGTTCCGGAGCAAAGAGGCGTCGGCATACGAGTTCACTTTGACGGATCTGGCAAAGAGTTGGATTGTACTCTGTCGACAGAGGCGGGCCTTGCGGTTGAGACTGGACCCTGGTCCCGTCTGATCTAGCTGCTGAGCCTTGATGAATGCTTCAGTGGCGTTCAGGAAAAACCGCTTGGATACCTGCAGTCTTGATCAGCGATTGCCGAGCGTAGGGCCTTCATGAAGTGGGCAATATTTACGAGGAAATGGTCAACATGGTGCTTGAATGCGGGTGCGCTGGCCAATGTGCCTCGTTTCACGAGGTCTTCTTGATCCTTCTCCCACTGTAGTCTCGTGATGATGCGCTTTGTACTTTGGTGTCCGTATGCAAAGCTACAAATCATACGGAGTAGCTCCGGTGGCAATCTGTCAAAGTGACAGACTCCGTCTGGCGGGGCCACGATGGCTGGCGAGGTCTCCTGCTGAAGGGGCATTGTGCTGGCCGTGGTTGTTGTCGGTCGGGGAATGGTGTTGTGGTGTGCGAGGTATTGCTGACTCGAAGTTTGTGTGGCAGCCTGCGGTCGAATTCGAGAGGGAAGGAGCAACGCGTTCGACGCGTGCTTTTTCGCCCACCAAATTCGGACACGTAGTTACACGCGCAAGTGGCTTTGGAAAAGTGAATCGCGAACTGCAGCAGCGCGTCTTCGCGTGCATCCTGGGCCACCGTCGCAAAATAATCGTGTTGGCATGATCTTCGCTGCGAGGGGTTAATGAACAACATGTGTTGAGCTGTCGCTTTGCGAAGGTCCCTGATACACTGTTGACTGATGAGTGAAAGTGTGCATAACAGCTCTTGGTCTGGTCACATTACCTTCACTTCAGCCCCTCCCCTTGAGTGTGCGGCTGTCCAGGCCTCGATTAACTCAGTATCGCTCTCGTTGCATACCGGAGGCCCTTGCTGAGGTCCATCCAAAGGCGACTACTGTCGCTACGAGGATCGAAACCTGCGGAAATGCTGCCTCCAGTCACGCACGACTCGAACCGCTCCGCGATCGTTCAATCCGGCTGTGTGTTGAGCTACCACAGGGATCCTCGCGACCATTGAGCGGACCTCAGATCTAGCCAGATCACAGCGCAGTTTGATACCTAGATCAGTTGGCAAGAGGGGACAACATACGATTCATGATACATGCCATTGTTCGATTCTTAAAGCGTTGATGAACGCCTCTCTGTAGCCATCAACTCGTACGCCGCTCTATGCATGCGACTCCGCCGTATGCACTGGTATCTTACACCCCAGCAGATTGCCTACTCCTCCATCTTCTCCTCTTCATCGTCCTCGCCTTCCAGCGCAATCTTGGCCAAGCGCTCTGCTTCCTCCTTCATCTCCTTCGGCACAGCCTCGTGTCGACCCTTAGTCGGCCCGTTGACTGAGCTGATCCAGGTGAGTTCTAGCTCGAACTCCTTGTCTTTGCTGTCCTCGTGCGCAGCGTAGATGATGCGCGCCGCCTCCTTGACGCCCTGCTCCAAGCTGATGCACTCGCCATCCTTTGGATCCAGCTTCAGCTTCTCCAGCTCTGCCTTTGCGGTCTGTCGTCCCTTTCCTGTTGCAGCGCCGTAGTATCCCCAGTACAGACCTGATGGCTCGATCATGTAGAGGTATGGCCCGCCTTCCTTCACGCCTTGCGTCTTGCCACCTGCTCCGACCTTTGGCCCGCTTCCGACAGCTCCGTCAACGTCAACTTCTGTTTCAGCGTCCCAGCCACCTACGATCGCGGTAATGCCGAATGGTCGTACGGAGGAGTAGAGAGTGTATGCTTGCACGTAGGCGCCCATGCGGTTGGCGAGAGATGATGTGGGGATAGGAGCCTTGTAGGTGCCGCGCCATTGTGATGCCTCATCGCGGGCACGAGAGACGAAGTGGCGGCCATCGGGTAATAGACCAGAGTGGACCTAGTGACCAGCCTCATCAGTATCACAGCCAGCTTCAAAGCACCATTTCCTCACTCACCACACCGATATTCCTGTCGACAGTTGCTATCCGGTTGTTTGCATCCTTCTTCATGAGCTTGCTGGTGACGAGCTTCTCGAGCGCCAACACCACGCCATCCTTGCATCTGATGCCGATGGCGGTGCCTCCATTCTCGACGGCCTTGACGGCGTATTCGACCTGGAAGTTGCGTCCATCGGGGGAGAAGACGGAGTTGGAGAGATCGTAGCCTGTGCCTATCGACGTCTAGAACATCAAGTCAGGGAATGCGCGCGTGTCGATATGAGGCTGTTTCAATTACCATGGCTGCGTTTATGAGAACTGTTTGGAGGTGAGCGGGGGTGCAGACGGCGCGGACAGGAGGCGCTGTTTGGAAGTAGCGCTCTACTGTTCGTCGTCGAAATCAAGTGCCTGCGGGAAGGACGATGCAGCGGCGGTGATGGGTCGAAGTGGTGTGGGATTGATTGTACGTAGTGATGGAGCTTGCATTCGAGACGCGCGAGCTCTACCTGCCTAACTCCGCCCGCCGGACTAGCGCCTGCTTTTGCGACTCAATATCTGCTACCGCCTACCGTAATGTCGAAACAGACAATCTCGATCTCAAACGCAACGCCGAACGAACGCCTCACTCTGCTCCGCCTGACACAAGCTGATAGGCGATACTGGAGTTTGGACATGCTCTATACTGGCCACTGCAAGATCCGCCGAACGTCGACGTGCAATTCCCCAGGACCGGCCGACGCCGCACAAAGCAGCGACGTTGTTTCTGCCCAACGGCGTCGGTCCCTGCCAATCACACCTGCGATCTCCCCGATGCCCGTCTAACTTAGCGTGCGGATGACGCAGACTAAAATTGGTCACACCTTCGATATCATCTCCCTCCCTCTCCTGTCCACCCGCTACTTCATATACCGCCTCGTTCCCTCTTGCACCCTCCCTTCGCCCTCTAGGTAGCCTCGATAGCTGTACTTACGACTGAATACAAGATCTTGCCAACCCTCCCCGCCCCGCGCAAATCTCCGCGAGAAAGAGTCGGGAAAGAAAGGACAGGTGCCCCTCCTTTGTTGGCAACCTGGAAAAAGAATCGCCGACGCCTCTTGCTTTTCTGCTTTGATAGCCGGCGACTTACACCTCTCACCTGACGTGGACGCTTGCCTCGACGAGAAGCTATACGAGTTGTATCGACGAGGAAAGAGAACACGGAAAGCTGAGAGTGGGAGAAGCTGCTCGTCAACTGTTGCGCTTTCCTATCTTCCTTATATAGCTTGCTCTGCTCCCCAAGGACTTGGACTGGAATACCCTGGACCTCGTGACCGGGTCAGGAGCAATTGGGCCATCTGCAGGACACTTGATTGTTGGTTCGATGCTGGGAGTGGTTGTTCACTACTGCGACAGTTGCGGCTACAGCACCCCTGTCGAGTACTCCGCGTCGGTCTGGATACAAGAGCATACTTGCAATCACGTAAGACCCGGCCTCTCGAAAGAAAGGCCGTCCACCCCGTTCGTGCTCGACTAACTTGTTTGACTTTGCTAGTGCGGCAGCAAAACCTTGGGCGCCAGAGTTTCGGGAGAGAGTAAGACCACCATGAACACTTTCCAGCACGATGAGCTCTCGCAGCTCTTTGCCAAGCTTTCGACGGAGCAGCAGCAGAAGGTCATTGCCGAGCCGCAATACGAAGGACAGGCTCGAGCAATTGTCGAGCAGATACAAATGGTTCCCGAGAAGATCGATGCACCCCTCACCTTTGCTTCTGCACATTACACCCACTCTACGCATCTCACAACAGATACGCAGTCCGAGCCCGCTCGATCTCCCCCGCCACCATATCGAGAGTCGATAATGCCTGCGGGCATGGCTGAGATGCTCCTTCAGCATAGCATTGAACCAACTTCATTGCTTCCTAATCAGATTGAGCTTTTTGCGGGCGCAGACAATGAGCAGAGGCTTCGTCTGCTTGAGCTTTGGAGGATCGCACCGCCAAGCTACACGCTTGAGCAGCACTTTCAGGCGCAGCACGAGGCGACGAGCGTTGAGAAGGAAGAGGCAGAAGCCAGGGCAAGGTATGAGCAGCAAATGCAATCCCGAATCTTACCGCGTGAGGATCACGATTTCGATACGTACGTCTCGGAGCCCGTCAGCCCACCTGCTGTCCGTGCCCGGGCTGCGAGTATTGCGAGCGGAGCTGCGTACCTTGCCAAAGGCGAGGCAGAGCCGTACATGAGCAACGGCTATCAGCAGATGCACTCGGACCCTGTGTATGCTGCAGGACTGTGGCAAGCGCCTAGTTATGCCCAGGCGCAGCACCAGCAGGCGATGGAGGATCAGTACGGCATGTACGAGCAGATCAGGTGTCACGCAGACTGGGAGAGGATGAATCAGCGAGCGATGGATGCGCAGCTCGGACAGGACGACGATATGGTGATGTAAATGCAGCAAAGTTAGATACCATCGTGTTTTGCTTCTTCTTTTGAATGAAGGATTTTGTTTTTGTGGCCGAAATCAGGTACTTTCACGAAATGATATTGAAAGCACGGAAGTTGCATGAACTGATCTGACTTGAAGGGTAGAGCTGTCCACGAGAGATGGTAATGGCTCCCGTGACACACTTTCGCACATCTCTGTCTTGAGGCCAGACCAAGAAGCAGAGACCTCCTCATTCAAGCAAGATCAATCGTACTTGCAGCCGTATTTCTCAGTAATGTCTGAATTACGTCTTGAGCCGTGTCCAATGTCCTGAGCTGAAAAGCCTCCATCTCTCCAGAGAAAGATGTACCTCCTGGCAATCGCTCCACCGAAACACGGCGGCAGATTCCCTCGCGAGGCCAGGTCAACGAGTGGAGAGCTTCCTCCCAACTCAGAGAAAGCAATATCTGGTACTCCGGCAAGACCTGACACGCGTTCCCTAGATGTGGCGAGCCTCGTGAGCTGGAAAACCTTTCTGGCAGTGATAATATTTCCGAGCAAGGCAAGTGATTCTCAGCCGTAACCACAGCGGTCTCGCACCCCATGGAAGTAACAATTCAAAAACAGAAAGAGAAACTTCAAAAAGATAGGCAAGATTCGTGGCAGATTGTGCCCGTGCAGAATTTCTATTAGACAGACTCTGGCGCTATACTCTACTGTATACCACTGTCATATCTCCAACGCTGCCCTTGGCTGTATGCTTCCTTCTTGGAACACCACAGCGGCGCCTCTTTACTCCACCATAACTGTGCCTTGCTTAAGCCCAGCATCGGCAATGGAGAGGTCCAGCTGATCTATCAAGTTTTTGCCCAGACTGATCAGCTCGAATGTGTCTCCCTCCTGGCCCTCGATCGGGCTAGCCTTCAGCCACTCATAGATCCTCCTCACCGGATCGGAGAGGTTGAACCGTCTGATGATGCGACCACCAGAGTGTCTGAACTGTATCCTCGTTGTCTCCTTTGGATCGGTACTCGTGGGCTCTTCGTGTGGACTGGTGGCTGAGATTCTTGAGAATGGTGTGTCCTCCTGTGCTGGTGCCTCCTCGTCCACGTCCATACTGCTATCGTCCACAACAGGTGCCTTACCCTTGCCATTCGCCGAGCTCTTCGTCAAAATGTCGGGATCCTCATCTTTCGGTGCGGCGCTACCAGCACCCATGCTGGCTTGCATGGCCAACTCGAGCTGCTCTTCCTCGCTCATTTGGCTGATGTCCTTCTTAGACTCCTTGCGCTTTGTCTGCACTGGGTTCTTCATGTTCATCTTCAGACTGTACCGGTCGAGGAATTCGTGCAGATCCATGAGGAAGTCAGGGGCTTTGGGTGCTGGTGATCCGGACCACGTCTTGACCTGCTCGCCTGTTCGCGGATCGATGATGGCAATGTGTGGGTATGCGGCCTCGTTGTCGCGGCTGTTCGAAAAGTAGTAGTTCACGTAATCGCTTCCTCGTGGGTCGTCCTTGCTGTACTGCAGAAACAAAAAGTGCTCCTTGATCGTCTCTCGAATCTGCTCGTTCTTCCAAATGTCTCGATTCAGCACCTGACAATCGAAGATGGAGGGATCTTGCACGTTAACCAGGATCCACTTCTCAGCCTCCTTGCCCTCGTCTCGCGCATCAGCGAGCGACAGCGGTGTAATCAGATCTACCGGCGGCCTGAAGAGGTCGGCGAGGTGGCTTGCCTTGGCGGACTGATCTGATGAACCTCCTGTTGCGCGTGAGAGTGCTCTGCGATGCGCCTCTGGATCTGTAGGGTCGTCACCGCTCCAGATGGATCGCGATTCGCTTTGGTTGAAAATGCCCGGCGCTGCACGAGAGCCACGCATCTGATTCCGCCGCATGAGTTGTTCAGCAATAGCCGCATTCATCTGGCCCGGATCGCTGGGGTCAAAGCCGCCGTAGCTGCCGGGCCCCACCAGCGTTTCTGTCGTCCGCGCAATGGGTGCTCTCACTTCGTCTTCGCCACCTCTACTGCTGCCGCCGGGCCCGCCGTACATCTCTTCTTGCAGTCGCCTCGCCATGGCTTCATCGTCCTCGACGTTGTGCTGCGGTCTGGGCTCATCCTCGTCGTCGCTGTCGATTGTGATGGGGTCGTCTCTGGCCGTGGTGGGTGCTGAGGCATTCACGTCTGCTCCGCTGCCACTGCCGAGATCAGGATTGCTGAAGAAGAGCTCGACGGCCTGCTCAACGTTGTTGTCTGTGAGTTGAAGGAACCGCTGGGCTTGTTCGGGCGTTCCGGACGTGAAAGCCGTGAAGGTGGCGATATCTGCGTCGTTTGCCATCCTGCAGCCAGCTGCCCGCCTGGCACGCTAAGGGTACTCGTGTTATGTCCCTGGACAAAGGCGTATGGGCGGCGTGTCTGAGGAAAGTTGGTGAAGTTGGGTACGATTGGCGGGGGCGACGGGCGCTCGGAGCGTCGGTGGTGGGTCGAAGTGATTGCACAGGCGCGATGTAAAGCGACTGACAGTTGTTGTAGTAGCAAGCACGCAAACACAGGAGCAGGAGGAGATTGTTGTGCAGGCGCGGCGACGCGTGATGCGTTCGAGAGATAGTGCAGGAAGCGGCGTGCGGGAAAAGTGACTGCGAGCACGCAACAACGTCACCAGCGCCTGCCTGTCGGAAAGCGAGTCAAAAGCTCCGACTTTCACGCCTCAGGCTTCACTTTTCACTGCGCCGATAATGTCGCACAAAGTGAACGGGTGAATCGCTTCATTCCGAAATCACAATGCTATCTGATCTGGCTGCTTTCAATGTGCCAATACCGCACCACATCGCGTTCTTCCATCAGGCATTTCGATGTGCAGCTCTCCCGTTGGACTATCCCGCTCTCCTCCAACTTCAAACCTTCCAGGCCAATGCCTCATCCTCCCAATAGTATCTTAGCTTTCGGTGGCCATAACAAATCTAGTTCTGCAATGTTCCCTTGCTCTCTCCACTTTTCTGCATCCTCCCTGTTCCCCTCCAGCATCAACACCTTCTCGCAGAATCTCGATCGATCTCGGCTCTTCAGAAACACCAGGTTGCTCTCTGACCTTGACCGCAACAAAATCTTATTCCAATCAAGTCCTTCTCCTAGATCTTTTCTCTGGGCTGCTGGTCTGCGGGAAGCGGTGAGAGGTACATATACCGTCTGCTCTTCGGCACCAGTAGCAGACATGGAGGCTTGTTCGTGACCCCAGAGCTCTGCTTCGTCGATGGGGAGGGAGGGACTGCTCCAGAATCTGCTGTTGTTTTCTGTCGGATCTGGTGACGATGGCCCTGTTACGATATCGTGGATTATGGACTCGACCTCCGCTTCTTCTAGGTCTTTGTCACTTGCTTTGACATGATAGGAATTGGAAGACACGAGGTTTCGGGCGTCGTCGTTCGTTTTTAGAGGAGACTGACGCAGGTCATCGCGGTACATCAACATCATGGAGGCAGGTCGCTCTCCATCGGCCGGATCGGAAGCGTGATCCCCACCCTGGAGATCGGCGGGCTGGGAGACGTTGGAGAGGTGGCGGGTATACTGAGGCTGTATCAGGTAGTTGTGAGCGGAGAGGCCCATTGGATCTCGAGAGGCTTCGAAGGGAGCGAGCATGGTCAATGGAGTTGCAGCGTGAGACAAAGAGGCCGCCATGAGAGAGAATCGCTGACCGAGATGGGTTGGAAGTGATGGTGTAGATCAAGTGCAAGTAGCTGTGACTGTATCGAGTCACAGGTGGCGCGTGGACGTTGGTGCCATGGGGCATGGTGCATTGAGGCTGCAGCCTGAGACATATGGTATCGTGTCTATCTGTTTAAACAGTACCTTCCTCGACCCCGAGGGCATAGGGTATTGTGTCATACATCCAATGGCCGCGTGTCAGTAAGTCGACACCGAGATCGAAGCGATGCGACCTGGTTCCAAGCTTCAATGCATCTGATCTTCGCGATTGGAGATGAACCTATAGCCATTAGCACCTTCACCAGACAACTTGGGGCGAAAGCAAATCTACCTGTTTGCAAGATCGTGGACCAGCATCGGTGTCCTTGCATGTTGGACGCTGGCTATAGAGGGGAGCCAGTTGGCGCGGCAAAATTGATCCAGCGCATGATTGATCAGATTGTCATTACGTCGCATGTCCCGCGGAGCACGCCGTCGCCGAAACGATTTGCGAAACGAAGCGGATCTGTTTGACGAGGAGCCATGGTGGAGCAGCTCGCTGTCTGGCTCTTCATACGCTCATTTGAGAAGCACTTAACCTGCACAGCCTCAGTCCGTATGGCACGACGGACCAGCGTGGCCATCAGCAGTGTGATCATGATTCGTGTGACGCACAGCTTCTTGGTGGACCGGGCGGGGTAGCCGGTAGCACGGGCGCTCAGAAGCATCGTCGAGGTCCTCTACCAATGCCGTATTGTGAATGGCATGATGGAAACGCTGTGCTGGAGCGGCCGCTGCAGCCAGACCAGAGGGACCAAGGTGTAGTAGCTGCAGCTGTACTGCAAGTACGTCGCATGACACTTCGCTGCAGTTCCTCATTGGTCATGGCCCAGTGGCCATGGTGTATCCCACTCGTTTTCCTCCATTCTCCGCGACGGCTGCCGCTTTCACGATGCCAGCAGCGGGCAAGAACGTGATCTTGATAACAAGCCAGGAGATCTTGGCGGCGAGGGTGGCAGACTCTCCGCCGGTTGCGAGCAATCACCACCCTCGTAGAACCCACTGTCATCCGACATTGGAACCTCAGGTACAGAAGCTCCATTCCAGAAACTGTCGTGTCGCATCGCGAACTTGGGTCGTTTCACGACTGTTCCAGCTTCAGATTGTCGATCCGCAGATCCGTCGTTGATGTCGACACAATCAGGCTGCCTCTCTCGCTTGACGCCGATGAGCTGCATCGCCGCCTCGTCAGGTCTCGTCCTCGATGGGTGGCAGCACGCACTGAGCTCGTGGATGTCTCGTACTTGCCTAATGCTCGATCTCTGTGGACTGGTGGCGGGAGCCGTGGTATTCATTTCTGCAGCAATCTTCACTATCCAAGCAACAGCTTGATATGTGAAGTCCACAACAGCTTCCGGAGCAGGCGGATCATCGCTCGTATCCGGAATTTCAATCGTGCATTTCGCGGTGGTGTTGCCGAGAGGCAGTTCTATTGTCTTGGTGGTTGACATAGGATATGGCGATGAGCTGGCGCGCAGGATGCAGGTTTGATCGGTAACAGACACTTTGACAGATTCTGTTCGGAGAGAATCGCGAGGTGTAAGTTGCAGGAGCAACACCTGTGAGCGTCGGGAACCATGCATGGCAAGCTAGCCATGGATATCCTTGAGCCGAGCATGTTGTGACAGGGGTGCGTGTCGTATAAGCAGAGTCTGGACCGGCGTCGCCTGATCTTAGTGTCACACCGACACGGCGAGACCTATCAATATGCCGATAGAACCGCCTTCAATATTCAACATGGAGAAGCGTGACTTGCTCGGATTTACAATGCAGATCGGGACCACATTGACCGAAACATACCTCCAGACTTTGCAAGCAGTTCGGAGGGAGCACCGACTTCGACAATCCTTCCGTTCTCGATGACCACAATCCTGTCGAAGGCAGCAATGGATTTCAGGCGATGCGCAACGGCGATGACAGTACTGTCTGCAAAGTCTCGCATGATCACTTCAATCATCCTTCGTTCTGTCGCCGCGTCAACGGCACTGGACATTTCGTCCACGATCAGTAGCTTGGACTTCCGCAACAGTGCTCGTGCGATTGCGAAAAGCTGGAGTTGTCCCTGCGATAAGCGAAGATCCCCCATGTGGGCCTCGAGGCCGCCTCGCTCAGTGATGAGATCTATGCCTACGCTCTGCAGCGCGTGCTCGACTTCAGCAGCGCTACTGATGCCCAAAGGGTCGAGATTGGCCAGAATACTGCCCGGAAAGACGACCGTTTCTTGAGGCAGGGCGGTTAATGCAGCTCTGGTGGCCTGGCGTGGCAGGGATGCCAGATCGAAGCCATCGATTTCAATGCTGCCAGAAGAAGTGTCAAGCAGCCGCAGCAATGTCAATAGCAAAGAACTCTTGCCACTGCCACTGCGTCCGCAAACACCAATTTTCTCTCCTGCAGTAATCGACAACGATATCCCTTGTAGGACTTTGACATCGTCACTGTAAGCTGCAGTGATGCTCTTGATCTCTACTGCGCCAGCGAATGGCCAGTCAGAAGGAGGAGATCGACTTTCGCCCGGTAAGTCCTCCGATGCAGTGCTCGCTTCGAAGTTCTTGCAGCGTGCTATGGCGCCGAGAGAAGTCTCGAGAGCTGTCCAGGCATTGATGACAAACGAGAGGTACCAACTGAAGTTTAAGATGCCAAGCAGCGAGACACCAATGGCCCCAGCGCTCGATGTCTCAGGGATGGTCAATGCTATGGACACCACAACGACTGCCACAGCAGCTGTCACAAGCGCAAGAACAAAGTTGAGCCATCGCTGTATGCACAGCTGCAGAAAGTATGCCTGAAGAGATTTGTCAAGCAGTGTGAGACATTTTTGGTGCATCTCATGCTGCCAGCCAAATGCTCGAATAGTCGTGACTCCAGCCAAGGTCTCGGTAACGTGCGTGAGAAGTGGCGCTTGGGACTCCAGCTCCAGGAATCTCATCTGGCGAGATGTGCGCAGGTAGATCTTCTGAATCACGTAAAGCACCGCCATCACGAAAGGCATCGCCGCTGCGGCGTACGTCGCTCCAGCCACGATCAGGGCAGCACCAGCGATAGCTGCCGCGGCACCATCTGTGAACTGCATAAAGGCGCCCGCCAGCTCGCCTTCGATGATGGACATGTCATTTGAAAAGCGATTCAGCGTCACTCCGGGGTCAGTCTTCACGAAGAAATTGTAAGGAGCGTGCATGACAGCGTCAAGCAACTGTTTGTGTAGTTGAGCAGAACTTTTTGGAACCGCATGAACGAGCATGACCCAGATGTGTGTCCCAGCAGATCCAATGAAGATTAAAGCGAACAGAAAGGCGATTGTGATCCAGACAGCGAGGGGGATTGACCGGTTGCCGGCTGCCTCTGCCTGAGACCAGAAGCGGAACCAAAGGTCGGGCGCCTTCTCTCCGATGGCGAACCCGACGATGGTAATGCCGAGAACGAGGCAAAATTTCAAGCCAATCGACTGGAGATAGTACTTGTAGACCGTGATGTCGCCAGTCTTGCGAGCCAGGTCTTGTTGCAAGATCGTGATTTTATCGACAGCAGCAGGTTCCGTGGCCTGAGCTGCAACGTTCTTCTTCGCCGCCGTGACGTCGGTATCATCTTCTTCCTCCGGATTGTCTGTAAGAGCCAGGCTGTGAATGTAGCCATCGATGACGACCAGGTCTTGAAAAGTGCCCTGCTCCACTACTGTCCCCGCTTTGAGGGCAATGATGTGATCTGCTTCCGGGAGATAGCGTTGAGAGTGAGTCGCAAGAACAACACTGATGGAATGAGCCTTGCAAAGTCCGCGGCCGCCAAAGACTCGGGCGAACACCTGTCGCGAAGTGTTTGTGTCAAGCCCACTAAAGACATCATCCACCACAAGGATTGACTTTCTGGAATAAAGCGCGCGAGCCAATGCGACTCGCTGTCGCTGCCCACCACTCAATGAAACTCCCTTGGCTCCTACCAGAGTGTGCTCGCGTGCCGGTAGAGACCGTATGTCGGATGGCAGCGCACAGGCTTCAATGACTGAGTCGAACCATTGGTCGTCGTGATCTGACTGTCCCAAGATGATGTTACGAATTGAATCGTTTGGCAGCCAAGGCTCCTGAGAGCAATATCCGAATGCCGCATCCGATTCGAACGCACGAGTGCCGGCCGAGAGTCGCAATTCACCAAAAAGCGTTTTGAGTAGGATGGACTTTCCGCTGCCCACAGGACCGACAATCACAGTCAGAGTGCCGGGCATTACAGACATGCTGATAAGTTGCAGGATCGCCTTCCCGTCTATGGCGACGGAGGCATTGATGAGCTGCATCAGCGGCTTCGCTGGTCCAGAGCCTGCTTTCCCTGACAGATGGAACAGCTCGAATGCAGCAGAGTCTTCATCAGAGCCCACATGCTGATCGGCAGTAGCAGGCAAGTCGCCCTTGTCGTTTAAATACAGGAAACTCTGCACACGATCGAGACTAGCCAAGGCGGTCTGCAGCTGTGGCACCGCATGAATCATTTCCTGGATAGGCGCAGTCACCAATGCTACGAGAGCCAGTGCAGTGAACGCTGATGTTGGGTCCAGAGCCTGTCGTCCTTCAATGAGCACGAACATCATTAGTGTGAGCGGAGGAGCAAATCTCTGTGGTACAGCACTATAAATGTTGCGCCATGTCACGTACTTCCGATAACTTGCGTACTCGGCCAATTCATGCACTCGTAATGCTTGAATCTTGTCGATGAAGTAATCCGTCAACCCGAGCATCTTGAAGACTTTGGGAGCACCGAGGACGGAAGATGTATATGCAACCCTCGCAGAGACTGCAGCCAGCCATGCTTTCTGCATTGGAATCGCTGTGTTCGAACTGATGAAGCTGAGAAGGCTGACACCGACGGCCAACGCGACAGGCGCCACGCAAGATACGCCAATTTGCCGCTCGAGGAGGTAGATTGCGACAGCGATTTCGATTGGTGTGGCAAAGAGGTCGTCGATGGTTTGGAGGGAGCCGCAGATTCGATTGATGTCTGCTGTGACGAGCGTCAGTGCCGCATTATCCGAGAGTTGTGCATCGTCGAGGCGCATGGTCTTCCCATAGACTGCACTGACGACGCTTCCACGAATCTTGGTGATCATGCGGTGTAGATGGCGTTGATACAGTGCCGTGGTGACGGCCACTCCGACGTAGATCAATGCAGCAGCAGCAATGAGTCCGTTGGCATCATTTCTGTTGCCATCATTGAGTCCTTCGCGCAGAAGACTCGTGATTCTCGCAATAAGCAGGGGCTGACAGAGCTTGAGTGCGCTGAGACAGAGTCGAGGAACAACGAGCCCTATCAATGTCCATTTGACGGAATGCACCAACGCCCAAACCAAGTCCCACCTGCGTTCTCCTGATCGTCTCAACCAGTGTCGAGCGAACGTGGCTTCAGCGCTGGTCGAGCTCAAACCCTCATCGATATCATACAAGCTGTCAATGGATAGGAAGCTCCGGTACCCAGTCCAAAACATGGGGTTGATCCACCATAGTGAGACCTGACTGTACAGATTGACCAACGCCTCCGGAGCGAGAAACCGATATTGTGGAAAGATTGATCTCTTCTTGTTCCTGGCTTCCAAATATAGGATGAGGACTTTTGCCACGAGACTGATGGAGAATGTGACAGGCACGATCCTCGAACCTGGTCGAAGCCATAGCGTCCTGGCTTGTGGCAGATCAAGGAGCAATGAAACCAGGATCCAGAAGTTGATGATGCTGCTCGGGCGGATCGTCTTCGCATGCTCAAGTGAAGACAGGTACAAGAGTGCGAGGGAAGCAAGAAACGACACGGCTGCAGCGGGAACAGATGCATTCGTTCGTTGTAATGGTTGCAAGCTCCACCCCACCAGGATGGCCAGCTGCGCGCATGCCAGCAACACGATGGCAACCTGTTTGAATAGCAGAGATGTAGTCCGTAGCACCTTGACTCCTTGGCGTTGGAGGGTCGAAGCCCTAAGCGGGACTAGGAAAAGTAAAAAGGTCGCGGGCAGGATGGATAAGATTGATTCCTCGAATAGCAGGGTGAAGTCGAAGTTGGCACGGCATCCCTGTGTGACGACCGGCCCCAGCACATTGTCAGCCTGAAGGGGGCACTGCGCCATTGTTGCATGCCTTTCGTTGCGCTTGATTCACAGGTGAGCGTTGTGTCGTCGTGTTCAGCTCACGACCGAGTGGTGCGGACGTGGAAGAAGACATGTTGACGGGCGGCAGACGCGTGTCGGAAGACATTGTCTCTGTGTTGTTGCTGCAATCCTTCAGCTGGAAGGAGCAAAGAACGGCAGATGAACTCCGAGCTCCGAGGCTGCTCGGGCCGCCCCAAGCGATGCGGAAGGCTATCAGCGGTCGCCGGGGCCGGGGCTCCTCTTTCCTTCTCATCAAGCTGCTCCAGCGATAAGGTGACGGAGGGACAATTAAAAATGCTCTTGCTCGTTTTGTGATGCTTGGAGTAGCTTGGCTGGCACCACGCCCATAGCCTCGCGTGCCCTGGCCGCCGCTAAGCCCTCTGCACGGCCAGGGCAGAAAGCGCGTCGGCGAGTGACGAGGAGTGGCAATGGCGACATGTAGGTGCTAACTAGTCTCGCCCGTCAAAAGAAATGTGTCAATGGTGATCTCCCGGCCCACGCTGATGAGCTGATCGCGGTGCGATATAACACAGCAGCAGCGCTAGACTAGCAGTCGCCAAATTCTCCGCCGGACTGCAGTAGTTAGTCTTATATACTGGGCACCTCCTCCTTCGCACCACCCGGCCGCCTTCCTGGCAGACACCTGCTCGCCATGAAGCTCACCGGTCTGTTGTTGTCGCCCTTCCTGCTCTCGCAGCTGTGTTCTGCCATTCCGACTGCGCAGAGCGAGCCGTGCGATGATGCGGACGGCAACAAGCTGGGCGCCGTCGCCAGCGAGTCCAAGGAATGCTCGGAGGTCGGAGCTCAGATCCTGAAGAAGGGCGGCAATGCTGCAGATTCCATGGCAAGTGCTGATGAGCTTGTGCTGGCTCGATGCGCCGAAGCTGATTGCCACTGCAGGTCGCTACGGTGCTATGTGTGGGGGTGATCGGGATGTACCACAGGTGAGGAAGGAGTGCACGAAGTTCACCATCAACCAGAACGGCGTGCTAATCAATTCAGTGGCATTGGAGGTGGAGGCTTCATGCTCGTCCGCTCGAAAAATGGCAGCTACGAGTTCATCGACTTCCGAGAGACCGCTCCCGCTGCCGCCTTTCAGGACATGTACAACAACAACAACACCGACGCCAGCTTGTACGGCGGCCTGGCGAGTGGAGTGCCGGGAGAGTTGCGTGGCTTGCAGCACCTGCATGAGAACTATGGCAAGCTGCCGTGGAAAGACTTGGTCCTGCCAAGCGTCAAGATTGCCAGAGATGGCTTCGTCGTCGGCAAAGACCTCGTTAAGTACATGGACTCCGCTGTCGCCTCTGCCGAAGATGTTGTTGGCAACTTTTTGGTAGACGATCCCAACTGGGCGATCGACTTCGCGCCCAACGGCACGCGTCTTGGGCTGGGCGACACCATCACTCGCAAGAGATATGCAGCCACGCTTGAGACCATCGCTGAGCATGGCCCCGATGCCTTTTACTCTGGTCCCATCGCACAGACGTGGATTAATCATACCCGAGCGACTGGTGGCAACATGACTCTGGAGGACCTGAAGAACTACACAGTCGCCATTCGCAAGCCAGCCTCCATTGCCTACAGAGACTTCAACATCCACAGTTGCAGCGCTCCGTCGTCTGGCACCATCGCCATGTCCATCATGAAGATCATCGAGGGCTACAAAAACATTGGCTGGGCGTCAGCTGTCAACGAAAGTACCCACATCTTCAATGAAGCTCTCCGTTTCGGATACGGCCAACGCGCCAATCTGGGCGACCCTCTTTTCGTCGAAGGCCTTGACCAGTATCAAGAAGAAATTCTCAGCGAGGCGGTCGTTTCCGAAGTGCAAGCCAAGATCAGCCCTCTTCAGACGTTCAACACATCATATTACGATCCTTCCGGACTGGAGTCACTTGAGACGCCCGGTACCTCCGCCGTGACGACTGCTGATGCCGACGGATTGGCCATTGCCCTGACTTCGACTATCAATCTCCTTTTCGGCTCAAAGGTCTTGATCCCCGAAACCGGCATCATCGCCAACAACGAAATGAACGATTTCTCCGTCCCCGGTCAAAGCAATGCTTTCGGCTTCATCGCCAGCCCTGCCAACTACGTTGCACCTGGGAAGCGCCCTCTGTCCAGCATCACGCCCACCATTGTCGAGCACTCCAACGGTACCCTCTACTTCGTCACAGCAGCGGCTGGAGGCTCGAGAATTCTCACCGCAACTGTGCAGAATTTGTGGAATGTACTTGACAAGAATGCGACATCTGCGGAGTCTCTGGCCGCTCCTCGCCTGCATGACCAACTTGTGCCCAATCAAGTGTCATTTGAATATGCGTACGACAATCAGACTGTGGCGTACTTGGCTTCTCTCGGAAGTAATGTTACTTGGGTGGCTCCGGGAGGGAGCTCAGCCCAATGTCTGCGCCGTCTTAGCAACGGCACGTTCGAAGCTGCGGGCGAGCCGAGACAGTTTGATAGTGGCGGTGTTGTGGTATAAGGCTTCTTCCTACGCTTGCGTACCAGGTGGGCTGGAGGGACACTGCCATTGCTATAATCGATCAAGGAAATCGTTGGAAAAAGAGAAAGAATTGGGTATTTGTATATATCACATTCGCAATTCATATCCTCAATATTACCCAACAGGTGACCCAACATCCTGTCCCCAGGGCTCTTTTTCCAGTATCTCTTTACCTAACATTTCTCCTTTCACTAGCCGCAATTTTGGAATTCCGCTCGGTTGTTGCTGCGACTGCGAGACGTGGCCCATTGATGTCTCATCGAGAATGGACTTCAATGTCGGTCGTGTCATTTCTGCTCTTTGCTCGATGGCCATGCCGCTGAATGGACATCTCATTTCTTTGATGTCAACCTCGTCGATTGATCGTCCTAGACTTGTTTTTCCACTTCCGTTTGTACTTGTTGTGTGTGTTGATGCTGAGTCTTCTTTGACTGCGGCAAGGGGAGTGCCAATATTTGCAGGAGAAGAGAAAGACTTCTGGCCATCGTCGTCGTTTCCTAGGACCTTGTTCCCATGAAGACATCCTTCTTGTTCCTCGTTGCCGCTCAAGTCACTTTGCTGCTTTTGTTGTTGTTGTTGCTCCTGCTGTTCCTCCTGGTACAACTGTTCTGCGTACTCTGCTCCTTCTACTGTGTGCCATTTCGCCAACAAGTCATTTTGAATCCAGATGATCTTCCCCACGGCTTTGACGATGGCGATCTTGCGGCGCATGCTGAGAGTCGGGTGGTAGAGAATTGCTTCCACCATGCTGTCTTGGATGTAGCCTAGACAGGCTCCGAGAAAGATGTAGTCGACGTGTAGTGGGTTGCGGCGGCCGCGGCCGACGTGCATGAGGCTGGTTAGGTTTAAAGTCAGCTTTGTGGACTTCCAGTGGATTGTACATATAGTGTGTTGTGGCGTTGAGCTTGACTCACCCGACTTTGTCCAAATATTCCCAGTACTCAAACTTCGTGGGGTCACTATTCAGCTTGATCAAGTACCATCGAAGAAACATCTTTCGGTTCTGGATTGTGCTGCTATCCTCTGTCATCCAGACTGCTGGGTCTTCTTCGATGCGACTGTCTCGGTTTGAGAAGACTCTTGCTGTGATGTCGTGTTGGAGAAGTTTCTTGTACACCATGTTGACGATCGCGGGAATGACCATTTTGATGTATTTTTGGCCATCGACGAGCGCTTCGACATCATCTGCTCTCTTGTCAGCACAAATCATAGGAGCAGGAATGATTCGTTGGTCGCGCGAACCTGATCCAAATTCCAAAAATTGGTGCAAATACTGTATCCTGGTTGGCAGAGATGTGAGCAATTCACGGCGGTCGACATGCTGCATTCCTTTCGGTAGTTCGACCATGTTTGCGATTGTGCGTAGCAGTGATGATATTGGTGGCTGTCATTTTCGCAGATGATGAGGCTGTCCTGCACTCTTAAGGCTTGACAGATGTGAGCAAGTGATTATGCAGAAACGTGGGCTTGCGCGAAAAGATGTATCAGAGGACGTCTGATGTGGCGTGATGTTGTATGGGTCCGTGGTGTGATACGAACTTGCTGCCGGCTGAAATACCCGACCTGCAGACGCCTCCGGTTTGTCACGCTTGTGTCTGGAAATGTCCTCGTGCAGTAGGGAATTCAAGAATTGGTGCAGTGTCGTGAGTCGCCACAAAGTCCGTCTTCACGAGGTCAATCTAGTGTTGGTGTCTTGCCATTGTCGTTGTGCGTTGTTTGGCTAGACCGAGATGTTCTCAAGCGTTTCCACCTTCGTTACGAATTGTGGAGACATCCATCTCTATCAAACTGCGATAGTGTCGGTGCCTGTCGGAAGCACATGGCTTGATACAAATTTCCAGCTCATGGAAGAGTTCTTCAGGCTGATTTCGAAGTCGTTGTTTCGCGAACGCCACTGCTCAAGCTTTCCAGTCTCGAATCACATCTATCATATAAAGGGCGTCCTTCCACGACAGTTTTCCCGCATCCAATTGGTCATGCCAGCGATCTCTCGCCGCTCGCCACTGGTCACTGTTCTCACATAGTTTCCACCTTTCCGAGACATGCTGCAGACAGACTGGACAGTCATGCAGTACCACTCGCCAGTCATGCTCTCGAAAAGCTTTCACGAGCCTCAGATGTCGGGTCTTGGCGAAATCCAGCATGACCAGATACTCGCCGGACATGGTGCATCGGCCTTTGCGATGTAGAATCCAGGCAGCGTCTTTCATGGCCTCGGTGGGGTCTTGTCCGTAACGTGTTCCTGGCAGATAAGTATAAGAAATGAAGGCCAGCTTGAGGCAAGATAGCGCTTCTCGTGGTCGTGATTGTAGCCAGTGCTCAAGGTATCTGGGCTTCAGCCGCTTCATTTCGATCCAGTGGTGGTCGTGATAATTTTGACGGCGGTGAAAGGCGAAGATGGTATTGCTGTAAAAGTGTCGAACTGCTTCTCGACGTAGGCCACGACACATTTGTGTCATTTGCACCGTTTTGCCCCAATCTTCGGTGCTATATCTTGTTGGTTTGAGGTAGCCTCCACGGGTGAGCTGATTGCCACTGATAGATCCTGTGACTGTTAGTGTTCCGTCGATGGCTTCGCAGCGAAGATGCCAATTGCTATCTAGGGGTTGAATGATCGTGCTCGGTGGTGCGAGAAAGTCGTAAATGTCGTTGCGCAGCTCTCCAGGTAGTCGCATGAACATATTATTGTTTGCATTGTGGCGCTCTCTTCGTTCACGAGATCGAGTGGCTAGTGGAAAGGAAGGTAGGCGGCGCCAGAAACCGAATACATATCGAGCTGCCAGTCTCGCTTCTCGTACAGCGGATCGTGCGGCGTCATATAGCATAACCAGCGGCAAGAGGAGCAGGCCACAAAGGGCGGCCGGTATTCCTCCTGGCGCTCGCTTCCTGCAGTTGTGTTGAGCAATGACCCTTTCATTCTCTCCATCGATGGACTTGCATGTTGTTATCTGAGTCAGTGATGCGTTGATGCCGTCGGATCTGATGGCGTCGAGCTGCTTTGCACACGTTGATCTCGTGTCACGAATTGCTGCTGTCGAGGATGGGAGGCGATGCTGCTAGAAAGACTTCGCATACGCTCACACAGAGCAGACCAGCGTCTGCGTGATCCCTACACGAAGTGATGAACGAGTATCAATCATCCATTTCCCTTGTATGAGGTAGGAGATACAGAGCTGCCTGCATTTGAGGCTCACGCCGCCGTTCAGGCAGCGAATCCTCTATCTTGGTAAATGCAGTGGAGTGGCTGTGCCGCAACCTCCACGATTCGACGGATTTCGGCATGTCCAAATATGGCAGATGTGCTCCGCTACATTTCCGCAACTTCCCCATTGTCTACCTTTGTCATAGCATTGCGACAAGGGTTGTCACCAATTGTGCGACTGCGGCTCGTCAATGTACGCCCCAAGCAAAAAGAGATCACGAACCTGCCAAAGTGGCCTGTGTGAAAACGAGACTTGGAATATCTACAGGCGGTCAAAAGAATATTCGAGTAAAACCAGACAATGCAATGCCATGCTCCATGCTACCCCTACCATCTCCCTCCATGCAGCTGCTGTCGTCAATATGTACAGCTCGACCAGTCTTTCTCAGGTCTAGCAATGCAATGCCTGTGTTGAGACAAGGCCTGTTACAGAATATTGAAATTGATGCCATGCTCATGCTCGTCGATGCCTCTGAATTCCTACTCTTATGCCCCACGCTCGAACGCTTGTCACTGAAAGCACAAAGAAATATCGCGCCGATCGCCTCAATACAACGAGCATCCCGCAGGTGCGTTGGCTCGTTTGAATGCATCTCCAAAGAAAGACTGCATTGCAGTATAATGGAAGAGAATGCCGCCTAGGACGGCGAAATGCCAGAGGTTGTGGCTACCGCCGAGGTAGTCGAACCATCCTGGCAAGAAGCGCTCCGGGATCTTGGCTGCGTACAGTATGGCACCAAGAAAGTAGACCGAGATGCTCTTCATGATGGGCGCATAGAAGTAAATGGTCTCGAACCATCCACGCTCGTATGTCAATTGTGCCATCGGCAGGAACCCAGTCAACGCCAAGGATACGTAGAAGCCAACCCGTGCCCACGCCATGTCCGCGCGGTTGAAGGTAGGATGCCAAGGTAGAATGATACCTCCGATGCCCAAGGCGAACGTAAGTGACATGTAGATCCAGCGACTGACTGGCTCGCAGTAGAAAGCCGTATATTCTGTCGTCATGATACTAGCCGCGACAAGTAAGGAAATGCCAGTGTAGTCCACGCACGCGAAGCGTTCCATCAGTGTCTGATTCGAAATGGAGGACATGGCGTGCCACATCGTGCTGCAGACCAAACACTTGCAAGCGGCGAAGAAGAAGGCTCCAGCGATGACGATATCGAATGCGGTAGCATTGGTGAAGGCAGGAGTGGAAGGGTAGATCCAGAACGCCAGTGCGAGGACGATGACAAGACCTATGGCATGGCTCCAGATGTTGACGAACTCGTTGGATAGTGTGAAGCAGGATGTCACACAATGGAGCTTGTTCTCTGAGAAACGGTAGCCGGACAGGATGTAAGGATTCACGCGCCATGGCTCCGGTAGCATGTCGTAGGTAATAACACCGTGCTTCCGGGCTTGTTCCAATGCGACTTCGATCCTGATCTTCATGCGTTCCTTCGCTCGGCGGGCAGCATCAGCACCTTCAAGCATGAGATTACTAGCCTTGGTGGCCTTGTCGTCCATGTACGCCAGACCAGAATCAAGCATGTCGTGCGCCGTGGCAATGGCACCCTTCTCCCGGATGTGGTAGGCCCGTTGTTCTAACGCAGCCAGGTTCTCCTCCAACATCTTGACGCCCTCCTGTACTTTGGCTTCCAGAGTTTCACGCTTCGCCAGAGCATCTTTGTATTGCGCCTCCAATGCATCCACGAAAGCCTTGTGCCGTCTTCGCCCCGACTCCCGCACGTCTTCGAACTCCTTCATGCATCGTGTGTGGATCGAGGTGAGCGTGTCGAATACTGTATTAACGCCAGCGTCAAAGGTATGCTGGCCATAACTCTCCACCATGGCCAGCCTGCGGCCCAGATCGCTCAAGAATTCGTCCACCGCAATCTGCACATTGTCCCGCTCGGCACTCCATGATCGGGGGTTGTAACTCGAATGTCGTCTTCGTTGCCTCGCGCGCGCAATGTCCGCGTCAAGGTGTGTGCCTGAAGAGGCGCCAAGCGTGGGCTCCTCATGCCATTCGCTGGTGGAATTGGTGACAAAGGTGCTGCTTCTCGCAGTGCAATACGTCGTCTGTGTCATGCTCGGGCGGCCTGGTCTGTACGTCGGTCGCTGTGCAACAATAATGCCGTGCTATGGTGTCCCAGACAGCGAGTCCTCGGCTGTGGTGATGGTGGTATACGTCAAGCGTGGGCTTAGGGGCGGGTGATTTGCTTTTATCGCTAGCGCTGGGTGGTGAAATGAGGCCTTCGCTTGCCCGCCAGTCGTCGAGTCTGTTTATAGGGAAGAGGAGAGGACGAGGGAAATGGGTAACTGGTAAGGACTGTGGGGTGTGTTGAGCGTGCAACGTCGGGGTGGGCAGCTCACGCAGCAGGCACACTCATCATGCTCCTCGTTTGGGCATGTGAAATCCAAGAACGTGGAGCTGACGGCGAAGTGTGAGTGGTGCCGCTTCGTTGTCGCCGAGAGAACTTCGCCTCTTCGCCACGAAAAGTGGAGATTTGACGACCGTCACGTGGTGGGGTCTCGTTCAGTCACGCAATTTCTTTGATCCGATCCAATTTCAACAACTGCATGTTCTCCTGCTGTGTCGTTGCCTCTGGTTGCAATTGTTCATCCTGCAGCGTGGTGCGGCATCCATTCCACTGTGCGGCATCCATTCCACTCACCGAAGGATCCAGCAGCATGTTTAAGCTAGATCTGCTGTGTGCAACGAGCCTGATTGGAATCTCAATGACAACGAAGCAGAACTGGACAAGCAAGACCTGTATCATTCATGAGTTATATTCCGTTTCTATCTGACTCTGTATCGCCCATTGCTCGACAGGAAGATGGTTGTCAGTTCTCTAGTGGTCATTCCATATCGCTTTTACATGAAGACACTCGAACGGCTGCTTTAACAACGTCTGACAAGGGGCCTGTACCATGCCACAAGCTGAGGCCTATAACTGCACCTTCTGAGACCCCATCGATCTCAAGGATCAATTTCTGGATAACAATAAGTTTCGCGTTGACCGACAGGCGGTAGCCACTGGCTCTCGATGTGGCTCATCGACTGTGCCGCCCCAGCAACATCCTCTGACACTCTCCAAATGATGGCAGGCTTGCGGACGTTGCCATCTGGGTCAGCATGAGTTATTGTTGCTGACAGCAAGACTTTGTGCCCCAGCTGATTAGCACCCCGATGTTGTGCTAGGAATTCCGCTATCATGCGATTGGCGCGTGTTCCCAACAAGGCGTAGAAACACCTGCGTTCGTGTTAAGTCAAAGTCGCAGCTCAAAGTTATGCGCACGATCACGCCATTCAGAACTTACCAGTGCCCGACTGCGAAAGTTGTGTTGTCCAACACATCTAAGTCCTTCGACAACCGAGATCCCAAGCATCTCACAATGAGATTTAGCGTATCTGGGTCTTGAATGTTTGTCACAACAATGTAGTTCAAGAAGGCGCCCATGCCTTCCCCCTGAGCCCCTGTGGCCTGTGATTCCCTCAGCAGATTCTCGACAGTCAAGTGTGGTGGTACATTCTGGAATGGATTTCTAGTCGCGCTCGTCCTGAACGGGAGACGTGCCAGTCGTTGTCCAACAGGCCGACGCCTCTCGGGTCTCATGATCACCCAGAGATACCATGTGAGGTCGGACCAGGTGTACAACGAAGGCCGCGATTTCAACTGAATGCTTTGTCTGGGATGCTGCACCATCCATCCGTGGTATAGATCTTCATACTGCTCGGCAAGTATGACTCCATCAACGATGTTAAGAGTGGTCTCGTAATATGTTCCAAGCGCCTGATGGTGTGTTAGTGTATGGGTGATCTCGTTTGAGTATCTGGGAGACTACACACCGGAAGACGGTTGCTAGAGTGACGATTTGCAGGGTTGTACGGTTTGTTCTGCTCCATCTTCAGACGGATGTTTGCGCCTGTGGTCTGCTCTTCACGACCGTCGTACGGTTCGGTATTGACATACCTACGCCTTTCCCATGGTGCACTACTACCAGACTTGCCGCCAACTTGATATTGCTGCAGAACACTACGGAGGCCGTAGAGATTGTTCTTGTCCAATGTTCCTGTGGTATCCAGGATGGTAAATGCCTCATCGACAAATTCGTAAGGAAGCGCAGCGCCCCTGGCCCAGTTGTTCTTACGTGGGTCCGGCCCGAGAGCATTGTCTTGCGACATTAGCGTGCCTGCTGACCATGCAGTGGCCGCCATCAGCCAGGCATTGTAGACCTCTCGGCCTGGTACTTCATATTTGCGAACCAATTCGTCGGGAACAGTCTTCTCAACAGCGGGCTTCTTGCCGGGCGCACCAGGAGGTCTTCCCTCTCCAGGCCTCTTCGGGGGCCTCGGTGGCCCTCCACCGGGAAAGCCCTGCCCACCAGTTGGTGGATCGTACGCAGGCTGCTTGCCTTTACCGGTGTAGGATTGCCCTCCACCTGGACCGCTTTGTTCACCAGAATATGGCGGGTATGGTGTACTGCTTTGGTCGTAATAGCCACTTCCGGCACCACCGCTTGACCGATGCTGCACAATTGCTTTAGCATGGCTTGGAGTCGGGAAGCCATGAAGCACAAGCGACAACAAAGTAGATGGCAGGAGTAGTCGAATCATGATTGATCGGTCTTGAATGTTGTCCAGCCAGTGAGAGATGGAGATCCTTGAGTCTTGATTGATTCGGATTTCTCGAGAGACACGACAGCTTGGTAGTGGAGGAGGGATCTGCAGGTCAATGTGGGAGCAGTACGCCCTTTTTGTGCTCTGCGTCCATGAGGAGTTTGTTTGCTTTCAAGGTCAGCGAGTACTGGCTTCGGGTGACTTGTGACCCATCGGAGAGACATGATCAGGTCTCATAGCACAGAGATCATGAGTGCCCTTCTATTGTTTGCGTCACAAGCAGCGATAGATCCCGAGGACAGAAACACATGGGTCTCTATAGGAGGACCAAATGATGATGTAAATTTGTCGGATTCGGTGAAAATCCACCCAAGGGCGGAGAGAAGGGGAGGAAAACATTTCGAGTCCTAGCGAGACTGACTCGATCACCTGCAAAGGGAGTATGCTCTTTGTGAGATCTTCGGGACGCGGCCACGCCGTTTGTACTGCAACCAGCTGGTTATCAATTAGATGTATGAGAATGTGCGTGACGTAGAAATCCACTGGCAAGCTTGTTGACACGCATGTGGTCTTGAAAAGATGGACATAGATAAGGGCAGTCGATAGTATGATTGTTTCGAGATTGTAGGCGTTCGATCATCTGTAGGAGTATTCTGAAAGCTAATGTTCACTCGTGCTCGATTAGGAGAATCTGCCAGAAGTGCTGTAAATTGACAAGTGGAGTATTGTATTCGTGTAAGTTTTCCATATACTGTGCGGAGACGACAGTTGCAAAAGGTGTAAGTGTCTCTTGCGATACGCGTTCGGAAAACCTCACACGTTGAGACAGTGTGAGGCTCACTGGCAAGGCGCTTGCGAGGGGCAGGCTCTGCCTTTTAAGATGGAGGTCCACTGCGTCCTGATCGCTTGTTGCCTTTGTTGAATTTGCTTCGTCTGAAGACGCCATGTCAAATGGCTAGGAGCTCGTGGTCAAGTGCAGCTGTCAGTGCAGTGGCGCCTGGGCGGAGGACGTCACATCTGTCGTCCCCAAATTGATCTGGCCGGCTCTTGCTGACTGAACAGTACCAAGCAAGTCTTTCAGCGGTGCTTGTGAAGTCGCTCGACTTGGAGCTGTGTATTTTGGTGCTGCGCCGTTGCTGGGTTGTCTTCAAGCAACACATCGAGGGGCTTTGCGACAAGCCCCAGGCTTGTGTTGTTGTGGCAGCGAATGCCTTTCATGTCCCAAGTGGCTGCCACACAACTGTGCCGGCAGCACTGAGCGTTACAGAGGCCAATGCTTGCCAACAGTTATGCTCTTGCACATTGATTGCAAGATGGCTGCTGTCACGAATCTCGCTTGCAATTTTCAGATTGCCACACTTGTTTCCAAGCAGTGAGCGCATCTTCGCAGTGATCGGGTGACAGTGATCCAGCTCTCAGGAAATTCCTTCTTGCACGAGTTGTGACAGCGCCTGTGTCGCGAGCGTTGTCTTCATGTTCGAAGCATCCAGGGTCATGACATACAACCCACCAGCTGCTGCGCCCAGAATTTCTTCCTCGGTAGATTTCAGCACACGATTGCTGTCAGGCCCAGCGCGGATGTACATGGGCTTCAGCATTGACTGCTTTAGCAGCATGCCAGTGGCAGCCAATGCTTGATCCTCGAAGAAGCTGCTTTTGATGCTTTCGCGGCCAAGTTTGCCGCCAGAACATCGATGGCAGTTGGACATGTTAACGACCAGAGCCTGTACGTTGTTCGCTCCTGTCCCGGCGTGCAGACTTTCGATCGTCTCGGTGGCGGATTCTGGGTCGCAAAGGACGAGGATGCGCAAGCAGCTGCAGCATACTGCAGCCAGCACGATGTCTTCGGAGACGAGTGTACTCAGCATTTTCGTGGGGCCGGCTTTGACTGAGAGCTTCTGGATGGTATCCTCAATCCACGATTCGATGGCAGAATAGGTCCATCCTTGGTCCATGCTCGCTGTGACTTGGGGTAGTTCTCGCAACAGAGAGAAAGGGATCGCCGCGCTGGGTGCTTGGACGCTCATCATGTTGTTGGTGGGAGATGTTGTCGTGGAAGGGCACGCTCTCAGCGAGGAAAGTGCAGGCTTTGCAAAATTGAATCTCGCGGTGGACGCATTGGTCGCCAGCCCTACGTCAAGGCCGACTTCTTATGATTCCCCCGCGAACGAACCGAGTTGTCGGAAATGACGCGTAAAATGATGCATAGCGCATACCGACATGTCTGATGTCTCGCAGAGATTTTCGCAGCAGCGCGGGCGGCGATTCCGGAACGCATTGCCCAGGAGGAGAACGTGTGCTTCAGACAGAGTGCTATCGTCACAGTCACGCGAGGACCAGTTAGACATGGATGGCGGTGCGGAGTTTTGCTCCGCGGGGAAGAGCAGCTGCCACGGCATGGTGTAGGCGAGGCGGGCGTGCGTGCGACCGGGATGCGCACTTCATCTCGTCTCGCGCGTGGAAAAGCCGAACCGCATCTGCTCGATCGGGCGGCGCATCGACATCCTCACTATCGCGCACCTCCGCCTCTTCATCGCCCTCTCCGTGAGACACTTCATCAGTCGCGGGCAGCTGCTGGTCCATTTCGCGCAGCTTTGAAGATGACCAAGACCATCCAAGCGCCCGAGAGAAAGTCCATCGAGTTCAAAGATTGGTCTGCTCGTTGCTGTATCCATCCATACGCATCATGCAGAGATTGTGCCTCGTGAGAAGCAAATGGTGGGCGTGCCTGTCTCTCCTCTACCACAGAGCTGCAATTGGACGCTAGCGCTTCTCACAACTGCCAACCACTCAACATAACGAAGTCCCAGAAGCCCTCATGATGAAAACACTCACCACATCCTCTACTGACAACCAAGACTGACATCAGCCGCCGCCATGAAGCTACACACCACATTCTTCGCAGCCATCTCCCTCCTCTCCACCACCGCAATCTCCCAGTCCTCCCAAGTAGACAAAGTCTACAATGACGTATCAACCATCAACCGCAACGTCCTAGAACTCACCGAAACCACCCAGAACTACAATGGTGGACTCATCAACCAACTGCCCTTCATCATCGACTTCAATCCCATCTACCTCGCCACTCGAAAAGGCTTCTACGATTCCCTGCTCTTGCCCAATCCACTGACACAAGCTGACGCGCAGCGTCTCATCGAACATGTCAATGTCACGCTTGCTGTCAACAATCCCAGGGCGGTGGAGGTCGTGAAGAGCAAGAAGGTATTCTTTGATGAGGCGGGTACGTCACAGGTGGTGAAGGGTGGATTGGAGCTGTTGTTGTTTGCGCATTGGAGTTTCAGTAATGAGGTTGCTAAGCGGGTTGTGGATGAGGAGCAGAGAAGGGAAGGGCAGGCGGTCATCGATGTTATTACTGTAGCCCTAGAGGATGGAATTGCGTTCTTCTCGTCATGAAGTGCGCTTCATACAGCAATGGGAACTGTTGTGGACCAGCAGGCACTGTGGCATGAAGCATTTATGCCGGTCTCGTAGTCTCGAATTTGCATGATAGCTGCACTTGCTAAATTTGAAATCAATGCTATTGCATACAGCCCGGTCACCCGAGCACCATTCCTTTTCCTGGTTCTCTCTAACTCTTTCGATGCGATCTAGACTTTAGCCTCACTCAACCCCACCTCCACCTATGACGAAGGTGTCCCAAGCTATGCACGCGTCGACTTGAACAGCTTCTCAGATCAAAGTGATATTTGGTTTCCAGATACTCCATTAAGGTCCTCGTCCTAAACGCCCTCCAACATATCCTATCAATTCGAACAAAAAATGTCCCAATACACAATCCCCAGCAAAGGCATCGTCGCCTACGATCAACACACATGGAAACTCGAAAAACTCCTCACTCGAGAGCCACAAGAAGATGAATTCCTGATCGAAATGATCGCGACAGGCGTCTGCCACACAGATATCTCAGGTTATGGCGGGATATATCCTCGTGTACTGGGCCACGAAGGTGCAGGACGAGTGGTGAAACTGGGATCAAAATCTCAAGAGAAGAACTTCAAGGTCGGAGATCTAGTCATCTTGTCTGCTGCTGCGTGCTTGGAATGCTTGTATTGTACGACAGGACATCCGGCTTATTGTGTCGAGCATGCGAAGTTGACGTTGCAGGCTAATGAGCCGATCTTTGTGCTGGAAAGCGACACGAGTAAGGTTATTGGTGGTGGATATTTTGGACAGTCGAGTTTTGCTTCTCCGACGCCGGTGAAGGTCTCGGCAGCTGCGAATGTGACCAAGTTGATGAGGGATGCCGACGAATTGAAGTTGTATGCGCCATTGGGGTGCGGGATTATGACTGGAGCAGGAGCGATTACGCATGTGGGAAAGTGTGGCCCGGACGATGTGGTAGCGGTCATTGGACTCGGTGGTGTCGGCCTGGCGGGTATCTGTGCAGCAGTAGAGAGAAAGGTTGGGACAATTATTGCAGTTGATATCAACCCTGGAAGAGTGGAACTCGCGAGTGAGCTTGGAGCTACGAAGGGACTATTGTCGACGAAAGAAGCGTTGGGCGAGAAGAGCCTAGCGGACGCGATAAAAGAGATGAGCCCGCAAGGCCTTGGAGCAACAGCGTTCCTGGATACGACGCCGAGTGTAGCTATCCTGAACGAATGTCTCGGGGCAATCAGGAAGAACGGCACGGTCTTGCAGGTCGGTGTGAAGCCGGTAGATGCAAAGCTCGAAGTGGACTGTTTGCAACACATGGTCAATGGGAGAAGGCTGGTCGGCGTTATTGAAGGCGACAGGGACCCGGCGGAGGCGCTGCCAGAACTGGTGCAATGGAGTAAAGATGGCATTCTGCCAGTAGGAAAGATGTTCAAAGAATTCCCTCTAGAGCAATTTGAGGAGGCAAAGAAGAAGATGGAAGAGGGTAGTGTGATCAAGGGTGTCTTGATCTGGTAGGCCTTGCTGCATATCCATAAGCGATATTTTCACCATTCGATGGGTACACCATCAACATTCGCATCACTGTGCTGTCGTCTCATCTCGAATAGCCTCTCTGAGTCGCGACACTGCCGTATGTCGAGGCTTCCTTCGATGACTGCAGGATCGTCTGCGCTTGGCGAGAAGGTCCCGTTGAAGAAATGTCCGCGTTCTATAGTGTCGTCTGCGTGGCACAAAATCATCTGCCTGAGATAGTGAAAGCAGTGCGGCCAATGTGGGTCAGCCCGCGGGTCGAGGCCGATATCGTGTCCATTCTTGGTGATGGCATCGTTGCGCGCAGTCTGCAGAGCCTTCCGAATACCTCCCAAACAGTGCAAGGCGTGTAGCATCGCAATGGCACCAAATTCACCATTTACGCTTTTACCTCCGGAGTCGTAAGGCGGCAAATTGATGATGCCGTTGTCGGCGACGAGTTCGTGGTTCCATAACTCATCATACTTGTTTTCCAGCGACATGTAGCGCCAGTCGGCGCCGTAGCTTCTATGCGTGGTGTAATTCTGGACAGCGACAGAGGTGATCGTCGTGGTCGCTGTTGTCATGCGTTGGATGGCGAGGAGCTGAATCAAAGTAAGGACCACTAAGCCGGCGGTCATGATCTGATTGATGTGTGTTCTGAAGTATGAAATTGTACGTCGAGCCAGATCTTGCTTCTCATCGACGTAGTCTGGCTTCCATGGCGAGGCCGGGTCGTGGGGCGTGTGTGGCTGCTCGGGATCATGGTTGTGAGAAATTTGTTGATATGATCCCATCGTATCGATGTTCATCTTCAACGCACTGAGGTGCATGTGCAGACTCGGTAGCGGACGTCAGCTTAGGCTGTAGATAATCAAAAGAAGGAGCTTTGCCACATGGTCGTTCTTTCGGCTGCGATCTATTGATCGCTCGATCCGGAAAGCACTTCAGCAGAAACAATGCATTGTTCCACTCGACGCTTCGTCTTTGTCCGACAAGGCGCAGGTAAGACTTGCAAATTGACAGGCCTGACCTCGGCTTCAGCTCTGCGAGGAAAAAAATCGACGAGCGCAAAGACAGGCTCAATGTCTAGGAGGACATTCGGCCAAGTCATTTCCCTGTTCGTACACGTTGTCTGTACAATGGTATCGCTGGTATCCTGCATCGTACATATTTCACTTCTTTTGGAATCCCTCTATTGCGCCGGCGCTATGCTTTCAATATCATCTGCTCTTCCTCTACCCTCTCCGCTCGACTCTGTTCAGCTTGCGTGCCGTCATGATCTAGGCTCACGTCAGTATACTCATCTCCAGCTCAGCGATCCACGCCCGAATATTGTCACCCACCTGACTCCTCGTCCTCTGCCCTCTCACAGGCAAGCTCATTGCATGTCTTCGCCCACGGTACGCGCCCATATCTCGTAATCGTTTGATGTTGTCCTGCAACTGCCGCCGCAAGTCATTCTCCAGCGTCATCGTACTCAGCTCGGCGGCCAGTGAATTTATTTGTCGGTCTTTGAGGTTTCCGATGCGCGCCGTGTTGTGGATGTGGAATTTGGCCATCAGTTGCTGGCAGACCTTGGGCCCAATGCCGTAGAACTTTTGCAGGGAGGTGCGCACGAGGTACGACTCGGCGAAGTTGGTGCCGAAGATGAAGACCTGGACGGTGTTAGTGCGCGATCACATGGAACAGAGTCCGATGTACTCACCATGGCGGCGGCGGTGAATACAGCGAGCGCGGAGATGCAGATGATAGAGTCGCCGTGCTTGTGAAGCTGCGGAAGTGCAGGTGTCGGAGCGGAAGTGAGTCCGGCGACAGCAATGCCGAGCCAGGGACCGACAACCACAGCTGGCAGTTGGAGCTGTCCCTCCATCCCTCCAACTCTGTCTGTCTCCCTTGCCCACCACACGCATTGGGGCACACAACCACCATGGCTTCCCTGCAACGTCTCCTCGTGTCCTTTATGGTCATTCTGACCTTCGCGTTCGTCTTTTTCGCCCAGTCCGTCGATGCGCAAAAAGGCCCCAAGATCACCCACAAGGTCTACTTCGAAATCACACATGGCGACGAGGAATTGGGCCGCATCGTGATCGGTCTATATGGCAAGACTGTTCCAAAGGTACGGTGGAACTCGGGGATCAAGAGCAATGGTGTACACAACATAGGCAGCATGACTGACGATGGACATGGTGATAGACCGCTGAGAACTTCCGCGCTCTCGCTACTGGCGAGAAGGGCTTTGGCTACGAGGGCTCCACCTTCCACCGCGTGATCAAGGACTTCATGATCCAGGGTGGTGACTTCACCAACGGTGACGGCACTGGTGGCAAGTCCATCTACGGCAATAAGTTCGATGATGAGAACTTCAAGTTGAAGCACTCCAAGAAGGGTCTTCTGAGTACGTGCAAGATGTCATTATGCTGCGAACGGAGAGCTGACCGATAACACCCCAGGCATGGCCAACTCTGGCAAGAACACCAATGGCTCACAGTTCTTCATCACCACCGTCCTCACATCTTGGCTCGACGGCCGCCACGTCGTTTTCGGCGAAGTCCTTGAGGGCATGGACATCGTCCACAAGATCGAGAACGCACCCAAAGACGGCCGCGATAGACCTTCCAAGGAAGTCAAGATTGCCAAGAGCGGCGAACTCGAAGTTCCCGAAGAAGGTATCAGGGCTGAGCTATAGAACTTCTCCCATGTATGTGGCTTCGGATCCCAGTAGTCACTACTGGGAGCTCATCAGAACATCATTTGGCTAATTGTGCGTTTCTCACAGGACTCGAAGGCCACGCAGAACCCGTTGCTCCACTCGATGACGATGAAGTATTCGGCGGCAATAGTGCAAAGGTGGTGGGAGAGAGCATTGGTGAGGAGGCACTTGCAGAGGTCGCTGGCCGCTTGAACCGCGAGCAGATCCTTGCCACCGCTACGGGCATGAGCCTTTCCTTGAAGCTGTTTCTCGTTGCATGCGTTATTGCTGCTTGCTGGATGTTCGTTGCCGCGCACCGCACAAGGAGAGGGGGCAGGGTGGCTGGAAGACATGGTGCGTACCCGGAAAAGTCGCTGGGTAGTCAAGCCTAGATCGACGTCCGACGACGAACATGATATACAATGAGAAAAGGTTTGAAATAGAGCAAACATTCTTGCGAGAGCAGTACGTGCCGGCCACTTGCGCAAGTGGTAAGAAAGCGTCAAACTTGGCTCAAATTTGTTGCATATCGTTCATGATGCTAACATGTCTCGACGCTTACTGCTGTTCTTCGGAGCTCAGCCCAGCGAAGAGGACCATACAGGCTTCGCTGGCCCGATGGAACTACTCGTACCTTCCACACCATTTATAGTGCTTGCCGCCCTCCCCGCTGCAAATAGTACAACGTTTGACGAAGATCTCACTGCGTGACGGCATGCTTTGAGTTTGACTCGGGGGTCAGAGGGGTTGTGCTTTGAGTCACTTAAGGCTTGTCGTGAGTGTTTCGGTTGCTTTCTGTCGCGGGATGTTTAGACTCAAGAAAGAGACAACGTAAGGCGATGCCAGGGGCTTTTTATGCTCGACCTTGGGTGGCAAAAGACGCATTCACATTGATGTGCATCTCGCCTTCACGGATGCTGATGACGAGTTACGCCTGGGGATCTCTTCACGAGCTATTGGGGGACTCGCACCCGGTCAACAAGCGGATGTCCCAGAGGCAAAAGTCCTCAAGCAGATATGTGTCGTGAGTACATGCTCCCAAAGATATGGGCGCCGAATCTGATCACCGCGACTGTTAACAGCCGAAGTGCCTTTTTTTTTTTCCGATATCCGTTGCCAAACTGGACCACAAGTTTACACTCTTCGACAAAAAACATTCCTTGAGCCGTGGCTCCGTATCGACAGGGAGATCAAGTCATTTGCCCGAATTCGTAGCCCACTCTTTTGAGCTTGGAAGATCGACCCCTTGAGATATCACAACGCGGCAGCCTTCTTCTTTACAACCCACGTCACCATCTGTGTGTCGATGACAGTCGATCTCCTTGATCTCCAGCACTCTTCCTCTGCATCGTCGCAGAGCTGTTCCAACTCGTCTGCCTCTTCTCTTCCTTTCTCGCCGTGACTTCGTACCCCTGCACACCACTCTCTCATGACCAAGAATGTAGTTTCTTGCTTTACTGGTAGCGCAGAAGGGTGTGTCCACGCTCGCTATACAAGAGTTAATACATGGAGAAAAGGCTTTGGGTACTGCATACGATCAGGTAGGGCAAGCGCTGGACTTACTTCATGAGCGACTAGTTCTCCTCCAACTTCATCGAGTCTCTCATGCACTTTCTGGACCCACGCGTGGGTTCGATATACATCCACAGACTGAGAAATGGCTTTGCGCATACGTTCGAGCATGGGACTCGCATGCATGGCTTCTTCTGGTGTAAGGTCTTGTTTCCCAGCGACAACAAGTTTCTGAGACAGCAAATCGTATTCTTGCCAATGAAGATAGCCGCCTGAGTTGTATTAAGATGATCAGTATATCTCAGCAACATTGTGAGCTGCGGGATCGAACGATGAGACAAACAAGACAAAAGCAGAAAAGAATAAGCTCACCAGGCTTCACCAACGCCATCAATCTCCTCAGCAAGGGCATTGGATCTCCATTCTGAACGATCAGCATCAACAGTCTCACATGCACGACATCAAATCTTCCAACCAAGCTCAGACTTCCGTCTGCTGTGCTTGGCTCTTTCAGTATGTCCAGCGTTCGCCAACTGACATTGGCGGGAGTCCATGCTTTCGGTGGTGTCTGAGCGAGATCGATATCGAAACCTTCGATTCGAGCTTGGCTAGGTAGCATTCCTGACAACGATAGCGAAGTTGACCATATTCCAGTTCCAGTTCCGACATCCGCGATCAGGAATGGCTCAGCTTCGGACGGCGTACGTGGTTCGCTTGGCAGGGGAATTGAATGGTGAAGAAGTGAGGGGTTGCCAGTGGTCCAGAGGAGATGCTGTAGGTTCAGACGCACAGAAGCGAGAGTGTTCCGTCCGAGAGGATAATTTGATGGAAAAGCTGCAGCAGTATCGTTGGAAGACGACATCCTGTGCGGTGGCAAGGTCTAATAATTAAGAGAGCTCTTTCAGATATGCAAGATCGATGCTCAACAGCTGAATGCTGCCGATGCTGAAAGTATTCCAAATGAATTCGTTGCTCGAAGTTGATCTCGAATTTGCGACCACACAAGTCTATGAGCCGTTTGTCACATAATGTCTTCCTGAAGTCGGTTACACAAAGCCCTAGCGTAGTCCGTCAGGGATGTGCGGGTGCCTGGAGTCACCCACCCAACGTCAATTCAAGTATATTGACTTCTGCGATCGTGTGATGCTGATGCCTTGTTCTATCATCGCTGCCTGAAGGAGCCGAGCGTGGAGTGGAACCTAGGAGGAATAACCAAGAGCCGTTAATCTTGATGCCTGGTGAGAATGTCAATTCTTCGACTTCGAGATGCCTGCGTGATCAACGTTCGTTCAGCCGTGCCAAAGCGAAACCAATTACAACAGGTCACTCCGATCTATACAGCTTCTATTCTATCGAGAGTTTTGCAGGATCCCATCATAGCTTATCTCGTTGCATTATGAATAAGGCTTCGGATTCGGCGTAGACTTTGCCCATGCCATCTTCCATGGTCCCGCTGACCCACGCCTTGCGGCCTCTGTCGGAGATCAGTCAGTTCGTCCAAATGTGCAATGGAAGCACTTACTCATGCTCTGACAGCGAACAGCGAACAAGTACCACGCCTTTGTATGATGTTAGTGACTGATTCGATGCCATGTTCACGCCCGGACTACGTACTTGGTGTCGGCACTGGCGCCTTGTACTTGATCGTGAGCTGACCCGTCATGGAAGGTCGCGTCAAAACTCGAACAGCCCCGACTCCGAGGCACTCATCGAACAGCGCTGCAATAGTACCTCCATGAGCCAGTCCTGGATGGCCGTCCAGGCCGCGACCCAGACTGACTATGACTATAGCTTCTTCCTTCTTGTGGACGCTGGCTCCAGATTTCTGTTGTGGTGTGAGCGCAGCAAAGGTATGAGGAAGTTCAATCACCTCACCTCTCCACTTTGTGCGTCGTGAGTTCTGGCGAACGCTTGACATGCTCGGAGACTTTGCACATGTTCAAAGGGGGTCTTGATACATTCCATGCACGAACATACTCACGTATCTAAAGTCGCAAAGGTCCGGCTGAATAGAGACTGCGTCGTGGAATTTCTTGTGATAGTTCGCGATGGGTATACAATTTCTTCCCATGCTGGATCACGAATGATCGCTTGCACCCATTCCAGGTCATCGAAGTCGCCGAGGTATTCGCTGGGAAGTTCACTCGCCAGTTTGGCGTTTCGGAATAGCTTGCGTGGATCAACACGTGCTTCACCTGCACCTATGTTCTTGCTGTGGGCCATGGTCTGCTTCTCTAGTTAAACCACACGAAAAGTTGTCTCTCTGGTGATGAGTGATGCAGCCTCATCGTATTGCCGAGGAGCCAGATCGCAGCGGCTGCCGCAGCCTCGCTTACAAAACGCCTGCGCCTCGGATACAGGAATGACTTTTTCCCATTCGGTTGCGGCGACCTTTTCTTCGGGAGGTTGAGCTTGTGCGGTTCGGGTTGACATAACAGCTCACAAGCCTTTGCGCACCACAGGATCGGGGTTCGGTAGCAATCGTTTGTATTCGAAGGCACAGTTGTCCTCGGAATTGGTGCTTGCTGCAGGATAACGACGCAGTGCAGCCGACTTGGCAATGTCTGCTCTGGGAACCAATCACTCGACCATGGTTCTAACGGACACTAACGGATGTCTGCATTGCGACGCAGAGTTCGCTCTGCAGCCAGTGTGGTGCATGCCCTCCATCCAAGCTTTGTGCTGATGTCTCTGATCCTATGGTTCAGCCTTATGGATATAGTATAGGTTCGTGCGAACCGCTGGAAGGATTCATATTCTGCTCTTTTAGCTGTATTTGGAAAGCATTTGTACACTGCACAGGTATTTGTCGACATGGATCACCCCCTCACAGAATGTACAACCGCCGCCTCATGGCTACGCTTACAGACCACAGACTCCACTGTTGGCCAGACTTGCTACTGGATACAGAACCAGCGGCTGTCCAGAAGGAATCGTCAAGCCGAGATTACCACGGCTGTCAGTCGTCAATCGGGTGCAAAACATGACCTCCAGCACTTGAAGGTTAGGTCCAAAGCCGGAGCTCGCTGACGATATCGTTACTGTTCCCGTATTGTCCGGTTCCCAGTTGTTGAAGACACCCACTATCTGCTTGTCGGGATTGCCTTTGCGCATGACGATCACGGTCCGACTGATGGCTGTTGGCGTTGCCTTGTAAGTGACATAGCCGCTATCCTGGAAGATGGCCCAATTCCGTATTTGATTCAGCTTTTGGATATGTCTGTAAAGCTCAGTGTCCCGGTTGTAGCCTGAAGGCCAAAGCGCTTCGCGATTGTTCGGTGTCCAGCCACCTCTGTACATCTGTTCCTGCCCTTGATATATGATTGGAATGCCATCGGCAAGCATTTGAAAGGCCATGGCATTCTTGATGCGGGTCATGACGGGGAAGAAATATGGCAGGCGGGCATTGTCATGGTTTTCGGTGAACGAACCAAGCAATGTTGTGTCGCTGCACGTGTATTTCATCCAGTTCATGTTACTGGCCAGTGTCTCCATCGACGTGCTCGAATTTGCGAACGTTTGTCTGATCCAGAAATATGCAGCATAGTTCATGACGCCACTCAGAGAGTTCTGGTATGAACAAAGCTCGTTCGGATTCCCGTTCCAAACTTCTCCCAGCGCATGTATACCTCCGGCTGCAGCCTGGAAGCCAGGCCAGAAGCCCTGATTGACCTCCTGAGCAGTGTCTATGCGGAGACCGTCAATGGAGTAATTTGCCACTAACTGACCAATCCACTGTTGCAACATGCTGGCGACGGTCGGGTCTTCGGTCCGCAAGTCTGGGAGTGAGACAACGTCGGAGCCCATCCAGCATCTCTGTATAGTATCCGGGATCTTCATGTCAATCGCGCAGTTGTTGTGGAAGTAGGACTGTTGATTGAAAGGTTTGAACTGGCTGTAGTCGACAGAATATCGAGAGGAGAAAGATGCCATGTGATTCGGGACCACCTGCGAGGAACACGTACAATGTTAGCATGGAGTTCGGATATCTCCTAGATTTCGCAGGACAAAGCCTTACATCGACCATCAAATACATGCCCCTGCGGTGCAGCTCATCGGAAAGCGCTCTCAGATCGTCCCTCGTTCCAAATTGTTCGTTGATCGCATACAAGTCTTGTGCCCAGTACCCGTGATAGGAGTTCCCATCTGCACTGAGATGGACATGATTCTTCACGACTGGGCTGATCCATACCTAGCACGCAGCTATCAGCTGTTGTAGAGATGTTGCGCGTCTTAGCCATCGTACCGCTGTGAATCCCATCTGCTCTATGTAGTCCAATTGATTGATTATACCCCTCCATGTCCCGCCGCAGTAATCGTTTATGTTGCAAGGTGCTGTTGTTGATCCATCGCTCCGCGCGAATCTGTCTGTCATGACCTGATATATCGACTGCGATCTCCATTGCGCTGGCGTGAGACATTTCGACAGAGTAACGAAAGTGAGTGTTGTCGACAAAAGACCGATGAGAGACGTCATTGTGGGTTGAGCGCAGAGGGCAGATTACTGGAATGCACGGGAGCTTCGTCCTTCAAGTAGATATCATGTAAATGTTATAGCATATCCTTTGTTGCTATGGCAGATGACCCGCTTGCAGATGTGATGAACGTTGGTGAGGTTCCTGGCCACGAGGACGACTGTGAGTGTTGTGTCTGGAAGTTCCAGTCTTGAATGCTAGCTCACTGGGCTTGTGCATGTGCTCAACTAGGAAGTCTGGTTGCCCGTGAGTGTTGATCTGGAGATATTAGCTGCCACGCGTGCAAACATGATCGGACCAGGACAGCTTGGGATGCGTCGTACTCCGGGTCGCCGGAACGCATCGACTGGAATGCTGGCTGAGCTGGTGATATTTTGCTGGCTCGCGATTGAGCCGGAAGTCCGGCGTCTTATGGAAAAGCCAGGAAATCGGTCAACAGTTGCCATTTCGCCCTCCGCGGAGGTGTCCTCGTGGCTGTATAATTGGGCATTCCTGCCAGTTTGGGAAGGCTTGTTTCGAGAGATATGAGACATTGCTGTGGGTGAGTGTGGCACAAAGGGGTTCTGGACCTGCCTTGGCTTGTCATGTCCGAAGTTGTGCTGGGTGGCCACTGCATTCTGTCAGTTGCCTACATCTGTCACGCAACGGCACGCTGCATTGCAAATTGCGCAACAAAATGGAGTACGAATCGGCGCGTGCCATTCACCTGGGCGGAAGCTCGCGCCGCTTGGATGTAGGTCTCGCGCTTTCGGGACGGAAGGGGCTTGTGTAGCGAAAAGAGCTGCATTCCGCGTTCCGTGGCTTCGACGCACCCAGACATGTCCGTCATTCCTGCCGAAACAATGTGATTGAGCGTGTCTGCAGACATCGCAGTTTTGTACAATCGGTTGTGGAAGCAGTTGTGCTTTCGAAGTCTTGACGTACCGAGCTCGTGCTTACAAAGTCTGGACACGCCTCGGCCGAATCTATTCAACTCTTTCAGACAGCTCTCACTGCAGTCTCCTCTTCTCTTGCTCGATGATATGCGGCACCTCGTCCTCGAGGCTACCTTCTTTGGGCTGCCAACCCAGCACCTTACTCGCTCGCTCTGCCTTGCCTTGCGAGTTCAGTCCCCAGCTCAGCGCTTGGAAATCCGCCAACTCCCACGCCTCGTCCTTGCTCAACTTCTGCTCTTCGAACTCTTTCGGAATGTATCCAGCGTCAGAAGCCTTTTGCGCGATCAACCGGGACAAATCGCCCCACACATGCCTGCCGTTTGCGACAAAGAAGTAGCCTTTCTCGCCCCAGAGCTCCGAATCTAGCCTTTTCTCAACACCAGCGTCCACGAGGGCCAGGTACACCTCGGATAGGTCGTGCACGTGCACATTATCCCAATGTGCTCTGCCTTCGCCAATGATTGGAGCATAACCTTTTTGCAAAATCGTCTTCGCCAGTTCATATGCCTGTCGTCCACGACCAGAGACAGGACCACGACCGACACCGTAGATAAATTTTGTGATGGCGTCGGCTGTGGACTTGTCCACAGCCGATGCCATCGCAAAATTAATAGAGAGGTAAGAACCCACAACTGTGCCTTCCAGTTTATCAAACTGAGCCCGAAAAGGTGTTTCCGTTATGAGAGAGGTAGGTACTACCACCCCTCAAGTCTTCTTCCTTCGTCGACTGACGAGCACCTTCAGTTTCCTGCCCTCCCGCATCCCCGCCACCACAACTACAACCACCGATATCGACAGCATTACACACCGACCAGCGTATGTTCTCGGACAAAGACCGACGCGATGGGGTGGTCATCTGACCTCGAATTCTCCTCTCCACCAAAGGCGGCAGTCCGTAAGTTGGAGCGCAAAAAAAGACGCGAGTCGTCGCAATCAACTGACACACACACACCGACAGGCGGTCAACAGTCCATCGACGCTCTGCTGGAGACCGCACTCACCGACCGTGTAGAGTCGAAGAAGTTGTACAAGACTTTGTCATTCGCTTCCGTGGGCGCGCCAGGCACGCAGGTGATGCGCGAGCTGTGGATCTCGCGTTTCAATGCCTTTCGCACGCATACTCTCGGTCATGACCTCAAGAAACCATTTACGGGCGAAGACCTCTTTCGTTTCTTCGGTTCCGTTGTCAGTAAGTGTTCTCATTTGCAGCCTCCCCCCATGTCCGCAACGTGCAACACGTTTCCGGTCGACAAACAGCTCGCTGACCACTCATCTTTGCTCACATTCAGAGCACCTCAAGGGAAGAGGTTACAACACCAAGTTGCCCAATTTGCGCACCCTCGAGAACGGCATCAAGGTTCTGACATATTACGGCACCTACACATACTCTACCAAGGACGGGTACGAGTTCACGAAACAGCATCAGGCACGGATCAAAGTACTTTGGGACGACCTGATCAAGAGTAGCCAAGCGATCAAAGGCAGATCCAGGAAGCAATCTTGGCTGGGCTATCGAACTTTGGAGCACATGATCCGGACCTTTATCGAGGATGCTACGAGCAATGGGACATACAATTGGGATGTGAGTAGAAGAAAGTTTTCCAAACACGGGGCACAAAAAGGCAAAAAAGGGAAAAAGAAAAAAAAAAAATGTCCTCTCGGGAATTTTGCTGACACGATCATCGGGCAGGTGACGATCGCCAAGTGTCTGTCGGTGGTCCTTCCTGCAGCGACTGTGAGCCGTTCGGGAGACGTGGCTCGAACGAGTGCATATACAGGTGAAGAATATTTGAAGTGGGAGGACGTTCGGCTGTATGTCGAAGAAGTCCACAACGAGTTACACGTTGGGGGAGACCGACGGATCTCGCTCCTCAGTGTCCGAGCGGAGATCGACAAGCACTTCGCGAAGGGGTTCAAGGACAAGGAGAACACCACGTTTACCTGGTACGGGAGAACACTTCCCGTCGACAGCCACATGTGCCCGATCAGCCTCCTTCTCGTACACGCCTTACGTCACGGCCTCGTACAGGGCGGGACGACGTTGGAGCAAGTGCTACGCTATGCTGCTGCGCGTAGTGACAAACAAATCACTTGGACACAGCCCCGATATCCGGTACTCGCGCAATTCGAAAAAATGGGCAGAGACATCGTTCTGAATCAACCTGCAAGGACAGACCAGCTGCTTCGAAGCATCAAGCAGATGGGGCGTCTGGCTGGTGTCAAAGATCGCGTATACATGCATGCTATACGAGCTGGGGGTATACGAGACATGGCGCACATCCCGAAGTCTGCCTTGGAGACGGGAGCGGCGAGCAGTGCTGGCGGCCTTTCATTCGACTTTGCCCGAGCGGGAGCAGGACACACGATGGAGACTGCGAACTCGGGAGTTACAGACGCGTACGTCGGAGGTATGTCGTATGAGGCGTGGAACATGGTCGCGACAGTGGCGCCAATACACAAGAAAGAGCCGCGAATCGCAACATCCGAGGCCATGAAGATCATCAACGCACCCATCACTCCAGCAGAGCGGGAGACATGGATGATGAACAACAACTCCGCCGGCGGGAGGAAGAATCGCGCGTACACTGACATGCGCATCCGTGAGGAGCGCATGTCTGCGCCCACTGTTGAGCTCGAGCCACGATCTGCGTATAGTGGTATGGGAGCCGAACGTCGTCCAGCACTCTACCCACCGCATGCACAGCAACAGCAGAAGAAGAAGACGTCCGAGCCAGCGGGCCCGAGTCGGAAGCGTGCGCGTGATGCCGAGGATGATAGTGTTGGTGTCGGAGCAGCATCCACGGAGCGACCTGCAAAGAAGACCAAGAAGAGGAACAAAACGCGCAACGCGACAGATGAAGACTCTTTCACGATGATGCTTGATCCGGCGCTCCGCGACCAGCCTCCTGCGGCGACGATCATGATGGACGCGACGCTTCAAGATGAGCGTGAAGAGCAGCAGCAGGAGGAGGGGGAAGAGGAGGACGAAGAGCTCTCGGACGAGGCTGCTCGAGCGTTACAGGATACCATATTCTCCCAGAATGATGGCAGCCATGAGAACGAGCAGACGGAACCGGAAGGCGAAGAAGAGCTGATGGACATGCTCTGTCCCCTTCCAGCACCAACAACAACAACAACAACAACAACAACTTCTTTGCCATCAACGAGTAACACGTTCGGCGGCCCAGACGAGTGGGTGCAGGGATTTGCCCGGGTCAACGTCTTCTTACGTGCGACGATGCTCGGTCGCAAGGACGCGAATGCTGCTCAAGATCCCACGGGACTGCCGTTGTGCATGACGACCGGAAACTCTCGCGATCCACCGCAGCGCTTCATTCTTTCTTGCGAGCACTGCAACTACTCTACGACAGTCGCAAAGGACCTCGATTCGCATTCAAGGTCGTGCAATGCCGCTACGGCCGAATCTCTACAACAGCTTCACGAATCCACAGCTCCTCTTTCCTGCCCGCAGTGTGAATATACCACGTACGCAGGACCGAAGGCTCGGAGCAAGCATATGCAGAGGGAGCACCCCGAAGAGTTTACGGAGCCGCAGCCATGCACCAAGACTGGTTGCGACCCCAATGTGCTGTACGAGACGCGCGAAGATCTCGAGGCGCACAAGAAAGCCGTACATGCCTTTCCACAAGGCTATCCGACACCATGCTTGCATACCACTTGTGTCAGCAGCAGCAGCAGCGAGGGAAATGTCGCTGCTACCTACGCCAACATCCAGACTCTCACTAAACACATGCGCAAGGCGCACGAGGTGGTGTTGGCAGATCATCCCGAGTACCTCCCACCTGACAGAGATCAGCCAAAGGTCTTCTCTCCGGCTCCATGCGGTATTGACGGCTGCAACACCAAACCAAGAAATCGCTCGATTCTCGTCCATCACGTAGTCTCCGTCCATCACTAGGAGGAGGATGCAGCTACCGCGTTCGCTGCCCAGGATCGCTTCTATCGCGACAAAACATCTCATCGGACCCGCAAGCGTACCCTACCAGCTCGAGAAGTGGAACGGCGCGTGGGCACAACCGATGATTAGGGTTCGGTAAGAACCTTGAACACAATGGCACTGAGAGCAACGTGTTACTCGTTGGGGAAGAGGGATAATGCTCGGGAGATGGTGGGAGAGTCATTTGCAGCGCAGACGTGACGAGGACGCTGAAAATCCAACCATTGGTCTTTGTTGCATTACTACTACCAGAGCAGTCTTGATCACGTCCGCATGCTTCGTCCCTGCTTCAAGCACAATTTTGTCCACATTACGATGGAAAGCGTCGTCTGGAAGTGTCGTGAGTTCTTTGACGCCAGACCAATCATTGAACTCGCGATCCGGCTCCTCGCCGAAGCGCTCTTTGCTGGAGTCGAAATAGGTGAGGATACCTGTGCCGCCTGTATGTAGCCAGAAACCGGGCCTTTCGGCGCTGTGGCCTTTCAGGATACCGGCTTCGATAGCTTTTGCGGCGCCCTCGTGGTCGGAAGCATCCGCAGCATCTACACAGGTCAGTAGAGCGACGCGTCGATCTGGAAGGAGGCTGGCTCACGAAGAACAATATCGGCTTTTGCAGATTCTTCTTCGATGATACTACTGTCGTCGAGCCCGCCGATCACCACGCGCACATCCGGATACGAAGCTCTCACTTTGCCAGCCTTCTCCTCCGTGCGGATCAGTGCCGAGTATTCGTAGTCTGGGTGTGCCTTGTGAATAGCGTAGAAGGCATCGCCAGCAATGTAGCCAGTGATGCCAGTGCTTCAAAGCCAGTCAATCTGAGTTACACGGAGTCCAGTGCTACGTCGAAGCTCACATGAAAATCTTTGGTGCCATTGTCCTTCTCACAAATTCTTTACTGCTGAGGTCTGGATGAGTTGCAAGTAGAGTTTATTATAGGCAGGGTTGCCAAATATTGGACAGCAGGGGCAGAGACCTTACGCTTTGTTCCTGACCTACAGTGGCATCTGACTCGACTGAGCATGAGAAACGGACTTGATTGACAAGCACGAGCATATGTATGACGTTGAGCGAGATGACGAAGAGATGGAAAGTGGAGGATGGCGGATCAGTGTTTTGCCTGGCCAATGATTGCCTCCGAAAGCGCGACTGAGCTAGTCCATGTCCTCGCTCATTTCCACAGCTCGATGCAGATCCCGACGACGAATGAACATCATTGCTCGGAGCACATCACGAGCAGCGAAATCACCCAACCACCCATCACCGGATTGGCTAGGGAGCAGCGTAGTGGCGTGTGCTTTGACAACAGAAAGTCGTCATTCTCAGGTACGGATCTTGGCCAATCGAGTGTTATTGATCCTGTCCGTGCTACCTGCCCAGGATGGATTCAGGCTTCCCATATACTGATCAACCAGGCTTGCCGGCATCCGAAGAATCGCTTAAGACTGCCACAGCAGAATTATCATTAAGCATCTTTGGCAATGCCTTCGACGTTAATCAAGCACCTTGGAATTATGCGGCCCCAGACTTTCAAGCCACCATAAGCTTATCTGACAGGAAGAACCTCCAACTCTCCGAGCTTGTTGAAGTGCTCAAATCAGCACAAGACGAGTTGGATAACACGACTGCTCGTGTTCTCAGCAGTCATGCAGTCGTCCATAGTGCAAAAGACTCAGCAGAGTGCTACGGGATCTTGGAAACGCGAATCAATTCTTCGATCCCAAGTAAACCCCACCAATACATGACCAAAGCTATATGGAAACGCCAGACCAACGGCCGCTGGCTCATCACGAACTTCAGCCTGCTACAACGCCCGGCAGGTGCTTCCAATTCCACGTTCACCACAGGTCTCTTCACGCCGCCAGAAACACCAGGTGGAGAACACAGGCCGCTCGGAGTCGCAATTGGGGATACCCTTCAGGAGATGACAGCACAATACTCGCAAGCAATTAATAGCCATCAATTCGACATCTCCCAGCCTCCATGGAGTTACATCAAAAAGGACAAATTTCGCGCTTCGATGCCACCGGCGGAAGACCACAGAATGACTTTGGAGGAGATGCTGAAGTTTTTGGGGGCGGTTTGCAAGCACAGCCCAACTGCTCACAGTACGATTCTGGATAGCAATGTTGTGGTGAGAGAACACATCGGGTGGGCGGAGGTTTGGCAGAATTTGGAATTGAGAGATACAGCGAGAAGCAAGGGAGTGGTGCATAGTTACATTGAGAAGATGGTATGGGAAAGGCAAGATGATGGGGCTTGGCTTGCGGTGGAATATAAGAATATTCAGGGGCTGGATCGAGCTGGACTCCCGAGGTGATGGGCACATCTTAGATGGAAGGCTTGAGTGGCGGCTTTGTGGATTTGCAGTGGACAAGGCAGACACCAATCTGCAGTGAGGTTTGATTTTGCGACGACGCTGCGAGCAAACAACACCGGGAAATATTGCAGACTCTGGCCAGGTAATGGCAAGAACAGCAACGCTGAAACAATTAAAGCGTGACGAGGATGCCGAAATTCCAATAATTGGTCTTTGTTGCATTACTATCGTATCATGTTTCACGCTCATCTGTAAGTCTTTCTCCGAGTCATCACTCCTACCTGTTCCACTCCCGAGGATCGCCTTGCTCTTTGGTGTACAGCTGACTTCTTCTCAATCCAGCTTTCTCAATCATACCACCCCACGTCGTTAATCCGCTGGCCCTCGTAACTCTGTGATCTTCTGCACCATCTCTTGCGCCCCAATTCGGGAAAAGACCCGTCAATCGCGGCTTGCCCTTGCCGTCCGCGGGTGCACGTATTGGGCTCGCAGGTTGAGGGTTCGGAGACCTCAGAAAGGGCATTCCGGTATCTGCAAAGGTCGAAGTATGGCCTACAGGCGCCACGAAAGACCTATGCGCGGCTGATGACTGAGGCGTCGGATACGGCTGAGGTGCTGTGCTGGCTTTCACCGGCAAGGGCGGATATGTTATCTGTGGCTGGGTGCGAGTGGACGCTCGTTGATCGTACACGGTGGGCGGATAGTTTGATGGTGTGTAAGGCGACTGCAAGGATGCCCCGATATTCTGAATGTTACTGTTGCGGCCTGGTCGTGTGGGCGTAGAATAGTCGGGCTCCTCGTCAATAGGCGTGGAGTCCTGGCTGCGCGCAGATTGTGTCGTTTGCCACGAATTCGAGGAAGCGGGTTCTGTTGCGAGTGTGGCAAAGTGAGGTTTGTAGTTACCTGGAGGAAGAGTTCCAGCAGTGCTTGGGTTCTGCCCTGGGGTGTCCATTGCCACTTTAATCGTCTCTGCGCTGACTTGACGCACTAGTTGCTCCTCTGGTCTGTGCTCAGTGGTGGCTTGCTGGCTTTCTCGACGAAGCGAATGCCGGCTTCGTTGCTTCTTGAGGCCACGCACTGGACTGATCTTGAACGAGTCAAACGACAAAGTGCCGCGTTTGAGATGCGCTGGGATTGGAGAGCGGATTGGTCTCGGCGTAGCGACTTGGTTGACAAATGGCGAGTGAGATAACCAGCTCTTTCCTTGCGGTGTAGGGTTTGAGGGCCTCTCAGCTGGCGACTCGACATTCACAATGTATCCCGATAGACCTCCGTGCACGCCTCTGTTCTTCTGCTCCGGTGGAGTCCTATTTGCGAAGTCGGTGCGATGGCCAAGGCTGATGTCTACAGTCGGCTCAGATATAGATCTGCCGTGTACTGTAGGTCGACGGGACGAAGCATTCGGACCAAGATCTGTCAATGTATCCTTGGAGTAATGCTTCTTCTCGCTGATGCTGCCATCTTTCTTATGCTTACGACGCCAGAGGCAGAAGAGCAGAGCAGCCAAGAGGAACATACCCAAAACAATTCCAGGAATGAATCCCGCGACAAAAGATTTAAGGGAAAAGTCGTCCGAGTCGCCTGCGTTTTCTTTCGCATCATCAGTGGAGGAAGCCTCCTCTGCAGAATCAGTGCTTGACGCAGTGTCGGAGACAGAAGAGGAAGTGGTTGTCGGCGATGTCGTTGTTGTGTTTCCCGTGGACGAATCTTCCGCGGCCTCGCTCTCAGTCATTGCAACACATAATGTACCCGAACATCGATAGCCCATCGGGCAGCAGTTATCGCCACAGCTGTCGAGGTTTGCTGTCGGTTGGGAATGCAACTGGCTTCCAGGATTACTGGTCGCATTCTGAAAGGTTCGATCGCAAGAGACTGGTGATATTGTGGCGCAGTCCTGACCAGCAGGACAACATAGTGCGGCTGTGAGCGATGATGTCGTGTTTAGTGACAGGCATACTGTGTTCTGTGGACAGCAGAAGACTGAGGGAAAGTTGCTGCCACATTGTGATAAACCAGATTCGCCGCCACAGGTATCTGCTCGTTTCGTGATGGTGAAGTCCTCGGGCATCCAGGTGGAGGCGTCCTGCTCGAGCTCTTTCGGAATCCATAGTGCGCGGGCTGATACTGCGCGCAGTACGCAGAGCAATGCAACGAGGAGTGTAGGGAAAGACATGATGAGAGCAGGCTTGCGCAGAAAGTCACGCGGGTATCTGATGCGAACGCTGGACCATGCAGGAACAAAAGAGATAAGAAAGAGGAGCAGGCCGTCCAGCGGTCGCAGGTGACTAGAGCAGAGGGAGACGAGCAGTAGGAAAGTGAAGAGGAAGAGAGGTGACGCGAGCAGAGAGTGAATGGTCTTACCCAGACTCGACACGTTCGGTCAGCCATGTCGCCGGCGAGGACGCGCCTGTGTTATCTTTGGGCGATGGAGTGGAGGAAGTGGATGACGGAGTCGCTCACGATGGTTGCACGAGCGGCACAGCGCGCGCATTGTGTGGCAGAGAGCGAGTCGCAGTGGAGGTGGATAGATGAAACGACTTTGGGCGCCTGTGTGAAGTTGAAGACCACTTGGAGACTGGTTGGCTGAGGATGCTCGAGTCATAAGTCGTGACTGCAAGGTGTCAGACATTGTGGCGGTCCGGTGCCAGAACAGTTGGCCCGAGCGGGACTTGTCGCTCGAAGTCAAGCGGGTGTGTCGAGAGAAACAGCTGCACGGCATTGCAGCAGCCATGATCACTCGACGCCTGCTCCGGCCATCGCGCCTCTTCAATTCCTCCTCGTGGACTTGTCCCGCATGCGTCAGTGGCTCCTCCCTGCCCACTGGTCTCCCATACTGACAGCGGCGTTCACAGACTCAGCGGACCTCCTTCGCCGCCCCATCCACATCAGCACCGACGACGACGACCTCGATACGATCGATATCGGCTACCTCGCGACTCCAGAAACACAGCGTCCCACCGCTCGCATTCGATGAGACATTCGAGGAGAAGGGCGTGCCCGGCCTTTTCTCCAAAGATGGCTACAACTTGGCGTGGAAGCAATACCAATCACTTCTCGTTCAGAAGTTGAACGAATTGACAGCCGGCGAGCCCATCGCCGACAAGGACCCCAAAGACCTCGCGCTGATCTTTGCACGCGATCCATTGAATGCGAGTCTCTTCAACCACGCCAGCATGGCATTCAACAACCACTACTTCTTCAACTCCCTCTCCACCGCTCCCCTCCCGCTGTACAAAGCACCGCAACTGTCAGAAAGCCTGGTGAAGACATTCGGCAGCATCGAGACACTACGTGAGACAATGCTCGAAACCGCGACTTCCATGTTCGGACCAGGTTTCGTGTGGCTGGTATGGGCACGAAACATTGATAACTCGTCTGCCTCACGCGGAAGCTCTTTCGCGTCCCGAAGCGGGAGCTGGAGGATTTTGACAACATACAACGCCGGCACGCCATTTCCCGAGGCAGGCTACAGACAGCAGGGCTTGGACATGGCGAACAATACTCAGAATTCTTACCAGGCGTGGGTGCAGCAGCAAGCAATGATACCTGGAAATACCGCCGGTGCCTTTGGTGCATACAGCCAGAGTGGTCAAGCTGCGGCAAAATTGCCGCCGGGAGGAACGAACGTCATGCCAGTGCTGTGCGTCAATACGTGGGAACATGTGTGGCTGTATGACTTTGGTGTTACTGGCAAGAGGCAATACCTGAATGATTGGTGGAATGCTGTTGACTGGGGTATTGTGCAAGAGAGAGCGCCAGCTGAAGCGCGAGGGCTCAATCGTTTCGAAAGAGGTGGCATGTTGTAAACTATAGCTGACGATCCGCGGAGGGCTGTAGTAAAGGCACACGATGGACTGGTGCAATGAGAAAGACGTCTGAGGCACGCCAGATGCTGATTACCAGCAGTGGCGTCCGCTCAGAGCCGGTGCTCTGGCGGTGATCAGCCAAACAGCGGACGTCCATACGGGGAACTTGGCCATTGCTCTTTCCCTGACAGTCAGCTGCCAGTGGATCGCAAGGTTTAGAATGCGATATGAGATGTACAATAAAGAATCAATGTACAAGAAAGCTGCCAATGCTGTCTCATATCCTGTAAAGTTCTAAAGTCTGCCATCGTGTCTGCACTGGGAGGAGCGGTGGTGCTGGGCAGTGGCGCTGAACGTTGTCACGGTGGCAGTTGAGAGCACTACAGATGTGACAGTCGATATGATGTAGGGGCACGAAATTGTTCGCCATCGGTCAGCAAAGTTTAAGCAGCAATCGTACAAGCCAATGCGGCGTCGGCGTGGCAGTTGAGGGAATGTCCGTGTTGGCTCTCAGACTCGGATGCTCAATTGATTCTCATCACAATTTGTTATGGTACATTCCGCATCGATCGGCCCATGGCCATTGAACCTGCCTCTCCCCCATGTTCACTCATCTGCAGCCCGCCATGCAAAGCGAGCGTAATCCACTGTCTTCCAAACAGTGTGCGGAAAAGAAAAACAGCTAATGCTTGATCTCAGTCGTAAAGTCGTAAAGGTATTCTCTCCCCTGCTGTCTGGCGTTTCCACATTTGTGATTTTTGAAGTCCCGCCTGTTTGCCTTGTTGCCCAGACGCCGGTAGCAATTTCTGCCGTATCGACATCAAGTGATCGTTGTCCAGCCCATTGCTCTTCTGACTTTGCGGACAGCCCGAATAGGCACTTATGATATGCATCGCACTCACATAATTACTGTCCGATCAATCCATGTAAAAGTCTCCCTTGAGAATTCGCTCTTGGAAATGATCTGGTCTGACTTGCTCCTTTGGCTTTGGCATTTCTCTTGCTGGTGGCTCCATGACTGCCACGCTCTTGCTGCGATCATGTTTCAATCCGGCGGGTGGAGAGGGTCCGGCATTGTTATTGCCGAACAGGGTGCCGCCAGCGATTGAGGAGGTGCGCTCTGCGCGGCTGCGGAAGTTGTCGGACCAATTGAAGCCTTCGTTGCCTGTTCGTGAGACAGAAAGTTAGTGCAAAGTCCCACACTTTACTGTGGAAAGAGAAGGATGGAGGAGACGGGCAAGGGGAAAGTGATGGGTACAGCGAAGACGAACCTGGACCTTTAGCGGTTCGGCTCGAGATCGACCCATTCGCTTTGTGTGTTCTCGGGTTGGTGTTGGATGTGGGAGGTGCATCATTTTCGGTAATAGTAGACGGTTTACTAGTACCATTTGGTGGGCTGCCGCCTCCACCGCCATTGGCAGCATTGCCCGTTCTCACATCCCGAAGTGCCTTTGCACCAAAACTCATACGTCTGGCGAAGGGAGTTGCGGGGGTCGGTAGTGGGGTCTTGCCGTCGTCTTCTTCGATTGCCGACTCGTCGATGCTATCGCTGCCAGCGGTGCCGTACGAATCGCGACGGCTGTTGTACGAACCAAACGGAGAGGCTTGACCGGGAGAGCCGGACAGACCCAGTGTGGTCAAGGAGAGGCGTCGGCGCTGCGCCTGGGCAGCCGCCGATGTGATGGGGCCAGCACCGTTGTGTGATTGCTGACCGCCATTGTAGTCACTCGTGGCTCGTGAAATGCTGCCCGAGCGGCCGCCGCTGAACAGATTGGCGAAGGTCTCGCCTGCGAAAGAGGAGCGACGCACACGTGGAGGCGACTCTGCACGGCCGGCGTTGGAGTTGTCGTCGGTCATGGTGGTGGTGAGGGGAAACGCGTGGTTTCAAGGCGGCCGTTCGGCTTCCGGTGGTGGTGGATGAATCGGTCGGACTGGAGTGGCACTGTGGCCAACAGCAGTCCCAAAGGTGCGTCCAATGTACGTGTCCAATGCAATGCCTTTACTGTCGAATTTCGTGGTATTTGACAGTTGCAAAGGGAGGAGTACGTGAACGCAGAGTGGCTTCAGGAGTCGTGGGTGTCTTGGTGAGGGTGTACAGCAGTGCAGCCTACGTCACCAGTGAACGCTCGATCGATGGGTGGAATGCAATGCAAATGGTGGCAAGATGTGGTTGTCGTGATCTCCCCGAGCAAGCAATCCCAAGCTTTGCAATATTACAGGGCGGATGAAGAGACGGCAGCAGTGAGTGTCGAGTCGGAGGAGGAGTTGTGGCCAGCTCTGCACACTCAGCAGCACATGTAAACCAAGGACCCCGTGCGGCCTGCTTCAAAGGATTTAGTCTTTCTGGCAGATCGCGGGGAAACAGCTCGGATCCACAAGAACTCGCATGCTCATTGGCTCGTAGACACAGCGAAGCTTCGCAGTCGAGAACGTCTTTGTGTGTCGTGATACGCGATTTCACCGACATGCTGGCGAGCACCCGTTCCAATTCCTCGATGCAAGAGGCGTGCTCAAAGGCCCGAATGGCACTGACAGATATTCGTCAGCTTGACGTTTCGCATCGCTGATGAGCACAGCAGAAAGCCGTCTGGATTCCGCTTCCCAAAAGAGACGCTCTGCACCCTGGCCTCGCGTTGCATGGGATATCTACCTCAGACGCACCGAGCCGATCGCTGGCCAAATTACCCCAATCACCATCGTTTGCTGCTCGATACTCCGGCAAGAGCTGTCCTCCTCGCGACTACGTACCTCGCCGGCGCGCGTGTGTCTCTCGTGATGCCCCCAGTCTCTGCAGGGACAGAAGAGCTCCCCATGTTCACAGAGGCTCCAGTGCGGAAGCTTCGGTTACCTGTCGCACGACTGATCAGACAACACCCATTACCACCATTCCCACTGGTCCACACCGCAATCAAGCAGTGACGAGCTCATGCAACCGTACATCATATCCCCTACGCACACGCAACCATTGAATGCTTCCGTGACCTGGATTATCGTCTTGGACTCCAGCCCTGTCCAGGCTTGTCACGACTTCATCTGCGGACCGTCTACACTCGGTACAGTCAGCGTAGTGCTTGGCTTCTGCGTCAACCATTGGAAGCAAGGGACGTGGCAGTCACCTAAAAGTGCACGTGATTGCGCGGCTGCCTAGTGCACTTGATATTTCCACTTCTGAAGCCCTCGATGATAGGCACATCATAGGTCATCGCGAGCTCGCTCCCTGCCTTCGGTCATTGCATCTCTGTCTGCTGGTGGCGACTGTGTCTACAGCAGGCTGCGTTGGTAGCGATTTTGACTTCGTTTAACTCAATTCGGTGGCTGCCATCAATCGTGTCCTATTGCTAGCGGTCCCGTGGCCTGGCGTGGAGCCTTTGTACTTCACGACGACAACTCGACTTCTTTTGCTTATAGAGTCAGACCTTGGTAACTCTCGTGCTGTAGATACAAAGACATGAGCATCGGAAGTAGAAAGGTTGAAAACGAATAGTAAGTCCACGTGGCAGCGGAAGTGTAATACTATAAATTAAGGTATATTGTTATATAGGAAGCATTATATTAAGAGCCTAACTATATCTAGTAGCTAGTAGATTAGGACTTACTTTCTCTCTATAGAAGTAAAGCTATTAGTACTAGACTACTATCTATAAGTATCTTCTATACTAGGTCGAACTTATTAGTTACTATACTCTTAATTTATAGCTAGATCGTTATTAGTATTCTATAGCCTTCGTATACTATTATAGCCTTAATAAGACTCGACTTAATACTTCTCTAGTATAGTACTACTAGTCTAGTATATCTATACTAAGTATCTTTTAATTTCTATAATAAATCTTATATAGTTCTAAAAGAGTACTTTATATAGCTACGCTCTAACTACTCGCTTAAAGAGTATTAGCGGAGATTAGAGCTTAATATTACGAATATTATAAATAGTATACTATAAAACTTTTAGTTTCTAATATTCTATTATA